GCTAGTTTTGGAGGTGTGATGCCGTATGTGTTCCCTTTTTATCTTTACTGAAATAATTTTAAAATACTGCTCTTCTATCCAAAAGATGCAGCTGTGAGGTCCATCTGTTCATCAAAAAATGTGTGTTTCTTCATTCTGTAGCTGAACTGAATAGCCTGAAAGAAGTGGGGCTGCGGTATTTAGGATGTGGACGTGTTGATTTCCCCCATGACTTGTGACCATAAGATCCATGACAGAAAATGGGCGAGTGAAATGAAATGTACTTGAGCTGGGTTTGTTAAGGCTGTGGGCTGCTCGAGCTTCTATTTACAGTTATGCTAAAATAGTTTAGTCTCTGCTTGTCAGGAGATGTAGAGAAAATGAAGTTTAAAAAAAATGAAAAACATCTCTAGTCATTTGTTACTTCTTTTCAACATGCAAAAATTCAGTGAGTAGACTATAAGTTTCCAGGGGATCATTCAGTCTTATCAATTAGATTGTTCCTTCTTCTTTTCCTAGTTCTATGCTATTCATTTCTCTGATTCTGCAGTGAAGGAGGTATGCGTGCTGCAGACGGCAGCTTCCTTAATTAAACAATCTGGCTGTTTCTAGAGGAGGTCCATTCTTTACTGAATGAGGAAGGGGTCCTGCTTAGAAAACGTGCCTGCATGATGTTACAGTGGAGTGCTGCCCAGAAAAGCTTAAGAGGGTTATCAGCAGGGTTACAGCCATGCTGGCCCAGTGCTACCTGCCTGGAGAACACCTCACACTGCTGCACAGACTCAGTTTCTGGATGGTTGAGAGCCTAAGCATCACTGTACCCTACAGCAGTAACAGCATTCGCATATTTCGCATGGCACTATGTGACTGATTTGTAATGTGGCAGAGAGACCAACTGCAGTTCTGGTTTCTTTGTGTAGCTCTTGTCCGGATTCTAAGTCTGATCTCTGCGTGGTGCATTCAGTTGCTGGCAGTGGGAATGCGAGCGTAATGCCCTTTGTGCTCACTGCACAGTGCTTTCCCAGAGATTTTTATTTTATCCTGGTTTTTGAACCTTACACTGACAAAGCCCTCTGTTTCTAGTTAATATTTCATATATTCTTAATGAATAGTTTGTTAGTGAGTAATTTGTGCCAGTTCAAAATGTTAGCATGTTCATTGGTATTCCTATGGTGAGAGAAGTGGACAGTTCAGATAACCAAATAACCTGCAGTATGAATCCTCCTTTTTTTTTTCTTTTTTTTTTTTTTTTCCCTGTATGTATTTCGATGTGTTATGAAACTTTTCTTTTGGATATATCCCTGTTGAAAAGATTTTCATTCCCCGTGAGCAATTGTTTCCAAACTTGTGGATGTGACAAGATTTTAATCTAATTTTCTAGATTTCCACCACTACTCTCAGCAACAGTCTTGAAGTATTTATCATACCTCCCTATCCAAATGAGTGGGTCATGGGAAAATAATTATGCATACATTTATTTAGGTATATTACAGAATTTTCTTTTAATTCCCCATTCATTTGTTAGCTTGGAGAATAATAAAATGAAATTAAGCTCAAAAATCTGTGCAGGGTATTCATTCTGCAAAGCTTTCATTTTCCCCAGTGAGAGACACAGTTGTCTTCTGTCCACAAATCTGGAAAATTTATTTAAATGTATGCTTCCTTTTTCCTTTACATAGAATTAATCTAGTCAAGAATTAGGCACTGAAAGAAGAAGTAAAAATCAAATTTGATGGAAGAGTCACAGTTGAGAGCTTGTTGAAAATGTCTTTTTTTTTTTTTTTTTTTTCTTAGGAAGAGTTTGTCATAGTAACTTTTACTTCTGTTTGATCTGAATTTACTATTGTAAGGTACAGTATGTAGATTAAGCCTTTGAAGCATCTGCCTTTGGTTATCTGAAGAGCCATACATGAATTTAGGATGAGTTAATTCTGGTTAGAAAATTCTGCATTCGTAAGTGAAATTTCTGCATTCTTAGACATGAGGATGCATGGTAACTACTACAAAGACCAGTTTACATGCCTTCCCCCTGCATCTTCCTTTCCCTTTTTGATATGGGGTTCAAATGACAAACTAGTTACTTTGAGTGTAGACTCACCTGCTCAGTAGGAATAAATTGCTCAGTGCATGTACACAACAAAACAGTACGCTCCCGCTGAGTACTTGCTTCAGGCTTTAAACTTCCAATGTTTATAAAGATGTTCTTTGAAAATTGATTGTGGGAATTAGGTGTGTGTGTGTATTTTCCCTGTCACTAAGCCAGGGGCTGTAGTGGAGGGTGCCCCATTGTAAACTCATTTTCTCTTAGAAGTCCTATCTCATGCTCTGTTCTGTTGGTACTTGTTCCTGAGAGTCCTTTACTTCAGCACCTTGTCTCACCTGAAAGCCTCTTTCTGCTGCTCAGTTCCTATGCTGTCTGGAGGCTATTGTCAAGGTGTGTTTCTTGTAATGTCTGTATTCCTTGCTCCTTCCTTCAGCTGTGCTTATTACCTATTATTCTCACAAGAGAAAATCCTTTGTTGTGATGAAAGTTTGAAGTTTTACCCAGGCGGTTCATTGAACATACAAAAAGGTTACTATTCGGAGGGAGAAGGAAGTAAATAGTACCGCTCTTAAAGTTAACATGTTCTTACCAGTTTCCTCTAAAAGATGGAATGAGAGAGACAAGAGGCATAGTTAATTATTTCCTCCAAAAGAAAAGCAGACACTTCTTTTTTTGTTTGACAGCAAAGCATTCAACCACATGGAGCACTCCTGAGCTCTCACCACTAGAGAGCATTAGGGTGAGAAAAGGCAACCATTAGATGCATGGCAATGTTTTGAGCACCTGGGATGCAAGTCTGCTTTTGTGAATTTTTTTTATATAAAGGTGTCTGCTCTCTTCCAAGAACACTAAAGTATGCTTTGGCAGCTTTGGTGGTAGAATTTGTGAAACCTTTATTAAATGTAATATTCATTTGAAAATATCCTACACAAAGCTTGGAAGTCATTCTTGTGAAGCTTAAATGATGCTCTCAACAGCTTCTCTTTGATGCTAATGTTTAAATAGAAATTTTAATTTTAAATTTGATCATCTAAGGTAGGCTGAATTCTGAAAAGGTTACATAGGAAACAGTTTATTAACATGGAGATATATAAGGAATGCCTTATGCATTGGTAGCTAAACTCCTCAAGATGTAGGACATACTTAGTGTGAGGAAGACAGGGACTATTTCCAGGTTGGTTTGGTGACTTTATCCAACGTGTGATCACTAACAGCACTTTGTCTATTGAAAACATAGAACTAATATTGCTTCAGAATCTGAAAGCGCAGTTTAAGATTCACTTTTCTTCCTTCCCATGGTTTCACAGAGGATTCATGTTTTGGAAGCAAGAAGCTTGGTTAGAGCATGAAAAAAAAGTCTCTTGACATTTGCTGCTGTAGTTAAAATGTACCTTCCAAGATGATTTGATTGTTGAAAAGTCAGCTCTACTTGAGGGAAAGTACAGCCAGAAAGTATTTTCTTGGAATGGAGTTGTCTATGGAACATTCAAATTAGAAAGTAGGTGTTGAGAAATGCTGTTGTTCTCCTGCTTTGCCGTGTTTCATAATAACTTTCATTATAAAGCAATGAGGAGAGTGGAGGGTAAATTCTTGTGTGGGAGCGGGGCATATAGGCTTTCTGATTATCTTGACATATGCTGCTATGCAACATGCAGAGTATTGCCGTACACAGTATTTTTTTCTAATACTTTTGTTGAAGAGCTTGACAGAAAAATTTGTAGTAGGCCTATGTATGTGTGTGTCTGAATATGCAAACATAACTGTGCAAGAGTTTGACAACATACTGTTAAAAAAAACAACAGTGTAGGTTTTTCACTACTAAGGTAATGCTAACAAGATGATGGTAACAATGGTAACAAGTATTTAATTGTGTGTTGGAAGAGGTGAAAAAAATCATGTACCTTGTGAAGGACTTCATAATTTTCTTCAGTGATGTCCCCTTTTGTGCTGAGCCTGAGCTTGCATACGCTCATCTCTGTGGACTTGAAGCTAGCCTAGGAAGTGCAAAGGACAACTGCACATACGCTCAAATGCACGAGAACTCTGCAGTGTGTGAATGTGCTGACTGCTGTCTAACATAAAGGATCTGTTTTGTTCAGTTCTATCTTAAGTGAAAGGGTTGAAGGACGTGGTTATACAATAAATTCTCATCACCTCATAAATGACATTGTGAGACAGGACAGTGGGGATGGTAGGATTTGCAGAGCTTTCCTTGAGCACCATTGTTCCCTTTCAGCCCAAGCTACTGTAGTTCTCTCTGCGGGCTGTTGATAGCCAAGAATATCTCCACTGGGAAAACCATGCGAATACAGTATGCTTCAAGTTCTAAGATATACTTCCTGATATAAGTATGTTGTGGAGCCAGCTTGGTGCTAGCATTTACAGCACTTAGTGCCAGAGTGCAATAAGTCAGAACTGGGGGCTGTAAATGACTGCTGAGAGTGCATGCAAGTGTTGTCAAGAGCTTCCTTAGCAATACATTTTTGGTTAAAAAAAAAGTAATTGAAGTTGTATTCATTTCAAGAACAGTGACATCTGCCTATAGAAGCATTCTAAAACTTAGTGTTGTTTGGTTTATGTATGAGGGCTGAAAGCTTTCTGTGAAGGAGAGATGAAAGAAAACAATCACGAGTTAGTTGCTTTCATTGTAGTTGGGTATTATGCATATCTAGTTTATACATGAGATTTTTTTCAGTCTAAATAATAGTTAATGTTTAATCCAGACCTAGAACATTCCTTCGAGTTGACTGTGATGCTAAGGATTTGGATAGATAACTTATTTCCATCTTTCAAATAAAAGAATTTTAGTTTATCCATTCTGCCTCCTTGCGCTCAGTAGTTAGCTGTTTAAAATCTCTATTTCTAATACCGTGGTGGATTTTTTTGAGTTGTTGCTGATTATCCAAGTCTGTTTTGCTCAATACTTGGGTTTTTTTTTTAAATTTTTTTTTTTTGGTCTTTTTTTTTCTCTTGTCAGCAGCCATGCAGCAGGTACTGGATAACCTTACTGATCTGCCGACGTCGACAGGCGCTGAAGAAATAGACCTAATTTTTCTCAAAGGAATCATGGAAAACCCCATTGTAAGATCTCTTGCTAAGGTATTTCAACTTCCTGCTCTGAGTAGAATCTGAAAATGTTGTAACTGGTACTGTTACATGAACACTGAGTATGGACTGTTGTGTACCTTTGATGTATGGTATGTCTTGTTAGAAGGCTTGAAGGTGTTCTTGAAAACAGAGCATATTTGGTATAATTTCTGTGTACAACGATTTATTGATACATGGAGAACTAGAGTAAGAGTAAAACTCAGAGACTTTGGTAGTACTGTGTTAATGTTACTTATGAAGACAATGTCAAAATGCTTGAAATCAGAGGTATTTGGTTTTAATAGCCTTGTGACCCATGTTGTGTGCAAAACCTGTATCCCTTGTTTTCTAGCATTTTTTCCAAAGATGAAACGTGAGAGTAATAATTTTCTTTCCTCCATGGCATAAACAAGTTGTTTTTATGGCTCAGAATGATTTTCTGATCAACCCAATGAAATATGCTCTCCAAACCCTTTCCTGGATCTCAGAGTAATAGTTGGCCCTTTGATTGGCAGCAGTCAGACATGGGCTAGCCTTAGTTTTGGTCTTACATTATTCAACTACTTTATTCATAGGTGGTAGTGTTCATTTATAAGTATCTAAGATGATGCTGACCCTAAAAATCTTTAGACCCTAAAGTTAAAATGTAGCTTATTTTATCATAAGAAAATGCAGCCAATATCATACAGCACTTGCATTCTTTCTTATTCTTCATAAAAATATGTTCCTTACAAGAGGAAAAAGAGTTAACTGAAATATAGCTGTCTCTTTAATATGAATAAACGTCTGAAGCAATGCCCTGTGGGCAGCCAGGAAATATCTTGTACAGCTGAAGGATCATTTTGCTCTATAAAAATCTGGAAAGGACAACATAAGAGTTTGTATAAGAATTCACTTTTGTTTAACTGTTAGTTACAAATAGAATGCAACTCAGAAGAGAGAAGCAGCAATATGTGTATTGACATAAAATAGCGATTAAATAAAATGGGGATTTAGCAGGGTTTGAGATTTCAGGGTACACTTGATTATTTACTTCACAGAAAATAAGATTAAACACACTCATCCAAGGGACTCTTCCATTGAGTCACAAGGTTCAGAGTGGATCCCTTAGTTTTCTAAAGTCTTTGGACAGCAGAGGTAAGGGATCTAGGTGTGGCTGAATTCACTCCTAGCCCCAGACTTGGTCAGTGGTTATGTGTGCACCATCAACCTACGATTTAATCTTAGCAAGCTTGCAAAGCTTAGCAAACTATTATTCACCTACTGAGGGTTTGTGGCAGCAAGGAATTTCCCGACATTGAAGCGTGAGGGGTCTCTGCAGCAGTGGTACCCTCAAGAACTGTCCCTACTTGTGGGCAGATCTGTTATGCAGCCAGCTGCCATGAAGGAGAGCTCAGCAAGCTCTTGGGCTGCTCATTATTTATGGAGTAAGATCACTGATTCACTCACATTTACGTGCTGACTACAGATGTTAGTCTCTTTCAGATTTGTCTCGAGTCAAACACAGACTAGCACAGTTGTTAGGTGGGCAGATAGCTCAAATTAGCCGTTGGCTGTTGTGTTCTATTTCCCGTCAGTCTGCTCTCAGCCAGATGCAGCCTTCATAACCAGTTTTCAACTACCCATCATGATTTGCCACTGGTGGTTATCTGCTGAAGTCAGATGCAGCCACCACAACCATCCATGGTGTTTATCACTCAAGCAGTGGCAGGACAAATGAAAGTCAATAAAAGTCATGTCAAGAAGAGCATGCCACCACACTGTTCAAAAACATTGGTTACATGTTGAAGAAGTTGCGTAGGAATAAAAATAGAAACAGTGGAAGTGTCTCATCTTTTGGTGAGAGAACTGCAGAGAGGAATATTTGTGTGCTAAATTTACTGGAGTTAAGTTAAATCACTTTGTTGATTAGAGTTGTTTCTAGCTGCAGAATCTGTTACATACTTCATCTATAATATTTATCGTGAAGAAAATGTTCATTGCAAAGAATTTGTAGTTTTCCCTATTAGAAGAGTTAGTTTTGTCGGAATCGTGAATTCTCAGAGAGCTCTGAGATTGTCAGACTGTTTGCACATTAATTTCAGACCAGCCAGAAATGTAAAAAGCCTTTTCCTTTATTAGAATCACAGAATCATAGAATGGTGTGGGTTAGAAGGAACTTCAAAGACCAACTAATTCCACATCTTCCACTAGATCAGGTTGCCCAGAGACCCCTCCAGCCTCTTCAAATTGTTTCAGTTTGCCTCTTACCCTATCAGTGAGCAGCAGTGGAAAGAGCCTGATTCCATTTTTTCATACTCTCAGGTATTTGTACACACGGACGAGCATGTCCCTCTAAAGACTTTTCTTCTCCAGCCTTAATGTTCCCAGCTCTCTGTCTTTCTTCATAGGAGATATGCTCCATTCTGTTATTTCAGTGGCCTTTCACTGAGCTCTCTCCAATAACTCCCTCTCTCTTGTTCTGGGCAGCCTTGCCAACACTGAGTTGAGGGGAGTCTGCTGGCAGCATTCTGACTAATACAGCCCAGCATAGTTAGCCTCCTTTTCTGCAGATCGTTTTCCAGAATTCCTTTCAATCATCAGACTTTCTTTTCAACTTTGCCATTCAAATATATTTGACTAGGAGAAGCCTCAGATAAACTTTTCTCAAATGCAGACTGTATTTTTCCAAGCCAATTGCATAGTTCTGTTTTTGTTCTTCTAGAAGGTCTGCTTGTCCTGGGTTCTGAAGCAGAAAAAGTCTGAGGCTTGATACTGTTTAGAGAGGGCTGTTTGATGAATGTAGCATGGAGGCCATAGGAAACATGGACATGCAAGTGTATCTGACAGGTGCTGCTTTTAAGGTTTTTCATGTCACATTGTTAAGGACACAGAATCCTTCAGCAGTTACAAAGACAAAATATACAGGTTAGAATATATGTAATGGTTCCTGTTTTCCCACTGAAGAAATTTAAGAAATTTCCCACCAAGAAATTAATTAAAAAGTTTAAAATTTAGAAGTACTATTTACTTGAAACATAATTACGTTATAGTCGTATGTAATTATTATATCTTACAGGCTCACGAGAGATTAGAAGATTCTAAACTTGAGGCTGTCAGTGACAACAACCTGGAACTGGTGAATGAAATTCTTGAAGACATCAGTCCCTTAATAAATAAAGATGAAAATATTGCGGAGTTGGTTGGAATACTCAAGGAACCTCATTTTCAGGTGCCTCCTTTTTACTCCTTTTCACTTTATATGACTCACAGCATTACTGTGCACACATGGATCTTAGTACAGTAATGAAACAAAAACTGAACTATAGCCAACTTTAATGTAGGACTTTACTCTGGATGCAGGGTAAAGAAGTAGTTGCATGGAGTTAAGAATGAACATGACTTTAGCCTTTAACGCTTCAAGTACATCTTCATTCGTGGTGTTGTCTCTATTGTAAGACTCCATGTGTACTGGAGGTTACTCCAGTGCTTTATTCTTAGATTGTCCAGGTGGTCTCAGTTCCTGATACATTCTGTATTTCAGTTCAGCTTTTTGCATTCATGCTCATGTCAGATGTACAGTTTGCAGAATGAATTAACTTGATTCTCTTACGCCATGTGATCTACATTGAGCTTAAATTGCAACTTTACATCCTTCCCACTTAACGTGATGTTCTACTAAACATAAATGAAATTTTGACATTTTTGTTTTCCCATTTCTGCTACTCTATTACCAGTTTCCATGTTGACCCTTAAGGATTAGGATTTGTAAATCCTCATTGGATTTTGGACTTTCTAGGCCAGCTTCAACTTGTTTTGGTACTTTGCAGTAGGTCTCTTAAATGAAAAAGATAGCAAAGCTTTTGCCACAGCATAAACACATCCTTTCTTAGATAGGTACAGAGCCATTTAAACATTTTTTGTTATACGTGTTAAATCATGTTTGATTGGTTTTTGTTTTCTAAATTTTCAGTTGTACGCTATACAAACGTAATGGTGTGCATTACTGCTTAACTTGGATAGGCCTGGAAAGGCTGACAAACTGTGCCATGGCCTGTTGGAACTAGGGAACACTTCATTACCTCAACTTTCAATGCTGTAACTGTTGGTGAATGCTGTTCTGAAGAGTAGTTTGTTGGTCTCCCTTGTGCTCTTATTTGTGCATCATTACTAAGGGACCAAAGGCTTTGATTTAGAAAGTTACTGGTGAGTGACCCTTAAAATCAGTCTTTGATCTAGCAAAAACTGGGACTGGAAAAGGAAAGGAAGAGTTTGGAGGAATTGTTAATTACAGTGCAAAAATATTGCAGTCATTCTGTTTTTGTTCTTGTTGTGTTTTCATTTAGAAAGTTTAATTTATTTCATATCATTGTCAGACCTACAGTAATACTGTTTGATTCTTTTTTGGAAACTCATTTTAAAAATGCACGTGATATTTATTGCACGCTTTGAAGAAGATTGCATGTTCCCTCTTACACTGTTCCATTGGGTGAGTCATGAGCATGTACGAGAAATCAGTTATTTCTAGGCTCTCTGCTTCATTTGCTGCAAAAGCTGGATGGTACGCAAAGAATCGGGTCGGAAGCTAAAAGAAAATACGACTTAATGGATAAGATTGCCTTTTGAGAAGTAAATTATCACTCACTTTGTCAGAGTTCAGGAGTTCAGAATTACTGAGTTCACTTAAAAAAGAAAAGTCTAAAGCAGCTTAAGTTTTTGTGCTTCTGTTTCCATCTGGAGGCAGGCAGAAAAACAAAAATCCCTGAGGACAAAGTTGCAGTATTTCAAGTAAGTTTTTTTATTTGAGATCTCTTTCTCTCTCTCTCTGTTTCTCTCTCTCTCTCTCTCTCTCTCTCTGAAAGTTAGCACTTTCTTTTAGAGTAGTTACTTATCCTTTCCACCTCATTTTTTTCATATTCCCAATTCTTCAAGGAGGAGAAAAAGGAAAAAATTCAATGTGATTTGTAATAACAGAAAATGTAATTTTCATTCTGTATCCAGTTTGGTGAAGTTGTGTAACAAGCCGCCAGGAAGAACATAACTTAAAGTTTCATGGATTCTATTGTGTAACTCTTTTAGGAACTGGTTATCTATGTTTAGCAAGTGAGTAGTACTGCTTTAGCACAGTATCATCTTACACATATAATCTACCTTGGCATATAAGTGTCAAATGTGATATACAGGTATTTGGTGCAACAGCATATTAAGATGCATAGTGCTGAAAACACTAAACTATGGAATTGCACTTTTTGTTTTAACACTTTCACAGAAGATAAATTGGGCAGGGACTGGCTTATGGAGTATACATGCACTTATGATTATACTATTACGTTTGACTATCTGTTCCCTTTCTTTTCTCTTTTCTCATTTCATCCTGGTTTTTCCTCCCTTCTACTTTTTATTAGTTTAAATTACATTTTTTAAGGGGTCAGAGTGTGGAAAATATTAAGCTCTTATGAGTTCCACAGTATAGGTGGCTTTTGGTCAGGGCAGTATGCATGAAAAAGCCATGCACTGCATAGGGAAAGTTATAGCAAGTGTTGACAGTAGTTGGAGAGCAGAAGTGGTGAGAGAGTTTGCCTCGAGGAAAGAGCGAGGAGTTGGAAGCATTGCACAGTTGGAGAGGTTAAACATGCAGAAAATCACTTCTGCTGTTTATGGAAGAGCTCATTCAGTTACTTTCACCTTTCTCAGAGTTATGCAAACTGCTTTTAATAGTAAATTCTGTTGGCAATAAATGCTTCATCTTAAAACATCTCCTCAAGCCAGTTTGAAATGAACCTGGAATTGGAACATAGCTGGGCAAATAGTTACCATGCAGGTCAGGAAATGCTTCAGAACCTGCATAAATCATGCTGGGAGGTTTCTGATTCTGGATTTCTTCTTTTTTTTGTTTTTTTTTTTAAGTTTTTTATTTTTATTTTATTGTTTATTTTGCTTGAAAAACAAAGATTTGAATTTGGCTTCAGCGCTGAAGAGAGCCTTGAATGCTTAATATTTCTTTGTTTACAGAATTTAGAACTGTGCTTTTCTTTTTTACCTGGCAAATAAGTACAGCCACAGAAAAGTAAAGAATATGTTCTAAGTTAATGGATTACTTTTTGACAGTATCTTGCAGAAAGGAGCCAAACTGTCTGCCACAGTACTGTTTCCAGTGTTCTGTGTTTCTTGTGAAGTGCTGAGAACTCTTCTAAATGCCTTATTCAGGCACCATTGCTATTGTTTCCATGAGAACCTTTCCACAGTTACCCAGTGTTGGCTAGTTACTGATGCTGTTTATTTATAATATACTTAGGAAAATTTGAATCATTTATGAATGCAGACTGCTCAGTCCATGTTGTTTTGTGGACTTTGCCTGTGGTATTATAAATGTTCTATCACCAGTATGGGAAAGGTCAGATTTCAGGGGAGCATTGGAGTTGCAGGAGCAGAAGATATCCCTTTTTCAGATACCATAGGAAGGCAAAAAGTCAAATCCATGTAACTATGTTTCTTCAGTCACTCAACTGTATTACTAAAATAAGAAAGTAACTGTGATCAACATAAAATGTTGAAGAGTGATCCAGTAATATTTACTTGGCTTCTCCTGCCAGGTCACTTTCTTGTAAGTGTTCCTCAGGACAATACACCATGACCCATCTTGATGGAAACAGTCCTTTAAACCTGATGTAGAATCACAGAATCACTGAGGTTGGAAAAGACCTCCGAGATCATCCGGTCCAACTGTCCACCTACCACCAATATTTCCCCATGAAACCATGTCCCTTAGCACAAGATCTAAATGTTTCTTGAACGCCTCCAGGGATGATGACTCCGTCACGTCCTTGGGCAGCCCGTTCCAGTGCCTGACCACTCTTTCGCAGTAGAACTTTTTCCTGACATCCAGCCTGAGTCTTCCGTGGCACAACTTCCCTCTAGTCCCCTCGCTAGTTATGAGGCAGAAGATGCCAACATCCACCTCCACAACCTCCTTTCAGGCAGCTGTAGAGAGCCATAACGTCTCCCCTGAGCTTCCTCTTTGCCAGACTATCTATTCTTGTGTTTTGGAAGTGAGAGTTAGTTATGGGAATATAGTAAATGAACTATATGAGGTTGTTTTTTGGTTTTGTTTTGAAAATGAATATATTTCTTGTCTCAAATCATTTTGTAATTATGGGCAGCAATTTACAGTCCCTGATAGTCCTTCTGGACTCAGCTATCATGGAAATAGCAGGGAAGAGATTTTGTGATTGACAGATGGTTACGTAGCAGTTGAAAGAACTCATGCCTCTCCATGAAATGGAATGAATAAATAGGATGAGAATGTGAACAATGAGATGAGTTTTTAAAGTTTTTAAGAACTGAAGAGTATTATGGAGCATGTTAATTGGAAAAGAATGGCACTGTTTGTCTAGTAGTCATTTTTTGGCTGTGGATCCAATTGTAATCCATAAATTAGATAACTGTTCAGGGCAGTGAGCTGTACAGAATACTTGTGTGTGAGCTTTGTGAGAAACTGACTGGTTTGTGGCCAGAAATTTTGGCAGCAATTGTTTTCTAGCATGTGACCAAAAGAGAAAACTAGAATTATCACACAGGTCCATCTACTTTGTTTTGTCTGTGGTAAGGTGTCAAAAGACATAGCTAATACTAGTCGGTTTCATTTTGGAAATGTAAAAAGGGTAAAACATGTTGCTCACACATGTGGGCAAACAGAGATCTGTTCTCCTGGTTTTTGGATTGGATGCATCGTGGATGATGAAGAATTAGGAATTGCTACCATCTGACTGCTGCTTGATTTAAATAAATAATTGTTTTTTTCTGTTTCATTCGATTTGGTTTATGTCCACAATACCAGAGCAGCCACAAGCCTTCACGGTCTTAAAAGCAGGGGCAAAATTAGTAGCAGAATTAGTCGCTCCTCTAATCTCAAGTTAAAACATCAGCAGGGTCATTCTGTAGTGGGCAGTGTAAAATGGCTGCTTGCTAATGGCGCTTTGAGGATTTTCACATTGAGCTTAGCACTGTGTTAAAGTGGTTGCACAGCTTTTTAGAGGTTACTTACAAAAAAGTGGAACAGGCTGCATAGCAAAATTGTTAAATTCAATTCAGGCCTGTCCTCCTGTTTCCTAGTACTGTTTGCTGATTTCCTTTGACATATGTGTCACTACCACTGATTGCCCCTATGATGTCCTGTTCTCTTTATCTCCTTATTTGACACCGGTCAGTAATGTAACTTATGACCATGTCTCATCAGATCCTTTTTGAAACAAAGCTGTTTATGTTGCTTACGATAACATAGGCCTAACAGCCATCTCTCCTGCTTGCTTGCTTTCTGCTATGTGTCAGAGAGACTGTGCATCACTGGACACTTTTTAATGGACTATGTTATGTGGTGGTTGTAGTGTGTCCCTTTTCTTCCTTAACATAGCCTCTGCCATCCAATACACAAGTTTTATCTTGCTTTACCTGTACATATTGTCTTAGAAATATTTTAACTCTTAAAACACTTTTTTTTAATAACAAAATAAAATATAAATTCCATACTCTTCCTGAGATTATTGTATTTGTTTGGATACAACATAAATTTGAGATCTAAGCTCTTGCTTTCCAAAAGTGAATTCTGTCAACTTGGATTAATTTGCTGTTAGAATTCTGCAAGCAGAAACTACTCATTCTGCAGATTGCTAGAAATTCTTACATACCTGCAATTATCTTTAATTTACTCTTACTTCCAAATTAATGTGGAGGAAATCTTTTTTACATTAAACACAAGTATCTGATAATGAGTTATGTTCATCTTTTTGCAGCTGCTTGTTTGTTTACTTTAACCATTTGCTTGGATACTGTTTCATTAGGTGAAGCTCTTTTGCAGTTACTCCTTTTTCCATCTTCTTCCCTGTAATTTCACATTTGCCTCCCAGAAAAATTATATTTCTTCTGTGTTTTCTTTAGAAGAACATATTTGCCAAGCCAGTAGGGTTAGCAGGACATTTGAGTGCTTCTGTTTCATACAAGCATAAAAATTGATTTTTGGTGTATACCATATGAAATATGTTTTCAAATCAGATTCTAAAATGGCAGTTTCAGTGGTTATCAGCAAAATCTCTTTTAAAAATATTTTTCAGTATTTTAAAAATAGCTTTTTCTGTTCCCTTGTAGTCACTCTTGGAAGCACATGATATTGTGGCTTCAAAATGTTATGATTCCCCTCCTTCTAGTCCAGAAGTCAATAATTCTTCAGTGAACAATCAGATTGTTCCAGTAGATGCTATTCGTATTCTTGGAATTCACAAAAGAGCAGGAGAACCTCTGGTGAGTGATTGAAGATTAATAAGTCTTTAAATTAAAATGTAAGTGAAAGCATTTGCATGTGCCTAATTTCTTGCATTAAGTTTTAATTCTTAGCTTTATTATACTGTGTGATTTAATGGGTCATTATTGAGAGGTAGGAATAGGGAGATTTGTATGTTCTCTACCCTGTTCTCCCTAGGAAATCGTGGCCTAACGAACAGGCAGTCAATGGGCAGATTTACCTGCTAGCATAACTGCCTAATGCAACATCTGTTTGGCCTTCATAGAAAATGACAGGACTGCATGCAATCACGAACAGTGAAAATCTTGTCTGAAAGTACTCTGTCACTTGATACTTACCTTACTCTTACGTTGTGTTATTGTCTGACATCACTGGGGGAGACAGTGTCCCGTAGATGTATATTTTTCGCTTGAGATGATGGTAAAATGCAATTGAAATTCAGACAATTGTAAAGTAGGTGTTAATACTTCTTTCAGGGTGTTACATTTCGAGTTGAGAACAATGATCTGGTTATAGCACGAATTCTCCATGGTGGAATGATAGATCGACAAGGTCTTCTGCATGTAGGTGACATTATTAAAGAGGTGAACGGCCACGAGGTTGGAAACAATCCAAAAGAATTGCAGGAACTGCTGAAAAATATCAGTGGCAGTGTCACTCTGAAGATTCTCCCCAGTTACAGAGACACGGTTATTCCTCAGCAGGTCAGTAGCTCCTTTCTAACATTTCTGTCAAAAGATCTTCTACTTGGTACTTGAGCGAGTAAGATGAGGAGCAGACATGTTCTGAGATTTTTGTGTGTGTATTTAATGCTAGCAAAAGGGGTAATACTTGTATTTGCTTTAAAGTACATATTAGAAATGAGATTATTCAGTGTACTGAGATGATGTCTGCTTAAAAAATTATTAGTATCTTAGACTGATAAGCATTTGTATTCATGCAAAGCTGTTTCTTTCACCTCTGATAACCTCGCCACAGTCACAATGAACTGCAGTAAAGTGCTTGTGTTTTTAAATGATCCGTGTCCAGGTAGTGTTTCATGGAGTTCAGATATACATATTGCATTCAACAGATGAGTTGACTTTAGGAAGCAACTTGGGTAGTGCTTACTCCATATCCTTCTGCTGTTGCTGTAGACGGTCAGTTTAGCCAATGCAGAAGTGATTTGTTGCTCTGAATGAGAGCATTTGAAACATCCTGTAAGACTCCTTCAGGTGGTGGATGTTAATGCCCATGAAAATAATAGTTACGTTTACATTCAGCATATTTTGTTGGTCTTAAAACATTGAGTTAATAGCAAACATAATTCTTAGGATCAAACAAACCTCGAGAACAGAGTTTGAGCTCTGAGAAACGTTTGTGTTTTTAAGTAAGTCAAAGTTAGATTAGTAATTAAGTTGCATATACTGAAGTGAAAACACAAATACATTGTCCAGTCGAGCAGCTGGCTTTTTATTTTTGTCTTGCAGCTCCCTTAGCTAAGGTTTGCACTGCACATTACTTCTGCTCTCTCAGCTGGTTTGCTCTTTGTTTTTTTCCATAACTTGCCTCTTACTTGAGAAATGCAAATTCCATCATATCAAACTTGCTATGCTGTAGGTAAAGACACTACTTCAACTTGACAGATGAGTTAGTAAGAATGGATTTTGTAATGTTTAAGCACTGTAAATTTTTCCACATTTCAGGTTTTTGTGAAATGTCATTTTGATTATAATCCATATAACGACAACCTCATCCCATGCAAAGAAGCAGGGTTGAAATTTTCTAAAGGAGAAATTCTTCAGATTGTAAACCGGGAAGATCCCAATTGGTGGCAGGTTGGTAAATAAATCAATACTAAAAAAAAGAAAAAGTTTCATTAATTTCCTTTATGATAAACTTTTTAATTTAAACTACTTAACAGCAGATAGAAGAAAAATATTTACATTGTAATCCAGTTTCAAGCTCTTAGTATTGGAAGTGAAAATATAAGCAGTTGCAGTAGTAGTGCATATAAATATGTATATTATAGTGGTATAAATAGCTTATGTAGCACTGTGTTTTTACTGTTACTGCTGTTTTTATGAACACACACATGTTCATAACCAAAGTGCTCGGCATTGTTTCAAACATAAACAGCTCATCATGTGAGGGGATGCAGAAAATTTATTACTGCCAAGCTAATTAACTTCAGAAGTTGAGCAATCTCAAACTTCAGAGTAGTTTGACATTTAGCTTACGTGCTGTCTTTGGAAAAAAATTTTCAAAATTCTACAGCTTGTAACTTGTGGGTGTCCAGGAGAAATAAATCCAGTGTGCTTATGAACACCTTGATGAGTGGCAAAAATGAAATACATTAAACTAATATATGAGTATGGTTGCAGGTTATGCCACTGGGAAAGAAAGTTAGATTTTTCCTTGGCCATTCTGTAAACTGTAGACTGTTACTGGGAATTCATGAACTGTGAAAAATCAGAGAATCACTACTAGGTAAAAGCATACATCTCGAAAAGCAAACAGGTCTTGCTAGCAAGTGACAGGCCAGCTAGGTATGGGAAAGTGTAACATCTCATAACTGTGTGTTTGTATACGTTAAGCTTGCAGAGAATTGAGCCTGCCACTAAATGATTTTTTTAGAAATTCTGAGCCAAGCTTTCATTACCAAGAATACTTATGTTACTCAGATTTAAATCTCTAGTTACGTAGTATAGAAGCTTGAAGGCATTGATGAGATCTGTACGTAACATTCCCAGTTTGTAAAATGACAGTTATTAAGCTATGCTGGAATCTGTTTGAAGTTGCTCAAGAATACAAAATAAAGGTACTGTGTACTACAATGCCTTGAGTTTTGTCACTTGAGAGCTGTAGCTGTTGAGTTCCATTTGGGATTTTTATGCTGAAAGTTTATGACTGGCTACAGGAGGCTAACAGAATGGGAACCAGTTACTGCAGAACCTTCACCACTGAGAAATTTGGTCAAGGTAAAAGTCAGTCATCGAGATGTCATGAGAAAAATGCTTCTTACATGTCTCCTCTGATTTTTTTTTATTTTTTAATTTTCAGGCTAGCCATGTCAAAGAAGGAGGAAGTGCAGGACTCATTCCTAGCCAGTTCCTGGAAGAGAAGAGGAAGGCTTTTGTGAGAAGGGACTGGGACAACTCAGGTGAGGTTTAAGAGATTTCAGGGTTATGTTTTGCTCTGACTCAGTTTGTTTCGCTTTTACTATCTTCTCAGATACTTGAAAATTGTTGTATGGGAATATTGCTAAATGCTTATGATTATGTGTGCATGGTTTTGGCTATGAGTGAAGGGCAGAGGCTAAAGTATGTGCTTAGTCTTTGTAGATACATGAATCAGTTTTACTACCTGCTGATGAAAAGCTGAGTGAGGTGGGAAAGCTGTACGGATTACTCTCTTTTATTCAAGATGTTTTTATTATATGCATTAAAAGTTAATAGGTGTTTTTGAAAGATTTTTCTAGGATTTTTTCAACTTTCTTGGAAAACTTTTTTCTTCTGTGTTCTATTCTTTCTGCACTCCGTAATGTATGTGAAAGTAGATGTAATGTCCTTCCCTAGAATAGATGACTTTGGAAAAAGGAAGGTAATAATTTATTGAAAATAGTCTTTTCAAGTGCAATTAATGTAAACTTACACGTGTTCATGGAAGTCAGGTATGTAAATACTTTCAGGAAAAATGTTGAGCAAGAATGCTGATTTTGGCTCAATTTTTATCTGTAGGGCCTTTCTGCGGAACAATAAGCAGCAAAAAAAAGAAAAAGATGATGTATCTTACTACAAGAAATGCAGGTATCTTTGAATTTTACATATGAATCGAAGTTCTCTATGCTTTTAAACTTGAATAGTCTGGTGTATCCAAAGGTGAAAGATTTGCAGTGAAATATTTGGCTAGGCAGTGAAATTTGGTCAGGGAGGTTTGTTGTTTAAAAACAATTGTGACCAGTGTAGATAAAATGGTGCCAAGTATACATGTTTCAATAGGTGGAAGTCAGAGAAGAACTTTGTGTTAAAAGAGAAAAAAAATTATAACTTGCTAGTGAACTAAGGGAGGTGATCCTTCTCTGCTCAACACTGGTGAGGCCACACCTGGAGTCCTGTGTCCAGCTCTGGGCTGCCCAGAAGAAGAGACAGATGGAGTTATTGGACAGAGCTCAGTGAAAGGCCACCAATAGGTCAGAAATGGAGCATCTCCTCTATGAAGAGGGACTGAACAAGAACTGGGAATGTTTAGGCTGGAGAAGAGAAGGCTAAAGGCAGAGGTCTCATCAATGTGTAGAAATACCTGAAGGAATGAGCTGAGACAGCAGAGCCAGGCTCTTTTCAGTGGTGCTCAGCAAAAGGATAAGAGGCAGTGGGTACAAAATGAAACTCAGGGATCTCTGAACATCAGGAAACACTTTTTATGCTGTGTGTGATTAAATGCTGGCACAGGCTGAATGCTGGCGTGGAATGGTTGTGGAACATTCCTTGGAGATATTCAGAAGCCACCTGGACATAATTGGCTGTTAGAACTCATTTTCTTCTTACATTACTGAATAGGTATTAACTATTTTTTTGGTATTCTTCTTAATATAGAATTTGATCGTCACGAAATCCAGATCTATGAAGAAGTAGCCAAAATGCCTCCTTTTCAGAGGAAAACACTGGTCTTAATTGGGGCCCAAGGAGTGGGACGAAGAAGTTTGAAGAATAGGTTTATAGTACTGAATCCTACTAGGTTTGGAACTACAGTGCCATGTAAGTTGTCAGCACTCCTGGTGTAATACCACACTTTGAGTTTCTCATCTGAAAAATGTGGGAAGTTTATCCCATTCATTGGTGGTAGAAGTAATTTCTCAGAGTGTGTGAATTGTTTGTTGTGGGAAAACAAAAGAAAAAAGCATTCTTCATCTTTTCAGACAACGGAATTAGCATATGACAACAGTTAAGGTATTTGCAACTACCAATTAACTGTAACTGCTGCTGCTGAAAACCACTATTTAAGTATCTGCTGGGTTCATTCAGTGTCAGTTGCCATCACTTGAGGGGATCATAGAAGTTGCTAGCAGTCTTCTGTAATAATCAGCCAGTGGAGTTTCTCAGGTCTGCTTTGTTTTTTGTCTGTGGAAGCATCCTAGGCATTATAAATTGTTACTGAAGTATTGGAAGCGTAGGAAAAGGAAAGATGTAAACTCCCAATGAAATGGGAGTGTTTGTGATCCCTAAGGTCCGTATGATTATCTGATGTTTTATTCATCTGGCCTCAAACCTATGATCTTTGTTTTTTACTATCATCTTCAGAAAAAGAACCTCCCCTCCTCCTCCATTACTGAAATATTTGTTTTTTTCTTGTCTTTGCTACAGTTGGTTACTTTTGCTCACTTACAGGGTGGGTGGTGGTGGTGTTTGCTTTTTTTTAAAAAAAAACCCACAGCTTGTCAGTCTTCTGTTTGAACACAGATGCGAGACCCTTCGCTGCATTACTATTCTCCTCCTGCCACCTGCCCTTCAGAATTTCAAAGCCAATTTGTTTCTCCTGTTTCCAGTTGGAAAGAAGTAGTGCTGATAATAGGAGAGGAGGAACAGGTCTTAAATGAGATGAACTGTGCCGTGTGAGGGGAGAACCTCTCTTTCCTAATGTGCTCATTGTCTAACCATTAGAACTGGCTAATTCTAAGGCTAAGTGCACAAGCCTTTTGTGAAACTAATAAAAAGGTTGAGGGCACAGTGTTATTTTTTTTTAATGAAATCTTCCTTTGGAAATCCCATTATTTATTAACTGGCAAAGTAATATGAAACTTTGTTACTTCAATTTTTTTCCTCCTTTTTAAAAAGCCCTCAAAATTACTGATGTCTCTAAAACACTGTATCTACATATCAATAATGTAACGCTGTGTTAAAATGCTTTCACTTGGAGCTCTTGAATACCCTTCAGGGTATCAAAATACACTTTCCCAAGCACCTGGTGGTTTCACTGTGTGCATTAAATCTGCAGTTTGTTATATATGACATTTCTACTTTATATTGAGATTTTTCAGTAGGGTGATCAGTAGTCAGCGTAATCAGGCCTCAGTTTCTTTGATTAGAAGAAACTTCTGATTATTCACAAAAGACTTTTTTTATGTATGTTGGAAGATGGCTGAGATGGATCTGTGATGCCATAGGGTAAAGCACGTCCTTAGTGTTGAGCCCAGATCCAGCAAAAGTGGCTGGTTTTTGAGGGTTTTTTCCTGCAGTTTGGGTAGCTGAACTCAAAGCTCATCTTCTGCCTGTAAGCGATCACAGCTCACTCTCCAAGGTTTATTTCAAACTGCTCCTTTTTTTTTTTTTTTTTTAATATTGTATCAATCATTTGACTTCCAGTCTGACTGTGGAATCTTGTCTAAGATTAGGTGTTGGAGTAGCACTTGTATTACTAACAGCTTCAGAAGATTCTTGAGTTCTCTGTAATAGTTAAGTTGATAGAAATCACTGGAGAGGTGGGAATGCTTTTTAGTTGTATCACAGTATTACAAAGGCATCCATTCACTGTTACTGTAAATATGTTCCAGAGTTCAAATCTAATTGAATGCAAATAGTGGGCAGTAATACAGTGATAGGGCAGCAAAGTAGGTAATAATCTGGTATTTTGTTTTATAATGTAATTCCATGTTCTTGCTTAAATAATATCTGTGCTGTAAATTGTGGGCCAATATCTAAGCTGGCTCATGTTTCACTTAAGTGTGGGCTTTAATTTCTGTGCAGTGAACATTCTTCGCTGCGAAGGGTAAGTTGTCCTGGCAAGTAGCATCAGCTGGCCTCCACCGAGTTTCTCATTGCTGTGGCTGGGCTTGTTCTGGCATTGGAGCTAATTTTTCTTAGAGCTACTTCAGGTGATTCTGCCTTGAATAACAGTGAGTGACGTATGTGATAATATTTTTGGGGGGAGTAGGACGGGGTGGATCTTGATGTGTACTCGCTTGGTTCTCAGAAGTCAGTTTGTCATTTGTGAGTTCCATTTCATTGAAGTTCCATTTCATTTGCAAGTCATTTAAATAACTATTTTCAGTCAATAATTAAGAAGATGGTATAAATGCATATTGTATATGGTTTGTAGGAGCAATGCAAAGGAAAAATAAATATCTAAGGGTAAGCAGTGTGTAGCAAAGAACAGAAATAAAGAGCATGGGAAGGGCTGTGCACAGTTCTGGAATGTATGCTAGAATAACTGATGACTCCGTATATGGAACCATGATAATTACGCTTCATTCCTTATCATAATCTCCATAATTTAAAGGCAGCTCAATCTTGTGCATGGATTCCAAGTACAAAAAGATTAACATTCAGTTTGTATTTTAAATTTTTTTCAAGTTACTTCACGAAAGCCAAGGGATGATGAAAAGGATGGACAGGCATACAGATTTGTGTCACGAGCTGAAATGGAGATGGATATTAAAGCTGGCAGATACTTAGAGCATGGAGAATATGAAGGAAATCTTTATGGCACTAAAATTGATTCTATCCTTGAAGTTGTTCAGACAGGAAGGACCTGCATTTTGGATGTGAATCCACAGGTATATCATTCATAATGTTACACTAAAAATGTGGAGTATAATGTTGATGAGGCATGCCTTTAAATCCGAAGGCTTCTGACCTGGTTGAAAGATTATGCTGCCAACTGGATTTGTGTGTTTATGGAACTGAGCTGGAGTAAGTTACGAAGATGGTGGGAAAAAACAGATTCTGCATGGAAGTGGGAGCCTTGCAGAGTAGCAGTTGCTCTTTTTAACCAAGAAAAAAAATGATGCTGAGCATTTCAAAGGGCGATGTAGGAGTTTCTGAAATAAAAATCTTCTTCCATCTTGTATTTCTACTGGTTGTAATGTAATAGTCTTGCAGTGCCCCTTAAGTAAAGGGGATGTTTGAGTCATTCTCATACTTTTTTTTTCCCTCTCTTTTTTAATTGCTTCCAGGCCCTGAAAATACTGAGGACTTCAGAATTCATGCCCTACGTAGTGTTCATTGCTGCTCCAGAGTTGGAGACTCTGCGCGCTATGCACAAGGCAGTGGTAGATGCTGGAATTACAACCAAACTTCTCACTGTAAGCAGATTATTTCATACTTACTTTGCTTTGAACAGGATGTTCTTTATTTATTTTTATTTTTTTAATTTAATTTTTTTTCTAAAACTGAAGTCTTCAAGAAAAGTAAGGCAAGATATTTGCTGATTGCTTACTAGGAATTAATTAAACACTATGTATAAGGCAGAGTGCTTCTTCCTTAAAAATAGCCCTCTTACAACAGTGTTGATTACTTGAATTATCTGGAATGTATTCTTTGGGAAGGGCCACCTTTGATTATTTACAGCGAGTTATAGATACCTTGATGGCAGGAGATGTTCTTTTATATAAGCGCTTTTCCTTCACTTCACCACCTCACCCCCAGCACAGTTGTTTTTTCAGGTTTGTCTTTATGTTATAGGTGTGCCTTAAAAAGGTAATCTGTAATCCTTAGGAAAGACATTACAGGCTGTTTGGAAAACAAAAACAAAAACCAACAAAACAGAATCAAAATAAACAAACAAAAAAGCCAAACAAAGCAACCAGAATTCAACTGGACCTCATTTCCACTGCTGCAGCAGCACACACTGCACCAGAAATGGCTGAGAGCTGCCAGAAAAAGCAGCATTGAATAGCTTCTCCTCCTGTGATGTTCCTTGGATTTGTCATGTAAAGCAAAGTGGTACATTTTATTCCTCAGATCCTGTCTCCTTTTCCGAGACCCAGCGGAGACAAATGAGAGGCATAGCAAATTATAAATGTTCTGTACGGGTTTGAACTTTCCCACTGCACGACCAGTGCAAAAAAATAAATAAAGCTCAGGCTGGGCAGTTAATGAAATGATTCTCTACGCTCAGCAGTACGTCTTCCCCTTCTGGGAAAAGCCCTGGCATGCTGACAACTCAGCTGTGGTTGTATAGCTTAGATACTAGTAATACCTTGTGTGATGCTGATGGGGCATTCCAAGCTATAAAATGAGATTTAATTTGTACGGAAGTAATGTGGGATTTGTCTTTTTTTTCTCCTGAAACCTGTGAGATTCTGTTCTGTAAACAATCTGAGAAACCCTAGTTGTGGACTCAGGTTGTTATGGATTCTGGTATGTCCGTGGGTGCTTCGTGTTTCCTCCTTCCTCCAAACACTGACTTTTGCCTTGTGTAATCAAGAGGCAAGATTAAGACTGTCCAGACAAGTATAAAAGTAATTTCCTGCACTTCCTAAAATTTGATTCCCTAAGGGACATCCTTGCTTTTGTTTTACTTCCCCTGTGAATAAGAAAGAGGATAGTTACATTTAAAATATGCACTTTATAAATCTGTACGGATTCTGCATCGTGATGTTGGACATCTGCAGCTTCCTGAACAGAGAAGAAATGTGCATTTAACGTATTGCATTTAACATCTGCTAGTGGGTCTGTCTACACCATTCCTGGCTTCCCAGGCCGCTGTAAGAACTCTGGCTCCTGTGGTGCTGCATTTGCTTCCCTCCTTCATTTACTGTGAAAGGAAGGCTATTCACATAGTTCTTAATTTTGGCTTTTGTATTTACCACTGTAGTGGCATTTTAAAGATCTGAGATTCATTCAGAAATGCAGCTTTCATGATCTTTCATTGCACGCTAATTCAAATGCTTGGGGTTTTGGTGCTTTCTGTAGGGAAGAAAAAAGAGGCATAAATAAATGTACATAACCGACCCAATTACTCCCAAAGCATTACCTGTTTTGACTGAATTGTCAGTTGCCTCCACAAAGTGACAAACTGTCTGTTGTGCACACAGGGCCCCTTTCATGTGCTGTTATTGACCTACTTAAAAATGGCCAGCTGTGCAATATTTGGTTTCCATATTTAACACTGTTGACATCAAATTTAAATTGTCAGTCCCGTCAGTGCATCTTAGCTTGAGGGTTTTGTGGCTTCATTGTAAATATTTTATTTTCTTAATACGTAGCAGTATCAAGCTTTAAATGAAGCCATTCATACTACATCACAAACTGGTACTTCTCCATTGGTAAGGATGTGGCAGGTCTTCTGTTCTTAGTAACTTCCAAATGCTTCCAACAGGACACTGACCTGAAGAAAACAGTGGATGAAAGTGCCCGGATCCAGAGGGCGTACAACCACTACTTCGATCTGACCATTGTAAATGACAACCTAGACAAAGCCTTTGAGAAGCTGCAGACTGCTATAGAGAAACTGAGGCTGGAACCACAGTGGGTCCCGATTAGCTGGGTGTACTGAGATTGCTGAAGATGAGCTTAAGTAACAAATAAAATCAACTGCAGGAAACAAACTAACGTGACAAGATGTGGTGTAGATAGCGATGATAACTGCGGCGCCTGCGCATTTTTACTCTGTGTATATTCAAAAGTACACTATTCTGACTTTTTATAATAATGCTGAAGGGAAAGTGTACTTAAATATGTAATTTATTTTAATTTTTCTAACTTTTTACAGATAACCTTTCTATTCATATCACATGAAGGAAATGCGTTTAAGCATTTTATACGTTTTGATTTAGTACCTTTGCCTTTTTCATCTGAGAAACTTTCAGTCCTTCACTTTAACATTTACATCTTGGTCTTACATTTTCACTGTGACTAAAAAGAGGATACTTGAAACAATTTTTGTAAAACTTGTTAATGTCAGTGTTTGACCGGTCAAAAGTCTATAGCTCCTATTAGGAAACAACACTGGTTTCTTTTTTTTTTCCTTGAAGTAATGATTTGACAGGAGTAGAATTTCAAATGCTAAAAGCAACAAGTGACACAGCTCCATTGCTCCAGCTTCTTTCTGCTGAATGTTGAAGCATTCTCGATGTTTCACAGATTCCTGGTGTCTCTTGATTTAGACAACTGTTCTGTAGGTTCCCTTACGTGTTTCTTGAAATCACATGAAGCAACACCTTGCATGCTGCTCATCAGCTGTTCCTGGGAGCCAAACCGTGTGAAGCCTCTTGTGGTGGAAGTACCTACGGCAGGGAGCGTGTATGCAAGGTAATTCAGTGCAGTGCTGAACAGCTGGAGAGAGAACCTGATAGCGGAGCCTTGTAGAGTAAAGCTTAGTATTTAGGACTGTTGTATTCATGCGTGTGAAAACACATTGATTTTTAAAAAAGCAAACAAAAAAAGAACCCAAGCCAGAATTTTCTTTTCTTAGGACATCATTGATGTTTAAATAGTGATCTGTGGCTTAATTTCCTGAGATATCTTGTGTTCTCTTTTGGAAAATTTGTATGATCAACTGTTGTATTTTTGAGTGTGATGTAATGGAATTTCTGTGCTCTTTGTTGCATTGTGTTTTTAATTGATTTTTTCATTAGGTAGCTTGTAAATTGGAAGCTTACTGCTAAAAAGCCACGCTGTTCATAATTTTTGTGCTTTACAACATACTTCTTTTTGTGTTTGGTGACAGTTCTCCCCTTTGTAGGCTCATAGACGTAAGTCATGTTAGGTTCATTGATCAAAGCTTATGCTAATGTAAGTTTCTGCTTGACAAGAACAAAACGAAAATACAGCTTGTCACTGAGACACGCTCTTTTTGTGATCACATTTTATATTACCCTGTTAGCTGTTGTATATAGCAACATTCACCATCGCTTTCCAGGCTAACAGAAGTCATCTATTTGCTTAATTTCTCTTCCATCTGATGACAGGCACCTTGCTTCTGAATTCTTTTTCAACACCAAAGTGTGATACAGAACACTCAAAAAGGCAATTTCCTCAGAGGTTTTTCTGAAGAAAAAGAGGCCTGCACACTGTAAAGCAGTATTGGTTCCTAGAGCTCTTAAAGCCTTCTACATGCACGTGAGAATCTGCTGCTATAAGAAAAGCTTACATCTCAAAAAGCAAAACCACCCCACCTATATGCTACAGGTGATTTTTAAAGCTGATGAAGTTGGTTGTTTGGCAGGAGGCAGCTTAAGATCGCAGTGCATTTGGAAAATGTTTGTCAGAGCTGTGTTAGCATGGGGTGTCGTGGCTCTGAACACGGAGATTTCAGTCTTATGGAGGGAATCTGAAAGTTTCAAAGGAAAATTTGTGCCACTATTGGTTTTGTTTGCTCTGGTTTTATTTAAGCTGGGTAGAGCTTTTAAGTGTGGCAGCATCAGCACTATCCCTTTATTTGCCTTTCCCAGAGATGTGTTCTGTGATCCTGTCACTCAGAGACTGCTCTGAGAAATAGATGGAGTGTTTTATGTGGCAGCAAAGACAGCAGAGCCGTTGCTTGACTACTTCAGTGGTTTCGTTTTGGCATTATAAGCTTAACGTGATGGAACTGTGTTTGTATACTGTGTCATAGAAGACCTACATGTGCTGTAAATAAGATGTGCTTCCCGGACAGATGTGATGCCTTTTCATTATGAGTTAGAAAATACTCTGTGATGCCAAAAGTGGGCTGAGCTCACTCTTCCTTAACAAACGGCATGAGATGATTCTTCAGTTTCCACCCCACAGTGGTTCATATTGCAAACACCACTTGTTGTCATCATTTTTCAGACAGGTGCTCAGCCGAAAGAATCCCATGAGACATGGGCACCAAGGGTCAGTGACGAAAACCTCGCTCCTCCTATTTCCACCTCAGAGATCACACTGTGCAAAGGGCCTACACAGTAAGCAGTCTCCAAGTAGCTGTGTATTTGCTGAAGCCTGAAGCTTTAGCTTTCGCTTAAGCTCCACACAGTGTTTAGCAATCAAGCACATTTAAGTCAGCACCGTGGAGCCCAGCAGCTGACCCTTTGCTGCTGTTAATATAGATGCTAATGAGAAGTACAATCTGAGGCAATAAGCAGTGGGTTGCTAAGGTTGCATTCAAGAACCGTTATCAAAGTGAGAGCAGGTTTTAACTGGATGGTCACATGCGAGTTCAAAGGAGGAAAAAATACATTCCTTGCATCTGTTTGTTAAATCATACGAACTGAGAGTCCATGCTGGCAGGTGTGTAGTGTTTGGGAATTATTTTTTTCATCAGATATTCTGCTTAGATTATTGTTGCCCAGTAGGGTGACTGGATTGAAAATAAGTTACTTTTATTAAACCAAAGCATTCCTGGAGAGTCTTGGAATGAGGATGTCATGTTGGTCACGTACACGGTGGAACCAGACTCCACCTGTTATAGTGTGCTAAGTCAGAAGTCGGGCAGGGAGCTGTGCATTGCACTGTGAGGAAAAAGATGGTGTGAAAGGCGAGTTCTGAGCAAGGGAAGCCATTTCATATAAGAGCTGTTTGAAGTATTCCTGGGGGATAAATAGCTAGGATGTCAAGTCTCTCATTCTGTACTGAGCATTCATTTTCCAGATAACAGGAAAACTTTTGCATTGACTGTTAATAACGATAGGTGTGTCTGAGCGAGGCGAAGATGCTGCTAAATGTTTAAGATATGTGGTATGTATCACAAGATAAATATTTAAGTAAGTAGATTAGAAAAGTGAATTATCAGATAGTTGTCTGTGTATATGTATGTATGTGGATGGTGAAACAAAAGCGCTCATGTCTGCAACCACATTTCTATCTCCCATGACTTAATCCAGAAATGTACCTGCATGTGAGACTTTAGAACTGGTACACTTCTCTACCTGGTTTGTTGTGTTTACTAATGTATATTTTTCTAAATATACAGATATTTCAATCTAAAAGTTCTATATTTATCTGTAATTTCTATGTTTTAAACAGTGCATGGAGGTGCTGTAAAATTCTGTACATATAGAGAGACTTATAGAAGAAACACTGTTGTTGCCCTCTGTATGAAAAGCTATACATAAAACCGCAGTCAATATGCCAATACCCGTAAGTTACTTCTTTAAATGCACCAAAAATTCCTCAAGCTCTACACCAGTCTCAACCTTAATGTAAATACTGTTTGGTGCATTTATACCCACATGATTACCTTGCTGTCTCTGTTAGACCTGCAGGTCTACTTTAGGTTCTAAGTCATGTGACAACATGCAGTCAATTAAAGTTTGGTGTAATATGTCATCTTGCATAGACTTACAAAGGGCTTTAATAATGTAAGCATAAAATGGAGGTAAAATTGGAGCAGTATCACGTACTGACACAGGCAAGGGAAATAAGCCTTACACCTGGTTTGGTACTCTCAGGCTGCAGAGTTCTCAGATCAGTGCAGCTCTGTGTCTCAGTCATACAAAAGCTGCAGGATAGCAGATTGACTCTTTCTGAATCTGTGTTTGTATTATCTGTCACATCCTTGGTGGATTCAAATGGAACTTTTTTTTTCCTTATCTTCTGTCCTAACTCATTGTGTCCTCTCAACTCCTACCTGAGTGATTTGCTGTACAAACTGCCGGCAGCTCAGCGTTCAGGAAGTGTTCCATGGTTTGTTTGTATGGTTGTTTTTTTTTTAAGACTGATTCAGATAATAAATAGGATGTTTTCTTTTAACTTTTAAAGACAGAAAATTCCAGGCTAGGGCCCCTTTGAAGCCAAGTTTGCAAAGGACCAGTGGAGAAGGACAAGTAGACACAACTCCGGAAACCAGGAGAGCTGGGTTATGTTTTTACACAAGCCATTACTGTGAACATGATCCAACCCGACCTTCTCTCCCTATTCCTTGGCTTCCCATCTAGTCTTCATCTATCTTCATCTTTCAGACTGAACTTGGAGGCAGATGCCAATTCTCAAAACATGTACAGTGCCTGCTGCAGTAGTTGCCCAGTCACTTTTTGTGCCTGTAGGTACAGTTTTAACACTAATTACAGGGGGAAGTCTGTCACATCTGTCATGCTAATATGAGTATTTGCTTCATGCAGGGTTTCTTGCCTCACCCAAATTCTGAAGGGTTAAAGCATTGTGTTGTTATTGCCAAGTTTAACAATGCTTCTTCTGCAAAAGTGTTCAGAGATTGATTTATCTGCGTTTAGATAGCGGTTACTGGATACAAGAGACTTCTAGTCTGCCAGACCTCTTGCCTTAAATATCCCTGTAGTTCTTACAGAAAACCTCTCCTGGGCTATTAACAAGATTTCTTCAGTGAAAGGGACTTTGATTTCTCTGCTGGACGGTCATGCTTGAAGGTGGAGAGGTTCTGGCCCTGGTTTCTTTGTTTTTTCCCCCATCCTTTTTGGTTTTCGCATCTTTAACAATCTTTCTAATGTGAACTGTCTGGGATTCTCACCTTGCCTCCTTCAGAGGACACAGTGGTCAACGTAAGCATTGGTACTTAAGAACAGTGGAACTTGCTGTTGGCAGTCCTGTACAGGATGCAAAAGAAAAAATCGTATTGCATTAAAAAAAAAATGTAAAATTAATAAATTTTCAGAGGCAGCTTTGGCTTCCAAATAGTATTAGTGTACTTGCACACTGACTTATATAGAAATAGATAAATAGAACTTAGGATTAATATACTGCAAGTATTTAAAACAGTATTTGCTAACTTGAATTTGCCATTTTGGACCACAGTGGGATACTGTTCCACAAACGGACACGATAAACTGCTGAATTCTTTGTTCATTTACTGGTACTGGAGCTGGAATTTACCTGCTTACATAAAAATGCCAGCTTGGTAAAGGCTGTGGAGGAGTTTTACCTCCAAACAGATTTTTTTTCTTCCTTTTTTAAAGGACAGTTTCAGCAATATTTATATTTTATAGGATACAGTACATTTAAAGTAAGTGTGAATTTTGTTCTCAATATTCTTAACCTTTTCTCATAGTAGTCGGGTATGGATTTTCTTTTGCTGCTCATGCAGAGGTTGGATGGGCAATAGGACCAGCCTATAATGATAATAGGGTTAAAGTAGTCCTGGAACCATTTTCTCCCATTTATTCATTAGCTCCATGGTAATGCATGTCCCTACAAGTGCGGCTGTCTTCACAGCTGATGCAAGTCAGCACTCCATGGGTAGGCAGCACTCACCTGGAGTATGGTAGAGCTCTTCCTACAGCCCCAGTAACTTGTCAGTCATTTGACATCTTGTATGACGTGCAGAGCAGCATTAATGACACCGCTCTGTACAGTTCTGGGAATGGCAGCAAAATCATTGGCTGCAAAATTCTTGTGGGTTGTTTTTCTTCTGTTTTTTTGGGGTTTTTTTGACCAATTTGTGTTGGTTCCTCTTGTGCAATTACTTATGGAGAGAGCTGCAGAAAGGGATTTCTCCCCCACTGAAAATGCATGTTGAGCTTTCCCTGGCCCTGACTCCTGCAGCAAGCATCTCCTGTATGTAACACGAGTACTCCGAAGTAAGGAGGAACCTCTTCCTTAGGTTTTAAAGCAGAAACTTTGGCACCCTCTCACCCCAAGCTGGGCTAAGAACTATCAAACCTTGTTTAAGTGTTTTGATTTAAATGTGTGTTAAAAGTGTCAGTGTACATCTCTTTCCCTCGCTTATTCTCATATCTGTTTTTCCCTCTTGGAAGCTTTGAAGAATTATTTTTTTTCCTTCTACAGAATATTAAACTAAACTGGATTTAAAACTTGTAAATGTTGAAGAACTGCTCTCCTGTAAAGAAACACTTTCTATTAGCTGAAAATATCCTACAAAACAATCTTAACTATTAAATAAATTTTCTAGTGCAAAACTGAAGCTGACTTAGTAGCAGCTAACTGTTGTTTGAATACAGTGCTTTAGAGCAGGCCTAGGAGGTGGGACTCAATAACAGGCTGACTTTCTATTGATCAGCTACCACATAGGACATTTTTAAATTGTAACTTGTTTTCTAAAACCCCCATTTGTCTTTTTCACAGCTAATATTTTCACAGTAAACACAGCCAAGCGTAAAAATATTAATGTACAAATTGTGAAATTCTCTTAATTCCCAACAAAATATTTTTGTATATAATAAAGATTTAATATTGAAAAACTACACTCTTTTTTGTTGGATTTTTTTTTGTCTTTTCTGTGACTTGTAGCTAAGAGATGCTATCCACAGGCTGTGAAGGCTTACCAGGAAGAAAAGGCAAGCAGTGCTGTGGAATTCCCCTGCCCTCCTTCCAGATTGAAGGGCTGTGCTCCTGTGCTAAGCTCTGGGATTCAGCTACAGCTCGGAGGGTGGGAAATGAATGGCATTCAACATTTGAAACTAATTTCAAGGGGGTGAAAACAGGATGGAGATTCTCTTGTGAAAGAAAGGTGTTGGTCACAGTTCAGAAATGTGACTTTTTGGCTTTTGAATGCACCCATTCCGGATCCTATGCAGAGCACTCTGGGCCTCTTCAACCATCCTATAAATACCACTGCCAAAGCGGGGCTGCTTACTTTCTAATCACTACCCTATTAAGGGTGTCAGTCTCCTATGTTCACATTGTAATTCACCAGCATACATAAAGCTCCGGCAGCTGAGGCCTGCAGCACAAGGTGAGCACTCATTACTCGTTACATCAAGGCTGAGGCTGCTGGAGACAAAAATAAAAAATAAATCAAAGAGACTGAAAAGCAACTGCTGACCTCACCTTCCCTTATCCCGATGTGATTCTGAAATGCAAAGCTGAGGGGTCTTCCTCCTTCTGTAGAAGGCAAGTGTATCAGGAAGCAACAAGGGAGAGACAGAGTGAAACAAAGCGCCAACCTCTCCTGAAGGACCCCAGTGCCCTCTTACCACCTCTGTTTTCTAGGCAAGACCCCAGCTAACCTTGAAGGAGCGCTTTCTGTACGAGGCCAGCCTGTCACAAGCAATCACTGCTTCAGCCAGGATGCGCTGAGTAGAATCTGAATTCATTTGGATCAGTGCAGCCAGGGTCCCTGAAGAGGCTCTCCTCATTTAGCTTAGGGAAGGGCAGAACAAAACTTAGAGAGAGACTCATTGCTGCTGCTGCCTCTTTGGATTTATGTATCCCCAGCCTGAGCTATTTTGAATGTTCACGTGCAGAAAGATGCTACTTTCAGAAGGACAGAGAGCACATAAGAGGGCAGACCCACGCCTGGTGGCTGCCGTGTGCAACCAATGCCTTTTTTTGTAACAGTTTCTATAGAATACCTGGGGGTCTTTTTCCTATGCAAACAAATCCCCTCATACATGTTCAGTACAGGCCACCAACCCTGAAAGCAGTTAAGTGCAGCACATACAAGGCTTACAACAAGAGTAAAATCAGGGTACGTGGACAGCAGCACTACATGGAGTCACACACATCTTGCTGTCTGCACGCACCAACTTTCAAAGCCAAGAAAAGGACTGGAATCAGAAAAAGGATGAATGGAAATCACGCAAATTGACTTTTAAAATTATTCTACTGTCCTGACATCCATGAAATACATCCATTAAATACAAAATTCTGATAAAACAATTACAGAGGCAACTTGCTTACGAGCAGTTGGCAAAAGCAAACCTTCCCATGTACAGACACACAACTCACACAAGCAGGGTAAGGTGCTCTCAGGGCATTTCTGTACGCACCAGTGCAGCGTTGGGCCAAAACTATCAGCTTCACTTCACACTCACATTACAAATGAGACACTGAAACACCACCACCTCAGTCTGAGCACCTCTCCTTCCAGGTGCCTAACTGTCAACCATCCCTCAGTGCTGGCTAAAAGCACCAAGAGCCTGCTTCATTGGAACAGCTTCCTGCATTTACAGTGATCTCTCCTGCACTTCTGTCCCATTTCCATGATCACAGAAAATTATGATCAAAAAAAGGCAGAACAGTTCAAAGCACAAAGTGCTTTACATTAACTGTGCTATAGAGCTCTGCTGTTAGTGAAAGACAAGCAGAACACTGACAGCGTCACATGGGTAAAATGACTGCTTTGTGGAGTGCAGCAAGGACTTCTGCTATGCACATACCAGAAGGCATCACCGTATCTCAAAGAGAAAGTTCAAAATACAATGTAAGCAGCTGAAACTTGCTAAGCTTAGTAAAAACTTATTGGAAAAGAGGTAGAAATCCCTAAGGTGGTCTCAGTTTTGGAAAAAAAGAAAAAAGAGTTCATTATTTCCTGCAGTGTGCAGCTCACATCCATAAAGCCAAACTACACTTAATGAAGAAAAACCTAATGAAGTGCCCTCCACTTCACGTCCTCCAGAGTGAAGGTATTCTGCACGTCAGGTCTTGAGTGAGCAAAGCACGTACTGCATTGCACAATGCTACATTTCCACAGCCTTTTTGCTCGCTTGCTTACAAAAAGCAGTTTGTACTTTGCAGTTTTCTCCCACACATATTAATGCAAGCAATCAGGCTTCCACTGCTCTGCAGTTCTGACAACTATCAGAATAGCTATGTTCAATTTCTCTTCCAGGCTCATCTTTTTTTTCCCTTCTTCCCCTGCATCCCTTATTTACTTATTTATGTATTTTCCACTGCAGACAAACCTTAGTGGAGCTGCAGAGCAGCAGTGTGCTCACTCCTTGCCTGTGCTGCCCTGTGCCACCTGGCTTCAGTGCTCTGAGAACTCAACCCCAGGGCTCTCACATGCTCACAAGCATCAGCGCTACACTGCAGAGCTACACAAGGAAGGACAGGGAGGGCAGTAAGTGCTCAGAAAAGCTCCTCTACAGCCCCACTCAAACTGTGAAGCCCGCAAAGCGCAACATAAAGAACAAGTGGGAAGAATCTGGGTTCTCTCATAGTTACAGCTTTTACAGAAGACTCTGTCTTCTCCAAATTAATGTTCGTTGAAGCAAAAAGCCTTTGCACGACATCAAATCTTCCTGTGTCAGTGAGAGTTGCCACCAAAGGACTGCTCAGTGCCAAGGTGCCATCAGCTGAAGCGATGTAAGGCTGTATTTATGAGAGAGAGAAAAAGAGAAACAAAGACATTAAAAAGGCCTTTCAAGCAGTGCTGTTTGGTGTCACAAAGCTTAGTTCTTTCTTACAAAGCCACTGGAGAGCTTACAAGGCAGTGTAAAAGGGAAAGATTCCCTGTTCCATCAGCCTTGACAAGTACAACGTACTCATCCCCAACCAAAGCTCACCTCCCACAGTTATGTTTCAAATACTCCATTGATTTATGATGGCCCCCAGCCTGGTACCACCCATGCCCTGGTTCACCCTCGTGATGCTGGGGATACCAGCACCCCCAGGACAGACCTGGGATTTACTGTACCAAGGAAACCCAAATGCCAACAATTTAAGTGTCCTGATGCAGGCACCAAAACCTGAAGCAGTTTTAAGGGATTCCCAAATAACCCTCCAGATTCCAACCATGATGAAGTAGGTGACTCACTACTGCTTAGAAAGACAGTTTTGACTTACTATGGCAAAGAGCTGCTCCACAGATTACAATTAACCCTCTTACTCTGAAAAACTCCAGCATTCATCTTCTCTCTACACATCTAAAGGGTTCTACTGTAATTTTTGTCACTGACCTTAAGAAATTCAGAGCCAATGTCAACTCTGTGCCTTCTTTTAAATAGTTTTAATGAATGGCCTCTGAGATTTCAAACTTCAGAATCTGCCAACGCCCAAGCAACACTGGTATCAAAGCAGAGTTTCTGTTCCCCAAGGGCAGGTGATTATTGCTAGTGAGATTTTTAAATGGGCTATGGAGACTACTAGTAAATTAAAACTCAAGTTAAAATTACTATTTTTTTTTGCTCTCAGCTCACAGAGTCACCAAAACGCAGAAATGCTTCAGAAATGAGGTACCCATCTGCAGTAAATTACCCACACTGTTTGCCACTGTCAGGCTCTGACCCTGTCTAAGCAATGCTTCAAGCTGAAATTCACACTGGAGCCTGACATCTGCTTTCTTGGGTGGGAACACAGTGAGCCAGGGAACGCAGCCATTACTGCTGCTGGTGCTCACATGCTACACGGGCACGCTCTGATTACTCACCAAGCAACACAATGCCGGAACAACCTGTAGATCAGAGCAGGCACGCAGCAGGACAAGAGTGTAATCAGACAGCTCTGTGAAGGAGACATTAATAGGGAAAGATTGTTTCCAGTGAGCAGCGTACAAGGCTGGCTGCTGGAGCTCTGCTATTGGGCTCTCCTGCTGAGCAGCAACAGCAGGCTGCATTTCTGAGGCCCACGCAGGTACAGAACCCTGGGAAACAGGAACAAAGAGATTCTACACCAAGGAGAGCTGTGACAAAGTGCTCTGCTGGACACAGGGAAGAGGCTGATCCAGACCTTTCCGGTTTGCTTCCTAGACTGTAGAATCAAAGGGGGTGGGCAGTGGGTGGAAGCAAACCCTGCCCTTGACAGATAGGTAGTGGTGGGAAGGATCTCCTCCCTGGCATTTTCTTCCTCTCCCCAGGTATTTCCCCAGTGTTTCTGGGAGCCTGCAGGCAGGCATATGATTTAGGCTCTGAATGAAACAAGAACCTCTGTTCTCAAAACCTGCTGTAGATGCTGACCTCAGCCAAAACACGATTTGAGAGGAATGACATAGCTTACTCTGCCCTGGGGAGATGGACTGAATGGTCCCTGTGGTGCCCTTCAACTTCATAACTGAAATCCGTAAGAGAAGCAACAGGCATAAAACAGCTTTGGATCTTAATCCAGCTGCAGTTATGCCTGGACACGAGAAGCAGACGTCATGTCCAAAGCCAGGTGATAATTCAGCATGCTCAATTAGCTGCACTCTGCTGTTAATAGCATCTGACAAGCATTACCACACCAGTGGCTGTTTTCTATCTCTTTTCCCTATCTACAAATTAGTTAAGCTTTCCTATCTGTGTACCATTCATACACGGATGCAAACTGATACTCTGCTGCACGGCGTCACATCTAGAAATGCTGCACTGTACCAATTCTAGCTCATATTGCACTGGATTCCTTTGTTAACCTTAATGTCAGGTAAGCCTTTATGTTTGACAGAGAGGAGAAAAAGCCAGGAAAGAATCTATCTTGGATTCTGCAGGTGACCTGTAATTAACACTGGTGTCAAATAAATGCCATCCTCACCACCTAGTTGGCATTTATATTTAATCTCCTTTTTCAGTGGCTGCAGAATAACTCTTAATTGCAGTGTCTCCATGTTAAATTCATTTTTGCTAAATATAGTTTGGCCCTCAACTGTTACAGAGAAGACACCACCTCATTTGTAATTCTCAGCATTTGGGCAGGAAGAACTCTGGCATGCAGCAAGAACAGAAATTAGCTTCTCAAATGGGAAATGCCCACATTCAGCAGAAACTAGAGTAATCTTGAGGGAATGTGTATTTTACAAGTAAAATCTGCCAGAGATCAAGGGCTGAATTTAATTCACAGCTAGGAATGCCTGGCATCATACAGATCCCAGAAACAGAACAGAACCAATTACATTTGCTAAGCTCATCAACTGCTCGAAAAGAGCCACATTTTGTGCAGAGGGACTTTCTAGAAGGGATGGAACAAAAAGGCTCTCTTCTTCATTCACAACATACCAGAGATAGCACTGATGAGGAGGTGAACAGCTGAGAGCAGTTCTTCATCTTGAAGCTGATAATTCTGCAACAATAGCTCATCCTGTACACTGCACCCCACCAGCTGGAGGAAGTCAGCCAGGTCCTGCTGCTGTGCAGGTTTTAACTCCTTCAGGTCTGGCTTGTCTCCTGCACACAGAGCATCTAACTGGAAGCCAAAGAAAAAAACACAACTTCTTGAGAAGCTCCAGGGAGACCTCATTAAGGCCTTACAAATTTGAAAGGAGAGTACAAACAGGAGGGAGAATGACTGTTTACAAGGGCAGATAGTGATAGGACAAGGGGAAATGGTTTTAAACCGAGGCAGGGGAGGTTTAGGTTAGATATTAGGAGGAAGTTTTTGACACAGAGGGTGGTGATGCACTGGAACAGGTTGCCCAGGGAGGTTGTGGATGCCCCATCCCTGGAGGCATTCAAGGCCAGGCTGAATGTGGCTCTGTGCAGCCTGGTCTGGTGGCTGGTGACCCTGCACATAGCAGGGGTTTGAAACTGGATGAGCATTGTGGTCCTTTTCAGGCCATTCTATGATTCCATAAAAAAAGTTTGAGTGCAAGATAATGCTCGCTCTGTTCTGAAATTACTTTTAGGAAGCAAGGAAAAGTTTCTTTATCTTACCACATCTTCCAGGGCAGTTAATGTTTCTTCATGCAGCAGGAGTTCGCACAGACTTTTATATAAAGCTCTTTGCTTGTCTTCTGGCAGCTTCACAAAGGGTTGGAACTGAGCCTTCAGCTGTGACAGACCTTTCCCAAAAAAGCAGTAAAAAGTAGAACTAAGTACTGCTACACCAGTGCCAGTAAAAACAGTTAATGTTTTTGCTATGCATTTCATAAGCTAGTTTATCACTGCATCTCGCCACCCTGATTTCAATCAGCGCAAGTTATAATGAAAGGCTGGAACACATCTGAATATATTTCCCTCATTAGCCAACAGAATGGCCATGAAAATTCTGAGGAAAAAAATACTGCTGCTAAGGATTAACATTCCATACGTTCTGTATTTTGGAAGTCAGTATTTTAATATTAACTGAATTAACCATACATTAAGTGTACAGCCTGGATGTTCATCTCTAGACAATGTCCATTCTAAGGCAGAATGCAGCTCATAACCTCACTTTCTGAACTACGGGTTAATGCCAATTACCAGTCAATGCTCTGAGTCCACACACAGAATTGGAGGCTTCTGCTGTGCTCAATTGTAAGCATCTTTCTATTTCAACAGAGGGATCCAAGCATTACACACCTTCAGTTCCCAGAATGACCAGTTATGCTTAATGACAAAAATATTTTCTTGATTGAAATACTGAATTCATTACAGTTCATATACAGAAACGCAAGAGAGTTCAATGCTTTTCTTTTCCACCATTCAGTTACAACTCTACAACAAAATATCATACGATTGTATCAAAATTGACTACTTAGGTAAAACAAAAGAAGTTTTCAAGTCAACAGTGTCAACTGGAAGACTGGAATGTGCTCTTTCACATTCCAAAAAATACGGGCATGAAAGCATTCTTAACCTTGTTTAAAGAAGCAAAGAGACTTTGCTTGATGTCTCTCCAGTAAGATGCCTTTCATATCTGAAAATTTCTTTATTAAAAAAAAAGACAAAACAGCTCACCCACAGGCAGTTTTTTTTTGCATCTGATGCAATACGATGTACTTGGACCTACAGACCCCTTGTCTATCCAAATAACAGCGTAAGAAACCTGCCTTAAATTGCGCTGGTAGAAATATTCTCCATTTTTTACCTAATTCAGTTAATTAATTAAAGTCTCCAAGTCTTCAAAGAAAGGCAAGAAGATATGTTAAGCTAAAACAAACTGCAACAGTGGCATACTATTTTTTCACAATTTTTTTTCCCCCAAAACACACAGAGATAGTTATTCCTTTATGACAACTCAATAGTAATAAGAGAACTGTCAGGACAACACACATTCATTTTGGTAGAAGTCAGTCTGTAGAAAAGTCATGAACAAAGGGTGAAATTCAGAGATAACAAAAGTAATGCTCAGCACCAGAAACAGCTGTAAGAGCTCAACCCAGAACTGATGAAAAGCAAAGTGTGTTCAGAGGCCTTGATTTGTTACCTTTTTCCATTCCTGCGCTAACCTCACCCCTCCTGCACCCCTACAAAAAGCACGTTATGCCTGGCACATTACATCCATTCACAAACTTCCACTTGTAGCATATTTTAATTTCACCAGCCTTAGTTGTTATGAAACATTCCTTGTAAGCTTGTCAGCAAATAATCACAGAATCACAGATTGCCAGGGTTGGAAGGGACCTCAAGGATCATGAATCTCCAAACCCCTGCCACATGCAGGGCCACCAACCTCCCCATTTAGTACTAGACCAGGCTGCCCAGGGCCCCATCCAACCTGGCCTTGAACACCTCCAGGGACGGGGCATCCACAACCTCTCTGACAGCCTGTTCCAGCACCTCACCACTCTCATAGTAAAGAATTTCCCCTGACATCCAACCTAAATCTTCCCCCCCTCAGCTTAAAACCATTTCCCCTTGTCCTGCTGTTATCTACCATTTCAAAGAGATGGCTCTCCCCTCCTGTTTGTAGGCGCCCTTTAGGTCCTGGAAAGAGAATAACTAAAGGAGAAGGAGTGGATGCCTTGGTAATTTTTGAGACTTTAATTGAATATTCAGAGTTTTTTCCAGATCATGAACAAATATTTTCAGTGAACTTTTCTGTATGAAAGCACAAATTATCACTGATTTTACAGAATCACAGAATCACCTGGGTTGGAAGGGACCTCAAGGATCATGTAGTTCCAACCCCCCTGCCTAGCAGGGCCACCAAACATACACATTCAGATCAGGTTGCCCAGTCCAACCTGGCCTTGAACACGTCCAAGGACGGGGCATCCACAACCTCCCTGGGCAGCCCGTTCCAGGGCCTAACCACTCTCCTTGTGAAGAACTTCCCCCTAACATCCAACCTAAATCTTTCCTCCTTCAACTTGGATCCATTTCCCCTAGTCCTGCTGTTGTCAGCCCTTCTGAAGAGTTTACTCCCCTCCTGGGTGTAGGTTCCCTTCAGGTATTGATAGGCTGCAATGAGGTCACCCCGCAGCCTTCTCTTCTCCAGGCTGAACAAGCCCAACTCCCTCAGCCTGTCCTCATAGGGGAGGTGCTCCAGCCCCCTGATCATCTTAGTCGCCCTCCTCTGGACCCTTTCCAAGATCTCTATGTCTTTCTTGTACTGAGGGCTCCACACCTGGACACAGTACTCCAGGTGGGGCCTCACAAGAGCCGAGTAGAGAGGGACAATCACCTCCCTCTCCCTGCTGACCACCCCTCTCCTGATGGAGCCCAGGATCCCATTTGCAACCCATTTCATAGAGGTTATGCACAATATAACAGAACTGACATAAATACAATCTTAAAATAGAGGGTTTTATGGCAAAGGGATTCAGTTTGTTGCCAGGGACCAGTTCCCTGCATGGCCCCATTACAGAAGTCAGTCTTTTTGTTCTTCTAACATCATTTCTTATGTACTATGCTACCAGATTATTGCCTTCTATCACACTGCTTAACTCCCTGCAATGTAATCATGTAAAACACTTCTGGTAATACCTTCTTTCAACACACTTAAAGAAGCGTGGCTGGGAATGGGGCTTTCAGCCCCAGAGTGCATCCCATTATCAACAGCATCTGGGTGATACAGGAACGAAGTATCTCTGAACAGCACTGAGTGGGGTGACGTCGAACCTTCTGAGCTTTCTCTTTCAAAACCTCCTTGCTGTTCATCTAGCAGACAGAATTCTGAAATCAGAAATACATTTTAAAAAAATGTCACAAAACACACAAGCAATAACTGAACAAGATGCTAGCTTACATCATCAAGTGTTCTCACACAATTTCTCCACACATCATCTCTTCTAAATGGAGATAATGCCAGTGGTTGCTTGCTGCGTGCTATTACTGCAGCCCTAAAGCACCAGCAAAGGCCCTGTGCTGCAGCCGTCAGCCACAAAATGCAACATCAGTTCCCATGAATTAAAGTACTGGAGCCAGGAAGTAACATGAAAACTTCTCATAGACACTGTGAACGCAAGTGCTGCGTGCAGATGTAGATAGGAATTGTTTGTGATTTCTATCAGTAAGAGATGCACTAGAATACCGTCTACAGAATCCACTCACAATGGAGGCACATGAAAGCACTTCCTGGGATTTAAAACAAGCTCTCAGAGCATCCCTTGCAGAACTTCTGGTCTGGCATTGACAGACACCTCCTTCTGAGTCAAGATGCAGATCCACACTCGAGTCTCCAGGCAGGTGAAAATTCATTGGCTCTTCTGGGTCTCTGAAGGACTTCTAGCCACGCTCACTAACCCTTCAATACACTGTCTCTTTTGCAAGAAGATGGAGAAAATAACATACTCTTGGTCTATTCCTCTTTCTGATGCATCTTCATAACATTCTCTTGGGATTCCAAGCACTGCTCTACCTCACCCAAGCAAGACTGTCTATCTCTTACTACTAGACTGCTCCTCACTGCCCCAGCTTTGTGAAGCTGTGGGACTCCTGAAAGGAAGGAGCCTTTGTAGAAGTTTTGCTGAGAAATTTACAGCATCATGTAAATTCCGTGCTCACGCATCAGACTCTCTGAGTCTTTGGGGCATGACACAATCAAAGCTCTATGCATTATTTTATAATTTTTGTAGAGGGTTAAATGTAAGATTTTAAACCATAGCCCTGGCACTCCAAAGCAGGCCTAAGGAGAACACAGGCAGGTTAGCAAGAGAAAGTCAATTTTGAAGTAGTACCTGACAGCAAAGGGAAAAACGTAACTCATCAAGCACATGCTCACACGTACTGGGCACAGAACCTAAATATAACCTTCCCACAGTTGTAACAGCCTGTCTCACCAAATTAAGGACATTGAAAGCAGATGAGAAAGCACAGAGAGCACTCCATCAGCAAAAAGCTTTTTCAAAGGGAGAGCAGACAAAGAAATCTCTGCCGTGGAAAATGAAAGAGACCTTTATGCCTGCATAACCCTTCACAGAGAAGAGCAAGCTACAGAGGAGCAGAAAGTGATTAACCCAAATTAAAGAACTTCCCAACGCAACAAGACTCAGGACGGTGGCAAAGGCATCACAAGGCCAACATGTTCGTGTAACTTTCATTGATGATGATAAGGCTTTCACATGAACCCTGAAGGAGGAGATAGGGCTAATAAACTACCTGCACTGAAAAAAGAGGAAGACAATAAAGGAAATAACGCGCAGTATCGTGCAAAGTGCACATCTGCTGTAAAATCTTGTAACAGGACTGTTTTGCTTTGTATTAACAAGACTGTTAATTAGTTTTATAACCTATAAATTTTATCAAAGAAGGAAAAAGACATGAAAGAAAGAATACATCTAATACTGTGGTATTTTTTTCTGTTGGATTCTATCACAGAGCTCGCTGACAAATCTCCACTGGCAGTTAGATCTTGGCAAAAACATCACCAAAAAACATAAGAAATACAAAGATGACCAATAAAAATGATGCACTGATGATGCACTGAGATGCTGTAAAGATTAGGACAGTTTAATTCCCAGGCACGTCGTAAGAACATCACAAATAAACAGCAATGAAGAGAAAAATGCTGGCCAGCCAGGTGCCACAGCCTGTTTTGAGAAGGGAGAACAAGAGGGCTTGTGGTAAAACGAAGAGAGAGAGAACTGAGCAGCATTTAATGGAAACAGCTATTAGCTCAAGGAGAAAATTAGCCTGCAAAAATCAAATGCATATGGAATGAGTGGAGGAAAACATTGTGGTAAAGAAATTGGAAAGGGATCAGACTTATTTTTTTCCTTTTTCTTTTTATGCTCAAAAACGTCCTGTCACATTAGCCAGGGCATTTTTAAGAAAGTTTACACACCAGTCTTCGGTAGCAAATAACTCCAAAGCTGTCTGTCAGTGGCAAAGAAAAAGGAACAAGGATAGGTGCACCTTATTCCACAATTAGCTGTGAAGAAAACCCCATTATGTTACACCTGCTATTGGCCACTTCCAATCCCATGAGAAAGGACCGCATCAGTCCCCAGCCTTAACTTCAAAGACAACTGTTATCTCCATAAACAGACACCGACCACTGCTCAGACATTAAGAAGCTGAAGGCTGAGCTCCACCATACTTACTCTTGCTAGAAACTTAACCTTTTCAATGACACAGTACTAACTGAAAAAAGTAAGATGGACATCGTTTGAGAGAAAGCATGAAACAAGCTGTGATGTTTCTGAAGCTTGAGATATAATGCTCAATGTGAGACAAAATGGAAAAAAAAACTAGAAGAAAAAAAAAGCAGAGAATTACAGATCATTAACAACACTCACATATTAATTATCAGCTAGAAAGGTAAGATTTTCCATCTTGAAATCATGTAAGCAGGCTATCAGCTATAACTTCATGGTTGTATATCAGCTATCAGCTATACATCCATGCTATCATACAATAGCTTTAATTGCACCTGATTTCAGTGAATTAGAGTTCTGTTTTGACCATGAAGTCAATGCCCTCTAGTGTATCTCTGTGTTCACTGTACAGCAGAGCAATTCCACATTTTTTTTTTACAGGTTATGTGGTACTTACACATATTCCTGAACCTACTTGCTTTCTTAATATCAGAATTCATCTGAAGGAGAATGATGGAGACTATTACGTGCATTTCTTATCCAAATAAAGCGCACCCTAGATTCAAATCTCAACTGTACCTCATGTTTCTTTCTACACCACCACTGTCTAACTTCCAGTCCTACTCAGCCCGCCCGACTCCTCTCCTTTTTGCATAACATCCCCTGAAACCTCTTTTAAGTCAGGGAGTTTAACTGAGGACAGGCAAGAAAGAAAAATCCAGCTGATACCACAGAGCAGAGTTACCACCTCATCTACTCACCAAACCAATTAAAAAATACATTTAAAATAAGGAACGCACAACCAAAAGAGATAGCAAGAAAATTTCTGCAACCATTCAGTGAACAATGTATATACACAAGTGTAAACTAGACAAAAAAATGTCTGAATTCTGGTAGTAGATTTTATGAGCAATTCTTCTGTTAGTATGACTGCTGTCTACACATTCCTGGTTGACTCTACATTTAGATCAAACCTGGAAGGATTTCCAGGTGCCTTTGCAGCTCTTGAGGTTCCTTGCTTCTGGGCTGCACTAGCAAGAGCGTAGATAGAGGACTGATCAAAGTGACTCTTCATTTGGCATTTGAGCAACTTCATTTAGAGTGCTGTGTCCACTACAGGAAAGACATTTGTATGCATACAGAAGTAAGTATATTAAGTTGTAGATGCCCCACCCCTGAAGGCATTCAAAGCCAGGCTGGATGTGGCTCTGGGCAGCCTGGTCTAGTAGCCAGCAACCCTGCACACAGCATGATCGTTGCGGTCCTTTTCAACCCAGGCCATTCTATGATTCTATGATTAAATGTAGCAATGCCACCAAGACTTCTGGGAGCTGGAGAACATCATGGATAAGAGGCTGAGAGACTGGATTTGTTCAGGCCCAAGAAAATACAGATAAGGGATGACCTTTCTGCTACCTACAGCAAACAAAGACCGACTATTCCATATGATGACAGGACAAAGATGCAAGAGAGAGAAATTCAACAAATTCTTGTTAGATATTAAGGGGAAATAGGAAGTTCATCCTGATGGTGGTCAGATATGAGAAGAGGCCACTCAGAGGGGCTATAGAATCTCTCTCTGGAGATATTCCAAACTCAAATAGACAAGGACACAAACAATCTGATCTAATACTGAACTTGGATCCTTTAAAGCTGGCCCTACATTGGGGCTGCACTGCCTGTGGTTCCCTGAAACCTAAATTACTTAATGAGCCTGCAATTTAGGTAAACAAACAAAAGAGCATTAGCAGATCAGAAGTGTTGCATTTCAAAGTGGAAGTAACTACCACGGCAGTGGAAACTATATAATATCATCACCTTTGATTACAGGAGAATGCAAAAACCACTGCTCAACAGTTTTTTTTTTCCCACAACTCAATGGTGCATCACAGAAAACAAGCTTTTACTTACCAAACTGCCCATCACACTTTATAAACAGTTCAATTACACCATAGGCAATAGTGGTTGCAGGAGGAATCTCGAGAATCACGCTGGAATCCTTCATCATACTTCCACTGTCACTCACTGAAACCTACAAAACATTAATTGATTATTTCATTCAGCTGTTGTGCAGCTTAAACACAAAAATGAGTACAGAAAAAAAACAGAGAAAGGACATGCTTCATGATGTCTAACCCACAGCACACGTCTGACATCTGAAAAAAAAACAAAAACAAAATGAGCAGCAAGGTAGGAGCACCAAAGTGCCAAGTGCAGGTCTCAAACTTTGCCATTCTGTTCAAAGTTGAGTCCTGGGTGCAGCTTTTGCCATGTGAAGCTCTGTCACCAGAACTGGCATTCTCTTTGGTGTCCTGTCCTACCCTCTCCTATCCTGATATCCCTTTGGCCAACTGGTAAGTGGTGCCAGGAAGATGGCACTTGTGCAGAGTTGCTGAAATGCACTTCCCAAGTGTCTGCCACTCAAGACTCTGCACATAGAAGTGATTTGTCATATCTTGTGACTTTGGCAATTTCTTCTCAATTCACAATGTCCTCACTACGCAATTAATCTCTACTCCCATGATCAAAAATACAGTAGATTCCCAAGAAATATTATTAAACTTGCTAACACTGCAAGCATTTCTGATATATCATTCCTTTGCTGTTCAAATGAATTTGCTTCAGTAATGCTTTCTGCTCTTCAACTTTCACTGAATTGTTGGTTTACGTTTTGCTGTAGACAGGATTCTACAGAGAAATCATGAGGTTGTAACATTGATGGAAATGTCATTTCCACACTAAGAGATGACATCTTTTGCCAGTGAGGCAATGAGGAATACATTTTACATTTGTAAAGTTTCACAGCTAAGTAATGTAGTGAGTTCTTGCCATTGACAGAGTTTAAAACGTTACAGAAAAATGCTCTGAAATTTATTTGGTACAGAGAAATCAATTGCAACTCAGATAATCTGCAGATTTAATGAGACAAACGTTCTATTCCTTACAGATCTGATACATTTTACCTGCACTATCTTCGTACTGCATCCCAGCAGACCGCTGACTTTTTCTTCTGTCTGGATATGTTCAGATATTGTACACCTTTGTGTTGTTATTATCTTCTCCCTCAAGATGCACAGTACTTCACGCTTTCGTTCTATTACTTGTTGCAGTAAACTACTATTTAAATTTATCATTCTGAAACAAAAAAAGACACTATTAACAACAAATACCAGAATGGAGAAAACTTGTTCCTTTGTTTCAAGAAGCTTTTATGAAAAAATAACAATGGTTTCTGTTTGAGCAGTCTGCACAAAATAATTATGTCCTCTTTTGTTATTTGTAGCAGCAAGGCTGTAAATGTCAGTACTGTGCAGCAAGCCCTAATATACATATTGAATTCCTGACCTCCTCCTCCAAAGAAAAATGTCATCTGGCTACCTTCTAAGCAATAATCTGATTAAGATATGTCCGTTATGTTATACTTTTGCAAAATACCCACCAGAAAGGTCCTCACATGAGATGAAGTATTTTCTACGAGCAGAGAACTCCAGCAAGACATCTGGAAGGTCAGAAGATTGCTATCCCTTGCTGAAGTCTTTTTTTTCTCTATTTTACTGAAGTGGCTATTCATGAGGCTACATGGCAATTCCCCAAAAATATGACAGAAAGACTCCACTTTATTTAAATCAAGATATCTCCACTTTTAATTAAAAAGTTTTAGATTTATTACATTCTGGAGTTTGGGATTTACGTGGTCCATAAAAGCCTGAAGTCAGCTTGGCTCGTTATTAAATTAAAAATAGCCTGAGGCAATTTTTGATCTTTGGAGAGTTACATGCTTATATGAAAGTTCAATCAGTTGGAATGAACTGTCTGGAAACCTTAAAGTTGATTGTTTAAACACAGGAAAGAAAATACCTCTGAAGCAATGCAGCAGCCACTAGAAAAGTACCCCCAAACATTCCTCAGATTATTAATAGAACTTCCTTTCTTTTAGTGAAAAGCCATGCTTTATGCTTGGAATGCAATGAATCTTTGGATTAAGAGAAATGGAAGAACTGTCACGCAATCACAAACACTGCCGTTCTTAGAAGCGTCTGCCAAACCGCAGCTATTAATTACACTGTATCTCGCAGAACTCCATCAAGCCTATCATATACTTCACAATAATTATTTATGACTCTGAAGAGGTGTGCTGGGCATCCTGAACACATAAATTAAGGTAGAGAGAGCTTGCAATTTTAATATACGACCTAAGAAGCCGCAGGTGAAGAAATATAATGAAGAAACAAGTACAAAGGCAATCTCTCACTTGCTTTCACATGATGTATTTTTTACTGCTTTAGAGCATGATAAGCCAAATACTGGAGCAAAAGAATCAAAACACTCAAAGACAGAAAATAAAACAGAAGCTTGCTGTTTCTGAATGAGCATGAAAAAGCAGTGAGGCATTGGAATAGGCTGCCCATGAAAGTGGTAGAGTCAGCGTCCCTGGAGGTATGCAAGAACAGTGAAGATGAGTACTGAGGTACACGGTCAGTGGGCATGGTGGGGATGTGTTGACAGTTGGATTAGACTATCTTGCAGGTCTTTTCCAACCTTAATGATTCTACGAACCTAGGAGGCACATCCAAGCCTGATTTAATCATAACCAAACGAATGACCAAAACAATTTGGAGACTTTTTCTTCCATTTATTACCTCAGTATTCTTTCTGAGGTAAACCTGTCTCAGACCTCCTCACATTCCTGGCTCTGAAGTTCAAATGAAGAGCCAACAGCAGAGCAGTGACGTGAGTGCCTCAGAAGAGATGGCTCAACTCACAGCATGGGTCAGTGAAGAAGTTTCTGATTTGCTGTTGCATGAGCCACAGCAACCGCACCACGCACAGGCCTGCTTCAGTCCCCAGGGCAGCACACCTCCAGGGACGCTGCCTCAGAGGTGATTCCAGGTCACTCACGTGGAGCTGCATTGTGTGCCACAAGCCACAGTCTCCTGTCCAAGTGACTTTAGTGCGATGCGTTCAGCTGTAAAGCTGACAGAAATGCCTCTTCCCATTGCATTTTGAGAATACAGGATGGAGAGTTTTAAAGCAATACCCTTACAAACAGTCACACGTTTTCTTTCAAAATTCCTTCCATGACTTCTACCACCAAGTTTTCTTCCCTAGATGCACTCAGGCCCCGGTGTTACATGTGAGGGCACATCATGGGTATCACAGCACGGCCTGGGGAAAAGGCAGAACACCCTGTCCTCCTCACAGGAAGGCACAGACAGTGACTCAAACAGGAGACAACATGAGGTAAACAAGTAACTGGCTTATCTAAAATGGTATTGAAAACAGTCACTGAGGGCAAACTGCACCAGGTTAAAGTTTGACCATAAAAGCAAGGCTGAAATTATCGCAGGGCAATGGCTGCTCCATCTGAATATATTTTTGCAAGGGCTGAACTCATTTGCTAGCATAACACTCTGAATATCAAGAAGAGCAAGACGAGTGGGCTAAGTCCCTGAGAACACAGGCATGCAGGTGCATGGAAGTGCTTGCTTTCTTTTATTTTGCAGGTCACATTTTGGAGCTCTTATTCCTGTCCTGCATCATTCTTCCCATCTCTCTGACCATCTACTGCATAGCAATCCTGCGTGACTTGTACTGCTGCTGAACTCGTTCCTCTCGTGAGAAGCTAAGCTAAGGTACACAAAAGGAAACACTACAATAAAATGAGATGCTAATTTCCTATTATCAACACACACGGTGTAAGTAGGTATAAAAAGACCAATTCAAAAGATAAGGATTATGGGGTTTTTGTTTTGTTATTTGTTTTTCTCAAATAACCTTCCTGAGGTCAATGATTTACTATGCCCATCAAACGAACAGAAAATTTAAGTTCTGGTCTCACTTCACATCTGATTGGATTTAACATTTTCACTAACCTATAACGCAAAGGTTTTTTTCAGGTTTTTTTTTTTCCCCTTCTTGGATGAGGAATGGAGCGGAGAAAGGACTGTCACAAAGGCAATCTGCTGCAAGTGAGGAACAGGAAAGGAGAACAGCAGAAACCACAGAAATAAGAAAAAGCAAACAACACCTAGCACCACAGCAGGCTCTCCCACCTTAAGTCTCACACTTCTCAAACTCAGAGCTGAGACCTCATTCTTTCCTCGGGGCACGCATCTCACACTGGACTAGGCACAGAGAATGTCTGCTAGAACCGTTTCTCCATCAAAACCTATTTAGTTTCCTCAGTAACCTATCCCACAAATCCCCCAAGTAAGGTGTTCACCACCTTGCCCAAACACCACTTCTCCCTTGACACCCACACCACACGGATGTTTTCCCTTCAAAACATCTCTCAGCTGCTTTGCCAGAATTCCTCCCCTTGTTTGGTCTTCCTCACTTCCATCAGCAGTCTGACTTCTTCCACCCAACTGCTGCTTGTTGCAGTGTCAGCCCTTATTCCGCTTTGTTCCTTTCTGGGTAAAGACCTTTAGATCAGTGCCAGAGAGTAAAATCCACCAATGCTTCACTCTGCACATAACACCAAGCAGAGACAGGTATTTCTTTTGTTAATCTGTTTCAGACATCACCTCTCTGACCTACTTTTACTCCTACCAGAACCCAGTATTTGCTGTAGTCAGCTTATTGATGGCATTTCACAATTTTTCCTACAGAATAACCTGACAATTACCTTACAGAACAAGTTACCCAAGAATTCCTTAGAGAGCACAAGTGACAGTTCCTGTGATTTCTATTCAGCGTCTTCCTTATGTTTTATATAACAGACACACAACTTATTTTATTCAACACTGTCTCATAACCGTGACTTCATACAGCTGATGCAGCACATTAAAGAAAACTGATGCATGGCTCTCTCATGATACTATAAATGCTCGAGGAGTTGTTAACAATAAATAACAAAAGGTGTGCATCAGAATGAGACTGCAAGTATGCCTGGACAGGTCAAGTCAGTGAAAACTGGGTGAGAGCGTGACTCTGGGCTGAATTTTTACCATAGTCAGATCAGTATGGTCATTCTGTCTCAGTGTGAACAACAACTGACTGAATCAATGAAAGTACAAATTAAAAGGCAATCTGTGATAGTAGAAAAACATTTATTTTCAACTGCGCCATATTTTATACTATTTATCCTGTTTTACTAACATGCTAATGAGTGTTAGGAATCATTCACAGGAGATGACAGAAATGTGAATGGCAAAAAAAGCCTTCTGCATCTGATGTGCACCAAATGCCTGCCATTTGCTGCCACCTCATTCTATTTCTTTCTCTTCTGTCACTGTCCTCCCAAAGCTTGTCTCCATCACCTAACACAACTTCATGAGATGGTAAAAGCAAATGAATGAATGGAATTCTCAGCTAGAGCAGACTGCCCACTGCTCTGTCATCCACACATTTAAAGCACATGCCCTGACAGTCAAACAGAGCCTCCTCTGTTCCAACAGTTTATGCCCACTCTCTCTTGTCCTGTCACTGGGCACCACTGAAAGGAGCTTGGCTCCATCTTTACACTCTCCCTTCAAGTATTTGTTCACATGGATGAGAATCCATCCCCAAATGAGCCTTCTCCAGGATGAACAGACTCAGGTCTCTCAGCCTTTTTTCAGAGGAGACACACTTCTGTCCCTTCAATATCTTTGTGGCTCTTTGTTGGACTCTCTCCAATACATCCACATCTCTCTTTACTGGGCAGACAAGAATGGTACCCAATACTTCAAGTGTGACCTAACACAGTCCCCAACACATACTGGTACATATGAGGTTACTCCCCCCCACGCACAGAACTTTGCACTTCTTGTTGAACTTCACGTGGCTTCTGTCAGCCCATTTCTCTATCTTGTCAAGGTCCTTCTAGATGGCATCACAACCCTCTGCTCTATCAGCCACTCCTTGCAACTGGGTGTTGTCAGCAAACTGTCTGTCCTTGAAGCACTGATCACCCTCCTCCAGGACCAACTGTTCAACCAGCCTGCTCATCTACCCATTCTTCATCAGCCTCACTGTGAGGATCTTACGCAAGAAGGTACTGATAATCTTAAAGAAGATAAAATATACTCTTAAATCCACAGCAATCTCACTATGTTAAATGCACAAGACTGCCCTAAACTCAGCCTGTATCAGTACTTTGAACTAGAGACAACAAGATAATACAAATGGAAAGGATAATCCATTACAAAATATATTAAGATTATATTCCCAATAGAACCCTTTATTTCTGCACTGCATACTGCATTAATACATGCATTCTGCATTCAGAATGTCACTTTGCAAATCAGGTGGGATCTCATCCCACACCCTTCAGCTGTCAGCCCCGCTCCGAAAAGGAGAGCCAATACAGCACCTGGAATCTAATTAAAGACCGGCAGGTTTCTCCTTTATAGGGTTCACCTGAGAAGCAACAGGAAACTGATTTGCTGCCATTCAGCACTTCAGTTTTCAGAATTTTGAAGGCTCCCATGACTTGGTAGAGAAGCTTTATCAGCATTAACATTTTTTAATGTGTGTTTTCTGCTATTTATATGCAACCTTGACTTAAGTAACCTAACACAAGAACAACAATTTCTACTGTATTTTAATTAGGTTACAGAAATAATAAGGAAAATAATAATTGCTCTAAAAAGCACAAGCAATATACATCATTAGATGAAATCAAGAACACTTAACTGACTCTCATCCCACAAGGACTGACTGGTAAACATAAGTACCATAATGCTTTGCATCCAAAAATCACTTGCTTCCAAGCACCACCATTCCCAAATACTGAATTCTGCAGCATGATCCACAGAGATGACAAAAGCCAGAAGCCATGGACAGGATGTCTCATAAATCATAGAATATGTTTTTTGTAAGGAAATGACACAATTTCCAGTGGGAAATGTTATGCAGAAGCTGGGCTTACTGGATATCAATTATACACTTGGTACTGTAAATTTGAAACAAGCTGTGAGCATAGAACTCGCTGTGTGAACTAAGGAACTGCTCCTTGTACAGAGGTGCACACACTGAACTGTGTTGTTTCACTGCCACAGCCACTAAGCACCCCAGTGGGATTGTGTACGTGCCCACCTTCTTCACAAGAAGTCAGCATCTCAATGTGTTTCCAACTCCAGCATACAAACAAACTGCAGATCTCTTCCAAGTCCTTACACAAGCAAGTAACAAGATTCTAAGTCCTGGCTGATGGTATTTTTTTGATAGTAGATGCATACTAAATTTAGAGGCCTGGTACATTATACACACTTAGCCCAGATGTTTTTTGCTTTTAATAAGGCATTTTGTACAAAGATAGCAAGGTGCCTTTTTAAAACAAGTTGGGTGACTTGAGAATGCTTAAGAGAAGGAATATCTGGCTCTCATTTCTGTGAGAGCAGGAAATTGAATGTTTCTAGCACATCAGTGGTACTAAAGAAAATTACACTGCTTGGAATAACTTTTGTGCTGACGTCAAAAAGTTATCATCCACATCTTCAGAGAATCAAAGGCTATCAAGATGTGTTACACCACCTCCTGCAGACAATGCTGTACAACGTTGCAACAAACAAACCACCTTCAACTCCTCTAAGGCAGAACTCCACCGCTGAGCAGAGAACCTCTGGCTTTTCAGCTGCTTGCCAGGTAGGCTTCTGCCCATGACTTATTGCAAAGGCAATCAGATTCCAGAGGAGCACACAAAGTGTTGCATGTTTTCTAAAATTAAAATTATCATTTGGAATATCTGTTCTTTTCCTCTGTTATTATAGTGCAAAGCAGTAGTTCTCTGAACTGTATTTTGTTCAATGACTAGAATGTACATTGATCACACCTCCTACTTTTCCTCTTAAAGTTTTCTACAAAAACATATTACAATTCTAAAGCTTCCTTACAAGAATACTGGCAGTTCTGAATTCAGTTTCCACACCATTTATCTCACTAACATCCTGGAGTCAAACCACTTTTTTCCTCCTTCAATACAGTCCCCCAAAGCAGGGAGGACTTCACCCTTGTTTCACCTTGTAATTTATGCCAACATGCAAGGTGAAACTGCAGAGAGATGTTTATAAAATGAAAAGGAAAGATTTGACCACCAAGATTTCAAAATCTGGAAACTTTCATTAGTGTGTTGCATTTTTCACCTACAAATGAGAGTTTACAATGAAAATAATTCTTGAAATATGCCAATGCTACAGATTCAGCTGTTCAGTGATCACAGCTGACACAAGTATTTTATCTAATCTTTTTCATCTCAGTCATCTTTCTTGGCTGTTGCAATGCCCACATTTAAAACATACCTGTCCTTGACGTCTTTCATAAGCTGCTGCAAGTCAACCTCTTGTTTCCTCAGGTTCCCAAAGGAGGACTGGCTTTCCACACAGCCCTTTGCTCCAGCTCCCAGGCTGATCTTTCCAAATGAAGTTTCAATACTTCCTTGGACAACATCTTCAAATTTCCCCATGTATTTTGCAAAGTCAGATTCCACGATTACTAGGAAAACAATAAAAGTAACTGCTTACCACTAAGACAAGTGCTAAAACAGTCCTGGAGTCATCAGATAAACAAAAAGTTAGAGAAAACAAAGATTTAATGTCAGTGAGGGCAAGAACAGCAATGAGCAAATAAATGGGTAAGTTCACAGCTCTGCAACTTCTGCTTCACAGAATCACAGAACGGCTGGGATTGGAAGGGACCTCAAGCATCATGAATCTCCAAACCCCTGCAACATGCAGGGCCACCAACCTCCATGTTTAATGCTAAATTAGGCTGCCCCATCCAACCTGGCCTTGAACACCTCCAAGGACGGGGCATCCACAACCTCTCTGGGCAGCCTGTTCCAGCACCTCACCACTCTCTGGGTAAAGAATTTCCCCCTGATATCCAACCTAAATCTCCCTTCCCTCAACTTAAAGCCATTTCCCCTCGTCCTACACATATCAACCCTTTCAAATAGTTGATTCCCCTCCTGTTTGTAGGCTCCCTTTAGGTATTGAAAGGTTGCAATGAGGTCACCCCACAGCCTTCTTTTCTCCAGGCTGAACAAGCCCAGCTCCCTCAGCCTGTCCTCATAGGGAAGGTGCTCCAGTCCCCTGATCATGCCAGTGGCTTCCTCTGTGCTTTCATCTTGGATTAGCTATCTTTTATGTTCTGCCATTTTAGGAAAACATTTGAGGAGTCAAATACTGAACTCAAACACTAAAAAGCACTAAAAAGACTTACAAAGCATGACAAATTTACTTCAGCTACAAGGAAAAACTGAAGTAACCTGCTTGTGCAGCAGACTTAATATTCTGCCATTATCTCTATACATCTTATAACAAGCCTGTCCCAAAGCTCACTGAAAATCAATGGAAATTCTGAATTGGCTTAAATCAAAATCTGAGTCTCAAAATCAAAGGACAAAAAAAATCAAGGAGTCTCATAATCAGCTAATTTTCCATGTTAGTCACAATTAACATCTATGCTGAAGGACTTGTTGTTTATCTACCTTCAGAATCATGACATGCCCAGAAATATGGGATTCCAGATCATCGCTCCTACTAGCTGGTGAGGTTTGGTGCAGCTGGATGGCGAAATAAGAACAAGGATCAAATATTTTTAACAGTCTCTACAAGAAGAAAGGAAGCCACAATAAAACTTGTAAGCATTCTCTGGGCTACTATCACCAGCTTTTGTCCAGTGCTTTTTCACCTGGAGCACAGTACAGTTTCATGCCGTTATCGTCTACCAGAAACTTCCCAAAACAATCCAGGGGAATTCCTGAGGCTGCAGAGAGCACTGTTACAAATACCAACACTGTATGGCTTGACAACCTGCAGCACTTGGTTGCAGTAGCCCATCTAGATTTTTTTAAAAATTAAATATTCAATAGTACTGTTCTTAGCTAAACAAATAGCCAAGGGAGAAAAAGATCCAGTCATCTCAGTTCTAAAGATAGAGAATAATTCAGAGCAAAGAAGCCCTCTAGTAACAGGACTGGGAATAACAAGGAAAAAAGTTAGGCTTCGTATTCTTTTCATGTGCAATAATAGTGCTGCCTGAGTACAGCTTTACCTGGTTTTATAGGTTTGTCTTCAGTAAGCACATCACTCAACGAGACTGCCAAGAAATGATACTTGGGCTTCTGCCAGCACCAGAATTTCTTCCTCTTTGTAACTAAGCTCAGAAGCTGCAGCTTGTCTGAGGCGTTCAAATGGGAAACAGGGATCAAGTCACCTCCACTGTCCGTTTCTCTCACAAAATTCCTTGTTGCTTTTGCAAACATCTTGGTGAATCATTTACAGCCTGGAAGAATAAATCTGTTTTTCAAAACTACAGTTAGAAGATACAAATATTTACATTTGCACTTTAAGGAGCTCTTCACATTACTGGCATCAATATAGGAATACTGTTCTCACTCCACCTTCTCCACTCTAAACTGGGAATTGTGACAGTTACTATCATTTCCCCCAAAAGGTTTTCAATGATGGAATTTTGGATAAAAACTTAAATAAGCAACAGTGAATAAGTAAAGAACAGTGCACTGCAAGCATGATATAGAAGACTTAACCACTACAGTAATCCTGAAATTCGTAAGCACACAAATAATGAAGAAATATATAAGAAAAGAAGCAACCCAATTTAAAACTGAAAAAATCCTTTAAAGAACACCCACAGGTAATTAATCTGCTAGGGAGGAAAAAAACTTACACAACCTACCTGAAGTTCTAAGAAAAAGCATCTCCTAATGAGCAGCCTGCAGAGACTCACCTGGCTCACAGGAACACAGGTGCAGTGGCAGAGCACTCCTGCCTCTCCACAGGCTCCTTTTATGACCTACCATAAAATCACCTTACTCCACAGAAGATAACTGAGTATTATTCATACAGATTACCTTGTTTTAACAGTCCATAAATACATACAGGGATAATAGAAATTATTTCATAGTAAGCAACAAATATTTCTACTGGCAGCTCTGTGACTAAATTTTCCTTCTGAACTTCACCCACGGAAATTCCCAATTCATATTTTCTTCTTTTGAACTTTTTTTTTTTTTTTTAACCTTCAGTGCTTTCCAATTTTCTATTTCCCATTAGCAGAACTACAGCTAAACAGAACATACATTGTTTACAAATGTTACTTACATCTGCTAAACAGCTACATAGATTATCTTATTCTAGCTTTTAAATGTCTTGAAGTTGAAAATACTGCCATCTTTTCTCAGGTAAGGTTTCCTTTATCCAACATGATATTGTGCTATTTACAAGAAAGTTTTTCAATATGAGAAACTGGCTAAAGGCATGGGAGAACCGATAAAAAAGACCACTCAGAAATGCTAAGCATTCAATTCTAAAAATCTACGTTTTCAACCTTACAAGAATTTTTCTTTCAGTTGTTTTATTTGATCTGGTGGCATTTCCACTTTTTTTTTTTTTCCAGTTGGCAGCATCCCTTTGTACCCTCCTCCAGCTGACAAGCATAAATTGCCCCAGGTGCCCATTTATCTTCTTTGAAATAGCGTGCACACACATTCTCCATTAATCACCTATCCTGCTCAAACAGATGTTGGATTTGTCCATCACCAACACAGGCCAGAATAAGCTAAGGCAGGCTTCAAAGGAATGAACAGGAAAAGATATTGTAGTTGACGCTTAAGACTGTGGGAAAATGGAAAAGTGAGTAAAGATATTACAGGCTGGACTATAGGGTTCATGTTTTACTATCAGCTGGGGGAAAGAAGAAAACCACTCTTTGTAGACAGAAACACAGCTTTCCATTAGCTTTTCCCAAATACCATTTCAGATAATATTTCATTCAGTATTTACCAACTCACATTGAGATAGCTACCTTCCTATGAAATCTCCATGGCCTACTCTTAGTTCTCCCCGTAAACAAACAAAGAGCATTACTCAACAGCACCTGCAGAGAAAAGATTTGAAGAATGTCATTCTGTGCTTCCAACACTTTGCTGAAGTATAATCTGGGGCTGCAACAAACAGCCTGGAGCTACGCTGGGAGTATTTCCACTGACTTCCAGTGCATTAGCTGCTGTCACCCAGCACAACCTCCTTCAAACATTCCTGTGCTTTATGAGATTGCTCACTCGTTCTGATCCCATTCTCACACAATGGACTCACGTTTGTACTCTCTTAATTGAAAAAGGCCCACCAATTTCCAAGGAGCTCACGAGAAGAGAAATTGCAACAAAAAGTTCTTGCAATTTGTCTTTCTGTTACACTCACTAAATTTCATGAGAAGAACCAATGACACCATTCTATAAAACTCCATTCTGATTCATGGTGGTTTGACTTCGCTCCCAGCAGTGAGGCTTCTGACATGCAAAAAGAACATCTGGGAAAGATCACAGAGAGCTTATGAAAACTGTGGAGACTCATACAGCAGGAAAAAGATTCAGCCTTCAGCCACAGGTGTTGGTGACACTTCCTATCATGGGAATATCTTTGCAAGGAGCTTATTTACTGGTGCAGCAGTACCTGCAAAGTATTAATATTCTACCCAAATTATCTCTTTGTGCATAGTACCTTTAACATAAACTCTCAAATGCATTCCACTCTCTTGTTTCAGTAGCTCATAAAAGGACAGAGACAGTGGTAATTCCCCATGGTCAACATCAGTGAGACAATACAGGACTGAGGGTGTCCTGACCACATGGTCACAGATGTAGCACTAAGATAACTCTCCTTTTGGAATTCCTTGCTCTGAAGTTTTGTTGAACCACGTCTGACTTGCCAGAACTAGAGGGACAGGTACGAGAGCTGGTAGAAAAGGCCTGAATTCACTCCTGCAGATTGACAGCTAGGTGTGAAGGCGGGGAAGGAAGGAGTAGGCTTCTTGCCCACTGAGAAATTTAAAATTAGCCTGAACCTGGGCTACAGGCAGATTATTCAATGAAGAGGATGAGATCAAGCAAAGATATTTACAGTAACTTCATCACTTATTGCAACTGTAAGGGAGTGCGTTGGAAGGCTGACGCCTGCAGACTGCAGACTGCCATGCAGAGGACTTCAACTGACCGTGTGCCACCCTTCACATCCTCAAGAACTGTAGAATCGTGGAATTGTGTGAGTGGGAAAGGCCCTTTAAAGGCCATCTGGCCCACCTCCTGTGCAACTAACACACAGCCCCATCAGCCAGGACTCGTGCTGGAAGAAGCCTAAAGTGAGCAAGCGATGACAAGCAGTGTATGGATCGTATTACAAAGCCTTGTTTTCTTCTCCTTTCTAGATAATTCAAACAAAAAGCCATAAAATCCTAAAGGTTTTCAATCCCTGATCGAGCAGTACCAGCCCGGACCTGACCCGAGACCAGACATGGTGCCGGCCACGAGGAGCGGGCACTGAGGCAGCTCGAGGGGGCAGCCAAGCGCCAGGCTTCTCCTCAAACACCACCCATGAACTGCGGCGATTCATCATTTTATGTGAGGGTTTTGGTGTTTTTTCCCCCCGCAAAGAAGCCGGAGAGCACACGAGCAGACAGAGACGGCGGCGGGCCCGAAGCCTCACAGCGGGCTGTGCGCGCCCCGCCCTCCCGGCGGCGAGCAGGGCTCAGCGCGGGCACCGCCCGCCTTACCGCCCCCCCGCGTCAGTCCCCGTACTCACGGCCGCTCCGGCGAACCCCGAAGATGTGCTCTGCACCCCAAGGCGAAGCTCCGCCAAGAGCCTGGAGGAGCGCCGAGAGGAGGGGGCTTCGGGCCAGCAATGATGCGCGGCAGGGCCGGGCAGCAGCGCGGGGGCAGGCGGGGGAAGCAAGGCCCCGCCCGGCGTGCGGAGGGGGCGCGGGGCCTCGCGGCGCCGCCATGTTGTCGCCCAGCACGTGGCTGCGGGATGCTGCCGTTGTCCAGAACAAAATGCCGTAGGGATTGCAGTAGCACCCATTCAGTGAGACCTTTATGAGTCTACAGAAATACCGAGTAGTTCTTGAAGGTATCAAAGAAGAATTTTTGAGTGAGCCGTGCTATGAGCTGGGTCCTTATGTTCCCATTTAAAGAAAGCATTTGGGCGAGCAGCCGCAAGTGTTGAATCACCAGATCTTAACAGAGTAAAGCTGGCTGGTCTTTGGAAGGAAAGGAGTTTGAAAGGTGGATATCTTGAAATGAGCACGCCTGGGTGAGAAATACTGCTCAGTGTTCATAGCTGAAGTCATACTCATTTCTTCCTCTGTGTTAACTACATTCCTTATCCAAACCTTCCAATTAGCTTCAGTGGGTTTTAACCTATAAACCCTTTCCAATTCCCATAAAAGACATCATACCCAGACTCTAACGCCTTATTTTCTTCAGGAAATATTCCTTTCTTCTCTTCGAAGGAGGGGCAGTAGAGCTGTGAAAAGTCTAGAGCACAAGTCTAATGGGGAACAGCTGTGTCTGCATATGTGACAATTTACTTTCTATGAAAAGGAAAACTGTGCTTCTTCAGTCTCATACTGAGAAAAGCACCTACAAGTCCTCAGGAGATCTCTTTTTAGGGTCAGCACCTAGCTGCAGAATTACTAGCTCCAGGCATAATCTCTAGTGGCCAATAGCAGCACGTTTCATTAGCAGTCATGTGCTTTTCTAAGGAGTGGCGGCATGTGATTCATTTCCAATGCAAGTGTCTGCTCAAGCAGATTTTGAGAAATCAGGCCAGGAAGTGACACTGAAACACATTACCATGGAAATGTTCACTAGGGAGGAAGGAGGCAAAAACAGTGAAACTTGCCAGTCAGCTCAAGGAAGTTAGTGGTTAATGTGCACAAACTAAGGGGTGTCTGCACCAAGGATATTTCCACATTTTCAAGAGAAAACATCAAACAGACATCTTTTATCCACTTAACACACAAGCCAGCATACAATAGTTTTAAGCTGACTTGCGTTAATTAGAAGAGACAGAAACAGGTCTGGACACTAACAGTTTTGAGGCCATGCAACAATTAACGTAAAGGCTTCAAACACTGATATTGAAACTGGCTGCAAGTGGGAGACATTTAGGATTGAATACCTGCCTTGATCTTCCATTATTCATTTCCATGAATAATGAAGGATGAAAGTGGTGAGAATCTGGACATAAGCCAGCAGTGTGCGCTTGGAGCCCAGAAGGCCAGCTGTATCTTGGGCTGCATTAAAAAAGGGGTGGCCAGCGGGGAGAGGGAGTTGATTGTCCCCATCTACTCAGTTCATGTAAAGCCCCATATGGGGCACTGCGTCTAGGCATGGGGCTGTCAGTGCAGGAAGGACGTTGGAGCTCCTGGAACGGGTCCAGAGGAGGGCACTAAGATGATCAGAGGGCTGGTGCACTTCTCCTATGACAAAAGGTTGAGGGAACTGGGCTTGTTTAGTTTGGAGAAGAGAAGGCTTTGGGGAGACCTCATTGTGGCCTTGCATTACTAGAAGAGAGTGTATAAACGAGAGGGGGAACAACTGTTTACATGCCTGATAGTGACAGGACAAGGGGCAATGGTTTTAAACTTAAGAGGAGGAAGTTTTTCACACAGAGGGTGGTGATGTACTGGAAAAGGCTGCCCAAGGAGACTGTGGATGTCCCATCCCTGGAGGCATTCAAGGCCAGGCTGGATGTGGCTCTGGGTGGCCTGGTCTGGTGGTTGGTGACCCTGCTTATGGCAGGGGTGGTTGAAACTACATGATCTTTGAGGTCCTTTTCAACCCAGGCCCTTCTGTGATGATTCTGTGATGAGATTCTTCAGATGTGTAGCACAGCCAAAACTCACAGCATATAGCTTTGTCCTGACTGACTGGGGAGCCAGCAGTGAGAACACAGTATGGGAAATGTATGTGGTGAGTGTGTTCTGTGTTAAGATCTGTCATGTGCTGAATCTCTGGAGCTGAGACATGATGTGCATCAGTTACATGTTGGAAGATTCTTTTGCATTGGCACTGTATTAGAAGATCCTCATTTAGAATGGACAGAAGGAGAAAAACAGGAAGTTTTGTTTGTGTGACAAACTGCCTTTGGCACTGTACAAGATTTGGCTATCTTATTTAAATAGAGTGGGACAGGCAATTGACACACGAACTTCACAGCCTCGATTTAAAAAAAGGAGTAATACACATCACCTGTGAGTAATTACCCATATAGAATGGCTTAGACTGAAAAGATTTTGTTGTACTGAGGGACGTGGTTTAGTGGGATAGGTGAATGGTTGGACTGGGTCATCTTGGAGGTCTTTTCCAACCTTGGTGATTCTATGATGCTGTGATATCATATAGTTTTTACCCCCCTGCTGGGTGTCAGGTTTTCCACTCTCTAGATCAGGCTGCCAAAGGCCCCATCCAGCCAGGCCTTGAATGCCTCCAGAGACAGTGCTGCCATAACCTATCTTAGCAACATCTTTTCATGCTGTTGCTCCTACACAGAATGCCACCAGATTGATCAGGCACATGCCATATTTTGGAAACTGTGCAGAAAATTCCCTGCCTTTGGTTAATGCACAACAATCTACTAATGCAATATGTTGCAGACCCTGCAATATTTCTGCAATATGTGCAGAAAGGTTACGTGATTTAATTAGGGGATTGTTGTGCACTCTCTGACCAAGACAGAGGGGAGCTCCCCTTGATACAAGATGGGGAGAAGTAGTGCAAGAGTTAGTTATTTATGGGAGACTCATGGGATTTGCTAGCCAGGAGGAAACAAAATCTAGGATGGAGGCCAGAGGGAAATGGGAAGATGAAAATAATAATTCTGAATAGTTTTTTACGACCTCACCTCTAGGGGAAGCCAGCATGACCTCCTGATAATAAGAGAGAGAGAGAGACTATAAGTGGAAGGCATTTGTGAAAAAATTCCTTGGAAGGTTAATGGATGGTTTACTCTTTACCACTCTAGAAAAACTGATAACTAGCTGGGGCAAGATAAAAGGGGATTATCTGCCCAAAATGCAGCTTAGTTTGAAAGGAAACAAACTAACAAACAAAAAAAGCAAACAGTAGTTGTGTGCTCTTACTATACTTCTGTGAAATTCCTCAGTCATTATATTAAGAAAAGAAATCACTGAGCACCACCAGATGTCAGCATTGCAGAATGGTTATTTCTACCCAGTACAGAAGAGGTCTTTGTATCCTATGAATATTATATATTAATTTTTTTTTCTATGATAGCATAATCTGTCATATATTTTCCAGTCATTAATATTAGGATAGAGTGTAAGACCAAAATTGTCCGCAAAGGGGAATTTCCTAATGGTTATTTTTTGTCTTATATCTTCAAAATTTTTTAAAATGTTTTCACGAGGGCAGCATCAACAACTGTACTAATGGTATATAATGCCTCATAGCAGTCACAGTGTTGTTTCAGGCTGCAGGCAGCCCAGCTAGAGAGTGCTCACTTAAGTCAAGCCTGTACATCAGAGTATCAGGAGTGGTTCAGAGCTCTCTGTTGCTGTATGCTAGGCTTTATTTAAACCCTCATGCTGGCTGCAGAAGGGTCTGCTGGCTTCAGTTCTGTGGAGGAAATGCAGAGAAGTAAGTGTGAAACTATTTCGGGCTTCCATTTAGAGAGAAAAAAAAAGGACAGCTAGTGAAGCAAATTCTTTTGAAGGTGTCCAGCAGCGTAAGCCAAATCACCACTGAAAGGGTGAAAGTCTTCCCCCCATTTCCTGTCACAAGAATACAAGATCTGAACAGATTTTTTGTTTCTTTGAAATCAACCAACCAGCCTCATTTATATTGTACATTAAGATCCATCCCATTTTTGTTGTACATGGATGTTATACAGTTTTCATTGGTGCCAGTCGGTCCCGAGAAACATTTCCTGCTGCAAACAACAGCTTTCTCACTCTCCTGCTGGCACAGCTGTCACCAGCCCCTTGGCAAAGCACCAGCAGCCAGGGACAGGCTTCACAAACAGCAAGTTACAGGATCCTGCTTAGTGGAGGTCAGTTTGCACAGTCAGTCGGAAGGGACTGTGTCAATCTGGAGTAGCCACAAAGCCATTTTGCTGCATTTCTCCACGTGTTTCTATGAGCTGCTGCCCATGAAGCTCTTGAAGAAGGAAACAGGAAGGCACTAATTTTAAGCATTGGAGATTTTCCCCATGAGATGAGTTTGGCCACTGTTTAGAGGTGATCTGTTCTATTGTCAGGTTATCTCCATTGCTTTTGTGTATCAGAGTGAAGAAAAAAAGTGTCCAGTAGTGGATCTTTTAGTCCCATGAAAGGAAACTGAGGAGTACCATGCTGACAGCTGCAGAAATGTGACAGACAGACATGTTCAGTGTAACTCAGTGTATCGCCTGTGCTGGAACTCAGGTCATGGTGTCAGTGTTGATGTGCATGGGAGATGGGAGACACGACACTGTTTACCCTCCTGTAGAGAATATCCTCTGGCAATAGGGCTCACCTTTCTTGCTGTACAAGCTTTCTCGTCTCTGCCATGACTGTGTTTTAAAGTAGCTGTAACTTTAAACATCTTCCTATGAAGAATTTGTGATTATTTGATGATTTTCCCATGATTTTAAGAAAAATGGCAGAAAAGGTAGGCTACGATCGTTGTGGTTACCTGAAAAATCATCTAGTGACGTCTGTAACAATAATAGGGAAGGCAGTTTGCATGAAGATGCACAAAGTGGTTCTACCTTTAAAATGTAGATTAGATGACGGCCACAGAACTTTGCTTCTTTTACAATAATGGTAAATGAAGATATAGGGATAGGTGATGTTTCTTGCGTGCCTCAAAATTCTTTTTCCACAATAGCTTATTATGAACCATCTGGCCTCATTAAGGTTTTATCAAAGACCATCTGGCCGTTGCATTGTTCAGACTGCTCAGCAGCAGAACTTGATCATAAACTAACCAAATGGAACGGCTATCAAATTTTTGCAAGAGCCCTAAACATTTATGCAGGTCCTACATACACACAGTACTTTTAAAAGCACATTATTTTACATTAATCCTAAGAAAGACATGAAAAAATCAAATCTGAAATGATTTTATCATTAATTAATTTTATAAATCTTAAAAATATTTCTGAGTTTCTTTCCATTTTTTTTTTATCTGCTCTTTGAGCAGCTGGAACACAAGCTATACTGTCGAATGACTGCATTAAAGTAAGAAATACTAGGATTTCTTCTAAAAATGTTGCGCATAGAGGATAGATTTCATCGAGCTTCAAGAAGATGAAGCTTTTTACCTTTGCACATTGATCTTTCAGAGCACAAGCACTCTCAGATCCAACTGTGAGAGCAAATTATTCAGGCGGAATTTTCCACAGAACCCACAGAAGTTGGCAATTTCTCACGAGGCAGCAGGCTGGATGGTGTTTGTATTACCATGAACACTACTGGAGCACAGTCGCAGTCAAACCTTGCAAAATGTTCAGCAGCTAACATTAATATTTCATTGAATAACACCAGATGGATGTTTTCATCTATTGCAACATTTGTAGCTATAGCTTTATTATGATTTAAAGCAAATTTTGTGTCTCTCTTTTAGTTTTTGTGGCTCCTTTGTTGTATTTCCCAATTATTATGCAATTCCTTAACCTTCATTCTTATTATTTGTTAACTGTCAGCTCAGTCGCTCTTTCAGAACTGAATTATGACTAGCATTTCTTTTGCAGGGTGAATTGAAAAGAGTCTCTCCAGAAGAATAAAGTAAATGCGTTTTTTGTACCTACAGAGCTGAAAATGGAGAAATTGGTTTTGAGAGCTTTGAAGCAGGCCATGGCTCATATAAGAAGTGGATGTGCTGAGGAAATGACTGCAAGTGGCAAAAAAACCAGAGGGTTTTGAGGAGCTGTGAGGCTGTGCTGCCACAGTGGGTGAGATGGGGCTCCTGGGGTTTTTCAGGGTCGCTGCAGCAGGAGCTGCCGGTGGCCATTTTCATCATCTGCTGCAGGAAGGCACATGGCAAGGAGGGACTAAAGGTAGAAACAGACCTCACTTTATACAGCTGTGATCATTCAGAGACTGTGATAGGAACATGCTTAATTTCCCCAGTCTAATATGAAGCAGGGTGAGAAAAGCACACTTCATGTCAAAACCAGGAGCAAGAGCTGGCAAGCAGCTCAAAAATGTGTGGGCTGCTAAGTGTGGATATTTATGCTATTTGTTATATAACAATTACATTGTAGACCAGGTATTGATTGCACTGCAAAAAAAAAAAAAAAAAAAAAAAAAATCAGCTATGAAATAGTGTTGGTCTGTTCTCACGCTATTAAAAATACAATTTTCTGTGCTCTGTCACAGGAAAAACTGGTGTCCTTGCTCATTATACTGCCCTTGTTTGTCTGAATGACACACTGATTTGGGTGAGCAGGTTCTGAAACGGCCGATGCAAGTGACCTTGGGTGGATGACTTTCTTATTTCCAGATCCACTTTCTTAGCAACTGGGAGACAAGGATGTGCTTCCCTTCTACAGAATTGGTTGTAGTCAGCTTGAACCTTTTATGGTTTTACTTGGTTTTTATGTGGCTGCAGTCCAGCTTCACCAGTACAAATATACTACAGTGTGAGCAATGCAACTTGAAAGAGAGAAGGAAGACCAGCCTGAAAGGAAATGGTAGTGCAAAAGGAAGCAATGAGCAGTACTGTGAACACATGAACTGCATTCTTTCAGCAAGGACCTCGTGACTGCACACCTCAGTACCGAGAATCTTATTTCAGCAATATATACTCTTTCCCCTCATCCCTTCTCCCATCGTTTCAAACAGAGTCGTTCCTGTTGGTATCTGCATTGGAGCCAGTGTCAGAGAACAAAGCATTCATATGAGCAGTTTTCTGAAACTTTGTGACTAGATAAAATACAGTGGAGCTCCTACCATGGCCTTTCATGCAACGTAGCACATCTTTTCCAATTTCTGATATCCACAGAAGGTAAGAATATAATATCCATGAGTTAAGGATAAGCTAGGCTTGCAATCTCTTAGTACCTGGAGAACTCAGACAGAAGAAATCAAGTTTGCCCTCACTGACCTATTGCAGGGCTCTCTTTTAGGCAAACTTCTCAGCCTAAGTTTTCCCACAAAAGGACTTAAGAATATGGTGCACTATTTTTGAACTTTATAAGAAAACTGATTTTTTCATCCCAAATACCTATTCAGCTATTATGTAACTGTTTTCACAAGATTGGATTCAGTGACTAAAATGCAAGCAGCAAACAACTAATATAAGTAGGATGATCTCTTGATTTCACTCCATCTTCAGTTTGACAGTGGCAGAGGTGACAACGAACAGTAAACAAAACAGTAAATCAGTAAAGTTATTGGACTTGTTCTTATCCATTGATAAATCTACATAATCTCCCTTGCTCTAGGCAGCAATCAGTGCATTTCAGACATACTCTTACAAAATCTCAGAAGGAAAAGATTTTTCAAGGCTTGTACTGCAATAACTCGAAGTGGTTTTACTGCAGCCTTTATCATTAGCGAGAAGCTTGTAATTTAGTAATTATAGTTCATTAAATAAATTCTTCATAAAGAAAAGCGATGTTAAATATGCAAAACAAAACAAAAAACCCACATATTTTCCAATTCTGACATCTGATCTTGTTAAACAGAAACTGAACTATCTGCTCAAACAAAATCCTTAAAGAGAGATAGTACCCTAGTAGAGAAAGCCAAGTAATTCCCCAAGTCAATGACATTACAAGCAGTAACTGCAGCTGATGTATTTGTATGTGACATCTTAGCTTCCAGGAATTTATTGTTGTTCCAAGAGCCTAAAAAAATATACATCAATTAATCCAAAGACTCAAGTTCTCAGTTAAATTAAGTCTCCGCCATATCCCACTCAGTTATTTCCTTTGGAGCAGACTAAGCAAAGATAGAAATTCATAACTACACAGTAGAAGTTGGTATCTGGCTAGCTTTTAATATCCTTAAAAACCTGGACTGACCCTATGAGTTTCTATGTATCTTGCACTAGAGGTAGGGAAAAGGGGCCGAGTTAAATATCAACAAATTGAGCATGGAAAGCAATGTATCCAAGAAATGTAATGGAGGCATTGTAAAAAAAGAAAGAAAGAAGCAGCCAATATGTGACAGTTACTGTGCAGAGCAAACTTTGCTCAGCTGTCATTGTTTTTCCTCACGCTATGGTGCTTTAAATCATTTTGCAGTAAGCACTGACTTTAAGTAGAGATTACTGTAAATGAACAGGCAGCTGAGGCGAGACACCAATTGGATGCAGGGCCTGCATAAGCCACGTTCACCTTACGCTTCTATGGGGTAAAAAAACACACTCTGGGAAGCACTGATCAGAAAGAGGGAACTTGGCAACCATGAGGAATTCACCCATATCCATTTCTCTAAGAGAAATTTGTATTGCCTGAGGTCTTCATGATCCAGAGCATAAGTAATAGGGATTCCCTTGCCATCTTCCTCTCCTTTTTATAATCATGGGAAAAAAAACCATCACTAATTCTGTAAAGTTGTTTTTTTTTTGTTTTTTTTTTTCCCTCACTGATTTGCTCTAAATGCCAGCTGTTTCAGGTACAATTAAAGAAGATTAGATCTCTCTGAAATTAATTGGCAATGAAGTGACTCCACTGATAACATGACTAAGTCCTAACCAGAAACTCGAAACACAATCAGAATGGATGGATTTCACAAAACAGAAGGTGATTGTTGCACTCTATAAAAGCTGCATTTCTTGTGGCCTTTCTCCTTTTTCTGCTTCATAACACAGCTGAGGATGTTTTGTGAGGTAACAGACTCATTGATCCAATTTTCCCAGCTCTTCCTGAAACATCCATGTTTCCTCCTACCAAACTTTTTACACGTTGAAACTGGAAAGCACTACAGAACTGCAGTCTGGAATAAGAGCTTTGTCAAGTACCACGCTTACTTTATTTCCACCTTCTTCAAGACCCTAATCCATCTGTATTGCATCTTACACACACACGGTGGGCCTGTCAGATGTCGGTGACTAGCAGAATTGTACAAAACCACTATTCTCTGGGGAGAAAACATCACATTGATAGTTTCCTTCCAGCCACTTATTTTAAATAGTAAACAATATGTTTCCTTGTATTAAAAGTTGTTTTCTGGAGAATGTGCAGTTTGTGGTCTGCACTTTCATGCTAATACACAACATTTGTGTTGCACATCTGTCTACTCAAAACTGCTTACAACTTAGTGCTGTAATTGAATTTTTCCTGCTCCACTGTCTGGTATAACAGCCATGCAACTGTACCATGCATGCAGGTAACTGGCAAACAACTGGAAAACTACTGAAGATAACTACTAGACAGATTGTAAGAGCGATAAATAAGACTTCCAGCATATGCAATTGCTTTTGTACTTGCCATTTTAGAAGGTATAAAAACCACAGCTAAAAAACAGTAAAAAAAATAAATACAGCAGCTAGCCTGGGTTCAGCTGTCACTAACAGCCTTTGAAGAAAGATGCTTACAACTCCTGGCAAAAAGTGAGGGTGCTCTGTGGCCTTTTTCAAGTATGATTTATTAACATCCAACTAAATTGGTTACAGAGACAAAAATGTAAATGAAATTGTGCATCAAGGTGCTCCAACATTATTACAAATTTTTGCGTTAAGTGAAGCAGAAAACAGGAACTATGATGACTACAGAAAATTTTCTCAAAAATCTGAAAGCTGGTGGCCATCCTAACACAGAAGATAACTTTCTTCATCCCAAAATCATTAACGCTCTATCGAAACACACAACAACGTCAGTATTTAGCAGCACCGCATATGTAATACCTCATACATGTGGCATGTTTTTCCAGTACTGGAACAAGTAAAACACTCAACATAAATACAGTTCTCAAGAATACCAAATATTTTCACCATCACCCCAGACATGTGAAGGTGAAAGAGCTCATAATTTCTATTGGATCAATCTCCAAAACTTTCCCGTAAGTTGTAATACAGTTTTGTTTTATACAGCAGTAACATCTAATTGACGACTTGTATATATAAGAAAAAGAATCACTTAAAATATTTTTTTAACATACAGCAACTATTTATGTGGGAAATTTCTCTTATTGCTTTCAAAAACTACAGCAAGAACAGCATCAAAGAACAGAGCAGCACAATAATGTGTTTGGTGGTAAATTACAGCATTTACTAAGTTTTAATAGATAAGCCAGATAAGATTTGCAAGTCCTTAACTCCAGCTGATGGACTGAGTTGCACCCACCAGCAGCTAGAAGATAGAAAAGATGAGTTTATTTATAGTATGCAGAATCCATGAATGAAAACATACCTAATCTAAAGAGCCTTCCATTTGAGCATCACTCCTTTGAATAGCACCTCCCACTCCAGCTCATGCAGGCTGTACTCAGTTATGTGAAGATGGATTTCACCCTTCACTCTTACGTAGGTGTGGCAGTCCAGGTTTTGTATTCCTCTTCAGCATGCCCCCGCTTCCTAGGAGCTACATACAAAAACTGAACAAAACAAAATTTTCAGCTCTGAAAAGTTGGTCATCCAGAGACATAATAGAACAGACTTACACAAAAGCAGATGCAAGCACATTAACTCGGAGTACGCTGAGCAGATTGAGCTGCACCGTTACCAGGCTGTGGTCTGACACCAGAGTGCCAGCCTGCGAAAGTCCTGTTTGCAGCCAAAGGAAAAGTACAGAAATAGGCCACGATGTTTATAGGAAAAAAGTAACTGTTTTGTCATTTAAAAGCTTGTCAGAATGGGATGTTCTACTACTTTCCAGGATTTTCTTTTTAATAAAGAGAAAATAGGACATTGAATAAGGACCTTTAGATGTGAGGGACCTAAAAGCAGTGTAAACAGCTGAGGGAAATTGAAGGGCAGATATTTCGTTTTTTAATTCAAGAACAGCCCTAGCCCCATAGCTGCCTCTGGTTGTATATTCCTTTGTGTTCCTTTCTGTCCAATGACCTCATCTCAACAGCCTGGAACTCTTGCAGGGACACTAACCAGTAAGCTACCAAATAATAAGGTGACTGTGTCTGCAACCACCACCTCCCCCAAGAGCCAGCTTCAGATCCTTCAAAGGAGTACAAGTCATGCATAAATGTAGATTATCCAAGCTCTGTATGAAGAACCTAAGTACTTGACTGGATCTGTACTTCAAAAGCACCCAAAAAATAGATTAATACAGGCAAATTAACACAAAGCATATATCAGAGAGGAAAGATTAAAAAAGAATGCAATGATGAATGGCACACACTACATCCACTCAGTCTATACAGCACTTTGTACTACCAAGAGTAGTGTCCTAAGCAAGTTAAACTGTTGTTTTTTAATACCAAACTTTGCACAAAATGTTCAAGCCTGTAAATCTGGAAGTACAGCTGTGGGTTTCTGTCTCTCTAAACACTATTTCCCTATGACCTTTTCTCTCTTTGCTGTGCAATTTGAAAACTGAGTCAGTGTCGTAACACTTGAAGGCATGAGCTGTTCCATTACGTTGATGTAAATTTGTAGTGAGCTTTTTGCTCTGTGAAGGGGTGCACAGAGAAGGAGAGAGCTAGATGAGTAGTGCTCAAACTGTCCCCCCACAGTATCTTAAGCAATGCTTACAAAGTCATCAAGTAAGTGTTAAAACAGGAGGCAATGGTCCTCAGGAAATCTTAAGATTGATGCACTGAGTGGTACAGTTTGGGAATCACTGCTGTGCAGGAAAGAAAGCAGTCAGTCATCTAATACTTTATTTCTACCACTCAGGGTAGAAATGTCAGTTACTAAACACAACAGATCTCCTAGTGCATTGCTGAAAGAAAATGGAAGTTATTTGGGGAAAACCAAATTTCATATTTCACCAAGAATAACTATAGAGTATATTAAAGTTTGTGAATGATTAATATATTTTTAAACAGAAATACACAGAAATAACATCAAGACAATTTCTTTCCAATTCTTAATATATAGTTGACAGAAGCTCAGCAATTAAACTCAACTCTTTCATACAAACATAGGCAGGGACAACTATACTGCAGCTGGAAATATTGGCCAGAGGATCATTCACCATTGGTTACACCAGATATAAGCCTAGCATAATCTTGGGCATTATTTTACTGAAGAAAATAGTGAAATTCTGATGTTTGCCTTCTTGATAAGGGAATTTTGCTAAAATTTTCTGTAAGGCACTTCCCAGTTCACTGCTCCTTGTCTTTAACTAAGTGTCTTTTAAACATTTCAGACTGTAAGATACAGGAAAACAATGCCGGTTGGATTTCTCAAAAACTGTGACTCAAGCATCAAAATGAGATGAGTTTTGTTGAACACCCACAGACTTTAATGCATTACAGTTCGTTAACTTTGTCCCTAGCCCCTTTATTTGAATGCTATTAACTATTAGTTCGTATGACAAAGTATGGGGAAATCCACTCCATTCACAGAAAATGCAAACCAGCAATCAGATCAGACCATAATCACAACAGCTGCCAAATATGACAATGAGAAGTCAATGCATCCATCACAAATGTTACTCCTTTTCTCAAAAGCATTTTTACACTCCTTTCTCTTACCATCCTTTGTTGTTAAATGCATGTAATTATTAGTTATAGATGGTAATTGCAAACAACAACGATAATTACAAATATCCACTCACTTCTGTGTCAAGTTTGGTAATACAAGAATAAAACAAGAAAGATTCAAGTCATGAAGAGACCTTCATTTTCCTTGAAAAGCCAAACAGCTCCCAAAGGTTAAGATTCCCTTCTGAATAAAAGCCCAGATTTTGTTTTCATGCTGACTTGAAACATGCCTTGTTGCAAGCTGCTGGAGTGCTAGCTGAGTTTTTAAAAGACACATGAAGTATAAGAAAATATACTAACATTTTTGGTGATAAATTACAGAAATGATAGTGAGCCCAGAGTTCCTGAGCAAAGTGAGTAACAGTGAGAAAACATTTATCTGCCTGGGACACAGTGAAGCTTCAAGGTAGCAGAAAGCAAAACTTAAATATACATCTAAATTGATACCACAGATTTGGTTTAAAATGGAAGTTTTCATAGTATTTACTTCATGTTACAAGTATTATATTGATCAATTTTGATGGGTTTTCTTTAGAACAAAGCAGCACACAGTAAGCTGTAAGCTTTTCTAAGCTACTTGTCCTTCTAACAATCACTCTTACCCATGCACTGTCCAGATGTTCCAGTCATAGTTCACGTTAACAATGTTTATCACAGACAGGGTTTATTTTTTTGAAATGGTATGTAAGAAAAAAGAGTGGTGGTGGACATTGACCTGCACCTGAAATCCGTGTTGATGACAGAGAGTCACAGATACACAGAACAGATTTGAAGAATCATGAGTCAGGCTTGAACTGCAGATAGGTTGGAATGCAAATTATCCTGTTAATGAACAAAGCATTGTGATTTCATGGAAAAAAAGATACTGCCCATTACTATAATCTTGACTCAAAGCAAGACTTCTGCTACATTTTTTTCCTGTTATATTTTAATCAGAGACTTAGTGCTTTCGCAAATCTATCTGAATGTATAAAATTACAGGAAAGAGATGCAACTGATTTAGTGCAAGACACTTGAACGTTTATCTAAATATAACAAACAGAGGAAGATCAGAGATTCCATACATTTCTCCATAAGGCAGATGGTCATTTTTTAAATATAAGATCTTAAATATGTCATTTATTTCTTAAGAGGTAGAAAATATCAAAATACTAAGAAAAAATTTCCAGCTTAAAACAATCAGTTAGTTTGCTTAATTTTAAAAAGTTTTACTGTTGCAGTTTTTAGGTTAATAAAAACAAACGAAGCTACGGAAGCACACGATTTCGTGCTCTGTATACATACTACTTCCTGCAGAAAGAGAGCTGCTTCATTTAGACAGTGCTCAAACATTATATACAAAAGATCTCCTCGTGCCCTGTTGGCAACTATAAATCTGAAGATTCTCAGTGGAAAATTTTGGCGATTCCTGATTTTCTAGAACTACTTTTAGCCAGGCACAGCTTATATTTATGACTTGATTCTATGATGTAACTGCAGAACTTCCCCTTCCAATAATGCTAGTAAGAAAGCTAATAGAAAGAAAAGCTTATTTAAATATCTTTTCCACAAGCAGCAAAAGATTGTACTCAGATTTCAGCACCAGCTGATAATCTGTTTTAGCAATTTAGACCAGTCCATAGACAGCTGAATTACTCACTGAACTGTGGAAGCCTACTTACAGTTGGAGTCATAAGGCTTAACGCTCGTTTCTCAGCACAGCTAGGAGACGCTGATGCTACTGTCTTCAATGCAACTCGATAAGGCATAAGTTAACTCTTAACTGACATTACTACACATTGGGAAAGTAGTGTAAAAGCTCTTCTTTTCCCTCTACTTGTTCATTCAGTGCTATTTATTAAATATTTTACAAAAAGAAGTTAGGGTATTTGTACATTCAAACAATCATTGAAACAGAGTAGAGAAAACAAATGAATTATCAGATTCTAAATCAAGCACAGTTCTGAAGATATGCACACTTGCACACATACACACTCCACACACATATAATATATGTGTGTATATATATATACACATACAAAAGTATATATATATATACTTTTTAAAAATCAGATCCAGGAGTACAGCATGGAATATCTTCACTTGGCTCCTCTTTCACCAGAGGACAGGATTGTCCAGTTTGGAAAAACCCGGTTCTTTTCTAAGGTCCATGTAGGTTCCATTGCTCACCCAGGAGTCATCTTTGGATTTCCTATCAAAGATTAAACAGTTCTTTTTTAAACGTAAAGCTTATCTTTTCTATGTGTTTGGTGTGTGATGCAATGTAGCACGCACTACATACAGATACCTAATCCAGCCCATAAACCAGATGCAATGAAGCTCAGTACAACATTCAAACAAGGCGATATAGCTTGGTGAAGATAATTGGTAGATTTGGGTCTTGGGGAAATACAAAACGCCCTTGTTTTGCTCTCCTGTGTCAGTCCTTAGCACTGAAAACTGCGCTCCAGGTTTACTTCATGGTCTCAAATGCCATCAGGCAGCTTTGCATAAGCTTCTGTAAGAATATGCCTTTTTAAACCTGAACTGTCATTGACTCTGTCCTGACTGAGATGGAATCTGAAAGTTTCCTTTTTCCTCTCTGAAGGTGGCTCACCACAGCTGTTACACAAGGAGAGACACAGCTCTCAATCAAGAAGCAAGGCTCATCATTCTATGTGCTGTACCCCTGGATGCACTAATCTTTTTAATGTAGCGTGCAGCATTTTTGAAAAAAAAAAACAACAAATTAATCTATTCAGTAAACCAGAACTTGTGATTTATTGAAGGAATAAATCACTACTAAAAAGCAAAATGCCTAATTCACATCTACTCTAATACTTGCTCATATTTTTGCTATACAGTAATAATATTTTTTATTCTGTTATTTAAACATATAGCACAAATCTCAGCTTTCAAATCCTCATCCTTCTTTACATTCCTCATTGTGAATATACAATAACATAGTACTAGACCTTGCTTCTCTTCTGTCTGTTTAGCCTCCTGGAAGGAAAGCGTGCCTCCATTTCATTAGCTCACCAGCTCTTCAGACAGGCAGAGGTCTAAGCCATTTTCTTTTTGCATCTATTGTAAACATTTCTGTGTTTCTCCAAGTCTTACTCCTCATTAGTACTGTGTCTATCTAGAAAAACAATTAGTATCCCAGATCTGTTAATTATGACACATTCGCCCATACAGCACTCATCTTGGGTCTAACTCTTTCACTGCATCCTGAACAGAGAAGCTGGAGGGCATAAGGCCGTGTTGTCACTAGCATTCATTCTTGTCTTTCAACAGCTGAAGTCCCCTATTAATTGATTTAGAACTGGAAGAAATAAAATGACCTCTAAATCATAATTCTCTTGCCATTAGATGGGGGAAATGTTCAAAAGCAGCCCTGCTGCACAAGGCAGTCCCACCGAGTTCAAGGTTCAGCAGAGCTAATTAAGCTAAAACCACCCACACTTCACCTTGCTTGAAAGAATCAAAGATGCTACATTCACTCCTCAGGCAAACCCAGACTGAGACCAAACACCATTTCCCTTTGGAGCAAAAATTTAAAACAAAAAAATCAGGGATGTGGTAATAAAAAAGCATATCCTGTATTCCTTAACTAAGTCTGCAGTGCTTCAGTATAAAAATCAAGAACAAGGAAGAAACCTGGAAAAACCTGGAGCCTTCTTTATGGCAGATCAGAACCAGATCGATAGTAAACATTTCAATAAATGATGTTATATACAAATTATTATATAATACCTGAAAAATCTAGGCTGATGCTCTAGATTGTTTTCTTCCAGCACCTTTCGTCGTTCTCTCTGTAGCTGCTCAATTCTCTGTTTTTGCATTTCAGCTGCTTCAATATTCCCTTCTTCTAGAAACCTGTACCACCAGCAGTGATAAAAAACATAATTAGTGCTTCAGTCCATTATTTTTGTTAGGTCCTCTAGAACTCCAGAATCTAATATTTACAGAAGACAGCTTGGTGTTTAAAAGATAAACTGTATCTATAGACAATAATTACATTACCAAAAAGCACTTATGGAAAGGTAACTGACAACAAGCTTGAAGTAATATTTGTGTTAGATTCTTTTCCCTAGAAATTAGCAATGGTAGAATTCCTCCACAGAAAGAAGTTTCAAGAGTCTGAGGTTTCAGTTCTTCAAACACAGTATGCTCAACAAAGAATCCCTGAAAAGCTGTAACATCTTTGTAAAGACAGTTATCTAGAAACTGGAGCATCCAAAACCAGTTCCAGAAAACACTGGTCTATAATGACTAGACATCTCTTGATTAGTGATTAAAATTCTGTTTCAGATACAGAATTAATGTAGATATGGGAACATTCTGCAGGTATCTAAACAAAGTAGCCTAAGCTTAGGGATAAAGTGAATGGGCAGATTTTGAGGAAGATACTTAAGAGGAAAAACTTCTTACCTTTGGTCTGGTCTAAAGCGTGTGTCAGTGGATGGGAGCAGTGACCTTGTTTGCAGGTCCAGTTCATTTAACTCCAATGCAAACTGAGTAAATCCATACCACTGTTCATAGTCTTTAGGCATTGGATCTACAGCAGAAAAAAGAACATTTAGAATTCCAATTAAATGTTACTGTCTTTAGAAGGACAACACCAAACTCCCCTCAGTCTTTTTCAAAACCTCTGAATCATGGCCTCAATTTAGGGGGAATAAGTTGAGTCAAAGCATAGCAGTGATGAAACACATTCTACAATCATAGTGATTTTTCAAACTTCAGTAGGTAAAACCCCACAAGGTTTTGGAAAAACTTCAGATATGGTTCTCATTATGGAACTGAGCTATGTGCACAATTTTCCAAAGTTTAATATACATGAAAACCACCATAGTTCACACAAAATAAAGTGGGTTTTTTTGTTTGTTGTTTCTTCTTTGCTTTTAGAGTCCTCAATACTTTCTTCATAGCCAGATATGAAAAGGAGGGAGAATGAGGAAAATATGGGAAGCCATGGGATTAAGTTCCCAATATAATTTGAGTGATTTATTTTTCTGGTCTAAATTTTAAATCCTTGAAAAACTTCTAATATTCTTTGCAATAAGAAGTTGAGGTCTACTAGGTAGATTAAAATAGAAAATAGATATTCTTAAGCATATTCTAAGTTCTGTATGTCAGCCGTTCTGGTCACTAACTTGCTCTCCATATGCAATTTGGAGATGAAGTTGTCCCACAGTACAAACTTTCATGCCACTTCCCAAAGAGTCGATGCACAACATTCCCAGTTTTATCCATGACACTGCCTTCGATCTCATGTGCATTTGGATTCCAATACTTTGCCTAGAATCAAAAAGCGCACAAGAGATCAAGTGAGAGTGATATTGCCATGCTGTATGGTATTTTTTCTGAATTGAAAACTATTCATTTAGGTGCACATTACAGTATCATACATAAAGAACTACGGTTATTACAACTATAAATTAGCCTACTAAAATGGGCTGTTGAGAATTGTATCTATTCTTCCTTTGTTAGGGGCAGCACTAGGCGAAGCACAGCTGACCTTAAACTTTGTCCAATGACACATAACACTGATTCCTGATTTGGTTACCTAAATCCTCCCCAGATTTGCAGAAAAGGAAGAGAAGGAACTGTTACAGTGACCTCCATTTTAGCCAATTTATAATATCGAATATATAAACTAGCAGTCTCTCCATCTCCAAAATCTACTACAACTCTGAAAATACATTACTGTGCTTGGAATAAAATACCAAAAAAGATTACTCTAATGCTTCTTAGAAAGCATACAGTATTCACAAAAAAAAAAGTAAGAGCAGGAAAATGATGATGCTCACTTTCTTTCTGCTGCTGAGTGCACCATGGTGCACAGGCATGCTGAAGTACTTACAGATAGACCATGCAGCCATGCAGATACAAGCAACGAAAAGGAGAGCCTTGCTCCAGCAAACAGATACAGAAAACTCAGGTTTAGGTAAGTTTCTTACAATGCTGAGCAAAACTGTTTCTCAGGTTAGAAATTCTGGCATTATTTTAGGCTTTCAGTTAATTTTTCTTTTCTTGAAGAAGTTATCTACTGCCAAAAGTTAATTTCCATTTCAGTGATGAGGGCATTTCTTGAGGTAGTTATATATCAATGTCTTATCACAGAATCACAGAATTGTAGGGGTTGGAGGGGACCTCCAGAGATCATCGTGTCCAACCCCCCTGCCAAAGCAGGTTTCCTACAGCAGGTCACTCAGGTAGGCATCCAGGCAGGTCTTGAACATCTCCAGAGAAGATATATTATCTTTATCTATTTATCTTTATTATCTTTATCTTTATTTTATCTTTATTATCTTTATCTATTTATCTTTATTATACTGAGGAAAAAGCTTTGAACAATACAATTCCTCACTTAGGCTCCTCCAAGCACCTGCAGAGGGGCTAGAAAAATGCACTGCAAGTGTAAGCACTGTAAGCTTACACCCTGTGTAAGCACTGTTTCCATAGCTGCTGGATGAATGCAACATAGCACATACCAATGGATTAGTAAGAGATGTATGGTAAATCTCTTTCAGTGGACACCTTGTGTCTACTTCTCTTGTCAAACATAGACTAGGTTTTTGATCATATTTCTTCCTTTCCTTCTCTCTTAATTTTTTTCCCCTGCGTCTCATCTAGAATCACCTATGAAGGGTGATTTTCTTCCTTTCTTCCAAGAAAGAAGCTTTTCTTTCTTGCCTGGCTCTACCTAGTAAGCTGCAGTTCATTTATAGTTCACAATTCTCAAAGAATCACAGGTAATTTCAGAACTGTCTGAAAACACAGTTTGTAAGCAGTTGAACTGAGTTTCAGCAGACAGCATCCACCCCCTGCTGCGTTTGCTGGATAGGACACTGCCAAAATTACTGTTACTGAAAGTCACCTTTATGAAAGTCAATTTGCAGTAACAAGTGTCGTCATTAAGATTTTTGATGATGATCTCTCCATAGTGTTCAATCCATCTTTGCCCACTTAAGATGTTATGGATGCAAGATGTCACCTTGTTCCATGCAAAATGGTCTCTAAAACTGTAACAAAATAGATACACGAGAAGTCTTATGCCATGTTTAAGCTAGTTTATAAACTTCTGAAAAAAATTCAAAGAGAACTCAAAAGAAAAAAAAAATATCAAAAACAAATTTTTTAAATAAAGCCTTTATATTCTTGAATACCTGTTTATTATTAGTAAAGCCTATGGCAACAATTCAAGTATTTTTTTCCACAGGGATACAAACAACACATGAAAACCACATGTGAATCAGAAAATTTTCCAGTTCATCAGCTCTAATGGGGATAATGGGTGCTAATCCATAGGTTACTTTACCTCTGAACCTTCACTCATATTCTAAAGACCTTGGAATGCACAGCTTAGTCTAGCTACTACGAACAAGAGAACACAATATCTTTTATACACACTGCCTTTCGGATACTTTATTGGGTTGTTTTTCTTCTTTCTTAAATTTGGCAGAATAATTAAATTTGTAGACTCTTTGGAAAACAAATTTAATTACAACAATACTTAACCCTTAGACCTGTGTTTCTGTTACTATGCTGGATACAGGGTAGTTTTTGAGTGATTCTATTTGTTGATCTATAACAGACACTTTGACAAGCCAGCATAGGAGCACTGTAGATTTTTATTTTTAAAAATCAACCTAAACTATAGTGGTTGTGAGTGCTTACTTCCTTGAATAATAAATACTAGGTATGCTATTGGTGCTATTTGTCACAATAATTATTTCAGCAGTGAGGACAGCTGTCAGCCTCAGCTACAGACCTAGACCCCATAGTGGTAGGGTCTGTACAAATGTAGACACAAAAGAGCAACAACCTCCCAACCTCAAATTCATATTCAAGCAAAAAAACAAAAAAAAAAAACAAAAAAAAAACACCTGCAGCTTCCTTTATCACACAGCTTTTCCATGTAACTAAAAAATGCACTAAGCTTGAAATTGAACCTAAGTATGAAAATACAAACTTTGCTTTTTCACCAAAGCATATGAAATTGATGGCTTTTATCTCATCATTGGTTTTATAACATTTGAAAGATGTACAGCTTGATCTTTGAAAGATTTAGAGCTTCCATTTTGTTATTTTTTTTTCTCCCCTCTTTATTTTTAAACTAAATCTTAATCACCAATTCTTTCAAAGGTCTCATCTGCACAGTACAGGTTCTCATCTGCAAAAATGGAGCTTCGGTGCAGGTGAGCCTCTATGTTGTCTGTGTGTGAACAGCAACGCGTGATCGCAGCACTTACGCTGGAAGAGTTACATGTGTTGTACCAATGGGAACAATTTCCATGGACTTTCCCCAGAATTTGTTTTTCCATCTTACATCTGAAAAAGGATGAGGGAAAAAGAAATAAAAAATAAAAGGCAGGTTCAGTCATTGGCATGCGTGAATCTATAGACATCTTGGCTCTACTTTAAGAAACACAAAATAACAAAGTGTAACATAATAAGGAGTGTTCAAAATAACGCTACAAACAATTAAGTGTTTATTCAAAATATTACTGGTTATTTAAATAGAAAAGCACCAGAGTTTTAAAAGTCGTCTCTTAAAAACATTTTCAAAAGAGAGGAATTTAAATAAGCTGTAGGCAGTGTACATTCATCTTTAATGCTTCATTCCCTAATGCTAGTGAATGAATGCAGACATTTTCAAAAACCAGAAAGAAGATTCCAAATACAAAAATATAACAACTACCAACATCCACAGGGCAGAAAATCAGGTAGGGATTTAGTCTGACTTCCCCTGGAAGTTTAATTGGCCTTTTAAAATCTGGTCTGAATCAGAAGAACTGCCCAAGTCTCGCATCATTTCCTCCAAAAAAAGATGATAAATCTCAATGAAAACTTACAAAAATATCTTGAGGAAACTGTTAAATTAGCAATTCACTTCAAAGTGAAATAAACATGGACAGAGAAGCACAGCATAAGGGGTATGGAGTTAAATTAGGCTAGACAATCAGACAGTAACTTTAGTGCTTGCAAGATAGTATCCTTGCTGTACAAGACACCAGCATCTCCAATTCTATTCACAGATTCATTTGACAATAAAGGAAAAAATCATCTCCAGTCTCAAAAAGATGCTAAGATGGAACGAAAACCAAACTACAGCTTCCAATGCAATTGTCCTTTGCAAGCAGGTCCTACAAAAGTAGTGTTAGTTTCCTAAGTAAGGGAGAAGAGTTTCTGAAATAAGTGTCCTTATGTTGAAACAGGAGCTAAGGTCACTCAGTATCTGGTGGAATGACAGCACTATTGTAGCAATGTAGCTGAGGGCTGTCTCCTTTCAGCAGAGAAGACTATATGATAAGTGGCAGATGTTTGCACAGACAGAACTTATCTTGTTGACAAGATACCTTTATGATTAACTTAATGTTGATCTTTCCACATAAGTTAATATAGCCCTGTAACAAGAGGCCACGGTATTTACAGATTACATTTACATTAGAAAAAAATCATTGTCTAGATCTCCAATAAGCTCAGCTGGACACATTCAGAAACACAACAAAAAACAAACAAAAACAAACCCTGCTGCACCCTGACTGAGTCTTCTGGGTCACTGGGACCAGAACCTCAGACTCTCTCTAATCAACCAGACTCTCAGTGCTTGTTTTAACAGAACAAATTTGTTCTCTGAGTGCATATTACAATAGTTAAGTGACATTAGCTTTCCAAGATCTGTTTAAGAAATGTATCTTCAGTTTTTGAGATAGGCTGTTATCTAGTCTTGTATATACAAGCAAATGGATACATTTTTGGTCATCTTTGCTTTTCAGCTAAGAACAGGATTCTTGCTCTGTATCTGTTTACAAAGCAAAGAGTTAGACTAATGACAAAGCTGCAATTTCTGTTCAATACAATTCCACCTGTAATAGCTCTAATCAAGGCAGCAAAGCCGATCCTAATAGAATTAAAGGCTATAATATGCTACACAGCGAACTGACAGAAGTCTGGGCAAAGGATTTTAACTGAGTTAAAAGGCATAGTTATGTCCTGTGTCCACTCCAAAAATATTGGATTGTTCAGGTATTCTAACTGGCTGACATCTTCACCAGATTTGTACAGCAAACAAAGCTCCATTGCACTATTTATTGGAAGACAATGTTAGTAGTGAAACGGCATGAAATTTGATGCACTATAATAATACTACAAGAGACAGACACGGTGAATGTGCTGTCCCTGCTGTTATACATATTTCTGGAAATTATTTTCAGAACAGAACTGCAAGATCTATCATGGCTCAGGATTCAACGCACAGTTTTCCAAGTTCCATTCTAGGTTGTCTTCATAAATATCTTGAGGTACAACTCTCCTTTTGTAAACAAACCTCTCACCAAAAATAAACAAATGAACAAAAAAACCAAGAAAATTATTTAACAGATTTTGAATACATGCACATAATTGTAATGGCAGAAGATCGAAGTAAAAAAAAATACCAGTAAGCCAAGGATTTCTTATAGCCATTCTGTTATGATTTAAGCAGAAAAATTCATCTTTTCCCTATTTCTGGATATTTCATGTTAAACATACAGTGCAATTATTATGAAGGCTGTGAAAGTAAATGATACTGTATATTTACCTTGCCAAAAAGCAAAATTCACAGATTCAGCATGGCATGCAGAAATAGGTGGATGGTGACTGACCTAATAGCAAGACATGAAAGAAAGAAAAAAACAAAGATAAAAATGTTAACCCCTGAAGAGTAATTTTGTTTTGTTCTACCCCTTTTTTTTTCCCTTTATTTTTCATTCATTTATTCATATAATTCATTCATTTACAATTTGAACATTTACTTTCCTTTTGCAGTTGTTTCCTTAAGGGGGAGCCAGTGGGATTTGTAATGTACTGAGACCTAGGAAGCCTTGAAAGAAAAGGCAAACACTGTTTAAAAGGCCTGTAAATTTGTTTGTTGAAAGAAATCTAACCACGGATTTTGTACATTGTCTCTAATGTAATATTTACACTTCATCTGAAAGCCTCATTTATATTTTAACAGAAGATGTGCTTTGAGAAGACAGCAAAAACGTAGAAATTACCAATCAAAAAAACAAAAACCAAAAGGCCAAATGCTTCTATATAGTAGATCCTTACTAAACCCTGACTATGGGGTGGGACAGCAATCAGCATCACTGAAGGGGACAAATGCTAGAGAAATAAAACCATGAAATTCCATCTAGCAATTTTAAGCCTGCACAAGTGACACATCCAGTTTTTTTTGTGTGAAGCTCTAATCAAACACACTGCATTTTATCAGCTTTGGGTAATAACAGCACATACATAACAATGCAAGGACTGAAACAACAAAGTGAGCATTGTAAGTAAATAAATAAATGTTATGCATACTGTTCAAATAAAATAGTAAATAATAAAGTGACTGTACAAAGCAAAAGCTCTCTACATTCACCCTTCTGGGTGAACAAGACTAAAATCTGACCAGGACCAACACCTTGATGTGTAACGACTACTGTTCTTTTGACAAAGACACTTTTATTTTCAAATCAAGTTGCTAATTCCAACTATGAATTTCATTTCTTAATCACCCATATGACTTGAATGCAGTTTTACTTTCTTCTTTGTTTCATTTTGCAAATCTGTTATTTTATGCAGTTCTCCCTGACCAACCTTCACATGGTTAAAAAAGAAATAAAGTAGTACTGATTACTCTCAGCTATGCCCTAATCCACTGAGAGAACACTCTCTCTCTCTCTTACATACTGTGTTCAGATTAACCCCAGATGTCACTATAATTCCCAGGTTAAACTTGGCTCTCACTTAAACTGTGATAATTCCAGAGTAAGGTCATGGAGCTAAGTAGAGCTATTCTAAACATATCCTAATAACAGAACAGATCTCTATAATTTTATACATTCTACTTCTCTATTTCACACGTTACATGGTACCTGCACTAACAAGTTATCTAGAGCAAGCATCAAAATGCTTGCTCAAACAAGCAATAAATAAGAGCTCCTGATGCAAAAAGAAATATTCAGTGCTTGCAAGCTGTATGAAATTTCTTTCCTCCTATACCACCCTCCCTTCCAAATATTCCTCCACCCCATAATAATACAGTAAAACTTTACCACTCATGTTACATACTGCACATATTTGAACAACAGTTATTAACAAAACAAGAACACTCATATTTTAAAAATCTCCTTTAGGAAAAGTAGCCTTTGTAGTGATTTGTCTAATACTTAGGGGAAAATCTTTTCCTTTAATTCAAACTTACACTAAACTAAGTTCCAAACTTTATTATCTGCTTTGCTACTCCAATTTGACGTTACACTGGTGACTTAGAACTAAACACAATAAAGATTCAGACACATTGCTTGAACTTTAGACTTGATTCTTGCTTTGACTGTTCTGCTTTTTTTTCCTTATTTTTTCACTTGTCTGTGATACTTCCTAGACTAAGGAAAGATCACATAGTGCAGCTTCTTGTCCTCTGTAAAACATGATGTACAAAGTGCATCAAAAACACTTTTCATTTAATAATAGAAGTCTCTTACGAGGCTTTCACTGATCAAATTTCTAGGCTGCACAGCCTTGCCTACTTTAATTTTCTAATTTTTGTTGCAATGCCTAGACAGAATAAGACAGCTTTCAATCCTTCTTATATTCTGACAGGAACCAGATTCTTCAAATTCTACCTCATTTTAACTTATGTCTCAAGCTTAGCAATTTTGGTATCCGGACTGGTTCAAATATTATATATTTTTTACCCACGCTTAATAACCATACTACAGGAAGGCTATTTTCAGCAACACTCAGACCTTGATGTGCTGTATACATCCTTCAGCTACTAAGCTGTGGTACCAGATTTGACAGGCTTAGCCCACAAAGTATTTGGACAGGGAGGATAAATATTCATGGTGCATAGAAAATACTGGTGGTTGATCAACTCATGTGAATGAAATATTTGCTGTAAAAAAGACAATTTGTTATGAAAATTTTAAACGATTGCACACAAAAGAACATGACAAGAACATAAAGCCTTTTGTAGCGATCAGATTTCAGAATGAGAAACTTAAACAAGTTACCTGGTTACTGGAGTAACAGCCTGCCAAGCCTTTGCTTCTGACTGTCAGTGACTGATTGCCACATTCCATCCTAGCGTTAGCTGCCTTTCCTCAATAAACAAAGCCATTTCCTTCATTTATAATTCTAGAGCATCCCTTGAGTTTTGCTGGGTAAGGTGATGCAGAGTAATGTATTTTGCTATAGCTCTGGGGGATACCAGCCATGCATTCAGAATTGAGTAGTCTATCAAATAGCAAAAGTACATGTTGCAGCATACAGTACCTGTTCTGCAAAGAACTGGAAACCCTTATCTTCACGAATACATTCATAGGTTTCTCCAAGAACAGGATTAAATGGCTTGCTTCCAGCTCGGTAGTAACTGGATGCATATGCAGATACTGCAAACGCAGCTATATATACCTGGAAATAACACACAGAGAATTCTGATTACTTTATCACAATCATGCACTTTTTTTTTCCAATAGATTCAGACTTAACAGAAAATATAAACAAAGGCCTTATCCTGATATCACCTATTTCTTTTTTCCATTATTTGCAGACTACAAATGTGTATGCCTCCTCCTGGGAGTTAAGCATTAGTTCATACATTATAGAGTTTTTCAGTTTTCAATGAATCATTCAAGAGGCCAGTGATAGAGTTAATAGGATCAAACTTCACAAATTATTTGACTGAAAACAGTGTCTCTGAAAACAGTTTGAAACAATTCAGTATTTCGGAACACACAGAATTGAAAGCAGTAAACTTAAAAACCACTGACAGATTTTGTATTGTAATTGGCTTTTACAGTTATGGTCTGTTATTCTATGGATCTACTCACTATCCTTTCCCTAAATATGGCACAGGAAATACTGTGAGAGTTTTCACAAAATTTGCTACATTCAATGCAACTTGTACCATTTTTCTTCCTTTTCTTTTCCTTTTCCATGTTTTATGAGAGTAGTGTGTTCCTTTCACAAATTCAGAAACTGACTTAATAAATGAGCTATTCTGAAGCAAAATGTTGCAATTACTATACAACAGTTAACAATAATTTTACCTCAAGCGTTTTTCAGAGTCAAAGAATACTACGTTCCAATTCAATTTCCAGATGCTTAGGTGTGGGAAGGAGTGAAGAGACTTATTTGCATTCCTATGCAAAGACCTACTGTTCATTTTCTTTTAACGCTTATTCTTAACAAAAACAAAAACCGAGTTCTATACAAAGAACAAATTAACAGCCACACTCTGCAGCAGAAATGCTAAGTCATGGCTCCAAGCAGTAATTGAGCACTTGGTAGGAAAGCAGAACCAACCCAAGGGAACACAGGTGCAAGCAAGGTTGGCAGTGGAGGTAAGGGTATCTTGCTAGAGACCCCTGCATAGTTGAGACCTTCTAAAGGTAAGTGTGGTTTTCCTTTATCTCTGTGATGCTGACCATTGCATTTGAGTAAACCCTCACCTGCTGCAACCTAGGACCTTCTATTTTGCTGTCATTACTATGCTCTCCATTGTATTACACTCTCTAAATCCCAAGGACAGACACAAAGTTATGATCCTTGTAGAGTTGGAGCAAGTTCTTTTTGAGCAGTATTTATAATGTAATTAATTACATTCATTAATAGTCTCATTTTAAAGTAAGAAATATTGATCAGAAGACTTAATTTAGTGTATGGTACAATCCATCTCTTCTATTTAAGAGAATGTAGTGAGCTTTAAAATCTTTTATTTATAGGCATACACATTAAGTAACTCTTGTGAATCTAGAAGCAAACAACTGAAATAAATTTTCTCTTGTTATCTATCAAATTCCAAATTCAGGATTCTATGGTAGTGGAAGATGACATCAATATAGTAATCAACATACATAAGCAGTGCCTGGTTTTGAGTTTCTGACCACTTTGTAGCATCTTCAGAATTACAAAAAATCAGCTGATAAAACAAATGGGGCTCACTTAATTGACACAAAGCTATCACAGTAGGGTAGGGCTGGAAGACCCACTATCTACCATGGAGAACTGCTTCCAGATTAGGCAATTTCACATTATAAAGATATATAGTATTGTAATTTCCATACTCATAAGAGAAGCATAATAGTTCACTCCTCTGCTCCAAGTTTTTCTTCTTGGAAAACTAGAAGAGGAAGGAGGAAGAAAAGATACAAACCAGATTTCAACTTGTACTTCACTTAACCTTGCAGGATAAGGCACTTCAGGAGATATACTTCCTTAACAAAGCAAAAGGAATTAGGCAGAATAAAAATTAGTGGGTACACAAATTGGAAAACAGTGGAAATTGGAAAAAAGTGGAAACAAACACAGACATGTTGGAGCCTGCCTTTCTCAGCTGGATGGAAAGAAAAATGGAGTAGAATGCCTTCATGTATTTGACAGATTATTATTATTTTTTTTTACATTGTACTCTCTTCTGGTTGTACTGATTATTATTAAGAATCTTAAGTGTTTACCATCCGTTCAAATGGGTTGGCTGTATGAGCTGCTTTATCTAGTAGCTCACTGTATTCCAGCTCCTCGCAGAGACGCTGAAGGGTGTTAAGTGGCTCATTCAATTCCACAGGCATGGCCACTTTGGAGAGATCCTTTCCTATGTTGTTTCTTAAGATATTCCATAGGCTGATGTTACTAGTATTGGGACATGGAGCTGGTAAACATGTTCTCCTTTTAGAATGACATCCAATTCCACTTTCAGAAATACAGTCTGAAAATAAATATGCAGAACGAGTTAATATGTCATTTACTTACTCTTTATCCCTCTTACAAATATACATTAAGATGTAACTTTTTTTTTGTCAAAACCACCTTTCACTCTCACATTTCATTCAAATAACTTCACCTGTGGTTTAAAGATAGTCTGCTACAAAGGGGTAAAGAATAAACATCACTTTAATATCTCTAAGTTAACTGAAGGTAGAAAAGCAGCGTGAAAACTACCTCCTTTCCCTTAAAGGCTAGGAGAGAGACTCAGGCTTTCTGCTGAATTTGAAAGAGTAAATATTATTGCTGTCTTAGTCGTAACACAGATAGATTCCTATCTGTTTAAGTGACAAAAAACCTCCCTCCCTGACAGAGCTTCAATTAGGTTGCCACTTCTCAGAAGACAAGGAATAAATTACAGATCCAAGCACCAAAGTAACTCCTATCTATTTTTTTTTTTTTTTTTAATACTGCTTCCAAGGAAATCTACTGTGCCACAGATTTACATGAAGGCTTTCCTACTGTGCTTGCCATAGCACTGAGCATTTTAAAAATGTTAAACCACATTGACTTTTAGATATACCCATGTATTGCTTATTTAATTGCATATATTGCTTTCTACCTGCTTAACAGGTAGAAAAACTGAAGCAATTCTGGAACTTAGGGTTTGCTAATATTTAAAAAAAAAAAAAAAGACTTAACCACAAGAATACCTGAGGTGGCCAGAGTTGTCAAAGCAGTCAGACCAGAATAAATAGTTGAAGGTGTGCAATGAAATTACATCTATTGAATTAAAATAGAGCTATGAGATTCTGCAACAGGTACATTGCTTAGTTATACATCAATTTTGATTCAGATGAATGAGATTTTTGTCAGAAGGATGAGATTTCTCTCTACAGTGTAGTTTGCCCACTCCTAATGAAAAGAAATCCCCTCTGGTTTGCAAGACCTGTGGAAAAACAGCCACAACAACACTGAAGGAGACTAAGACACCTGACCTTCTGCTTGGATCAGTGACTTTTCAAGTCAGATTGGATCACTGCTGTCATCTGGTCTGACTTTTGACAGTGCAGTGGTCAAAAGATTTTTATCAAAACCCCACAGAATGTGCTGCTCAAAAGCAGTCCGAGGTGATAAGAGGGGAAAAAGACCACACAAGCTGTCTATATCACAATCTGTAATATCAAATGTTTTCTAACAAAACGCAAATTAATACCCCAAACAAGAAACAAATTCCCAAAACATGATATCATAAGACCCTCAACTTACCTAAAGTTTGTCTTTCATTCTCTATGTCATTGCTTAGGTTATCTTCTGAGACATTATCACTGATATCGCTTACGTATGAATCATCATCTGATACCTACGTGCAGGATAAGATATGTTACTCACTAACATACCCATTAAAGTAATTCCACGTGCACACAAATTGTTACTTTTTGCTGCAATTAATATTTCTTGTAGATCCAAACTTTTTAAGCTGTATTTCAGTATTGGAGAAAAGTACTAAGTGGACCTCACAATTAAATACTTTGGGAATTATTACCATCAGCGATAATTCAGTTTTTTATCTTAATGAAAATGTGCTTTATTCTCTTGGTCTCAGAGCTAGAAGGGCTTTCACCACATCAAACACCAAGAATTTAGGGAGTCCTGGAGAAGTGAGCTAGTAACTTTTAGTATCTGTAGTATTGGCCCCACGGTATACCTAAAGGGCAGATATATATTTATATTTCTGTGATAGAATTTCCTTAGCTCTTGCACGATGACTCAAGGCAGATCATACAATATATGCAGTGCCTGCATATGAGCTACCTGTTTGCCATTTTCCTCAATGTGCATATAAGACTTTTCCACAATAATTTTTTACATTCAACTGTAAAGAGATAACAAATGAACACAAGCAGCATAGTAACTTATTTTTGTCAAATCATCTGATGTGCAATTAGCACACTGAAAGACCACATGTTGAGTAGCAGATAATGAACTAGATAAGAAAAGTGTCAACCTTAAAGCTCAGACCTCATTTTCTGAAGAACTAGCAGACAGTAGGACTTCCTGTGCATCAAAAAATTCTGTAAGAGAGTCAGCAATAGACAGTCTGCTTTCATTGGAGATCTGGTGAACCAGACCTCTGTTTTCTTCTCTTGAATTTTCCTGTTCAAAAGAAATACAAAGTGTTGAGAGGAAGAATACTACAAATAGCATTCACGCATATAAATCCAGTCACATAAGTTAAAGGGTTGTAGAACACCTGGGACAAGATTGCACATGCTCCTTTTCAAACTTAGCGAAAGGTAGCATGTTCTGAGGAGGGTATTTAAAACCAAATGAAAATAGACTAAAAAAGAAAAAAAATCTACAATTCAGTAGATCAGTTCATACTGTGCCATGTACTACTTCCTCTGACAAAAAATGTGAAAATGCATTGATATTTGAGAGGTTCAGCCAGATGCGTATGCAAGTGTATCACTAAGAAATCCCCACAAAGGAGAAAGTTCCAACTTTTTTAACTACATGCTGGATTCTCATTCTTTGCTGATCTTAATAAACATACTAGTTTTCTCTTTTCCCTGGCCTTGCTTAATGCAAGTCTGGTCAAGCAGTAGCACACAAATTCAGAGGGTTGAAGTTATTTTCTATGCAATAGCAATGTTTTCCTGATTATCTCCACTTGGCTACCTTCCTTGCTATGCTTCAGAAAGCTTCATATTCACACCCAAGAACTGTGTATCAACTCAAGCCAGCATATTATCAAAGCTGCATCAATGATATTGCTTTTGCTGCTGAAGTTCTGTTTGTACAAAATGTACAGATTTCATGACCTCCACCTGCAGAAACCCCAAGTTTTCTCTGTAGGTAGTTGGCATAAGCAGAGTTGCCAAATGTAGTATAGCAAAGGTGGGACTACCAGTGAGTATTGGTAGTTCCCTCATAGCTCCATCCCTACTAAGGAATAAGGCTGGCTGGTCCAAATTAGCATATCAGCTGCTCTCAAGCTTCTTTCTGTACGTGATGCATTCTTGTAACCATGGCTGCCCTTGCTATCATAATTTTGTAGGAATTGCAAAATTAAAAAATTTTTAGAGCTTTACTTTCAGAACTCAATGAATTATCTGGGAAGTCTGTAATCAAACTGACAAATCTTTTGAGGCTTCTCTGTTGGTTTTATTACAATATAGAATGTTATTCACTGTGTGCTGATAATGGTGACATTGATAACAGTTTGGTTTGTTACTTACAGAAGATTTCTGCTTTATTTATTTAATTTTTTTTAATTGTATAATCCCAGTAAAGCCACAAGAAAGAAGTAACCTCAAAATTGACTCTTCTGGGGGAAGGCAGTTACATTGGCCTGCAAGTCAAAAAAAAAATTTCCTATGTGCATGAAGAGTGCTACTGGGATTGTTTCCAACTCTATTTTGAATCTCAGAAGCAAAATGAGCAGAAGAGGCTCATAAAAGAACACTTTGTTTTTATATTTAATCACATGAGAGCTTCACTTTGTCTTTGTTCATGTTTCAATTGTGGCATGATGAACTGCACCATAAATGACTCAAAATATAAAGTAAATGTTCATTTTATGCAAAGGCTTGAAAAACTAGTTAATACTGCTTCAATTTCCACAGGCCTATCATAGCAGCAGATATATCATCTAGAGCCAAGCTTTGTGCAGTGACCTCACAACAACAGTACTGTATTGCAGTCCTCAGACAATCTAATATGAAAATTTTCCAGTATAAATGATTTTTGTCTGTAAGTTCCAGAGGGATTTCATCAACAAATGCCCTAAAGGACATTTTAAAAGCTAATTTTGTCACTATATATGCAGTGCATACAGCACGGACTTGATGAGCTATAAGGTCTTTTCCAATCTAAGCAATTCTATAATTCTATGTGTGAGAAATAACCCAATATCTTTACAAGGTCTTCCACTAAACATGATGATTGCTCTTGAAATTAAAAACCAATGTACTCATTCATTAATGCCTCTCTGTATACCAGTGCTACTCAAGAACTTTATGGGATTAAAAACAAAAGACACTGAAATGATCAATTACCTTAAAAGAAAAGAGAGGCAAAATATGACTAAAATCAGTACTTCTAAAATGGAACTAAAATAGGAATGAACAGACTGAATGACTAAACTGCCTTTAAAAATGAAAGGAAATAGTATGTTATATAAAACCCAACACTACATCCATTCAAGTTCTAATGCAGGATTTATTATACAAGCACAGCAGAAGTTTCTGTATCAGTCAGCATGTAGGAAAATTCATCAGAAATAAGTTCTTGCTTCCCTTATTGGAATCTTAAACATCTAGGTCCTATGATCTATAAATACACCACATTCATATGCATTCTGAAGTGAGCCAAAAAACTGCCAGTACTTCAGTGCATCTCAGACTGGCTAACTGGATATGCAGAAGACTCCCTGTTCTCAAACACACAGAACTAAATGGCTGAAGATCCCATACATTTCATTTCTTTGATTCTTTCATGAAAAGTCTATTAATGGCTCTAAACATTAAGTCAGTCACACCAGTAGTTACTGTTCTGGGCTAACAGTATTCAGACAGGCATGAAAGTTAACAGGAGAATGCAAGGAGAGAGAACCACTGGCAGCAGGTGACAAGGCAGCTTTGTTCATGCTGAATGGGAAGTGGGCAGGAGGTGAGGGAGAATACCAGGAGCCAGTAGCAAAAGCAATGGTGGTATGCTTGGGAAAACTGCTCACAAGGAAAATCTTTGAAATTAAATATAACACAATGCATCAACAGAAATGATTCATAATCACAAAAGCGGACCCATTTTGCTAACACAATACACTGCAGGGAAGACATGAAGAACAGGACAAAAACACTATCTAGATGTAGGAGCTTGAGGAAAAGATCACTGAAAGAGGAAATCCATACCCACCTTCACCAAATCTGGACTTGATTTTGCATTAGATGCTGAATCAAGGATCATAGATTCGGCATGTATTCTGCGTAACCGGTCTTTTAGATCTGTGTTTTGTGCTATTGCCTGGAATATTTAACAAAAATATTGGGGATATAAAGTTCTCTCAACTAATTTGAACAGTGGTTTCATTGTGTAAAAAGAAAGGGAAGGAGTATTTTAAATGCAGTATTAAACACATAATTGGTTACTGGTAGCAAATTATTTGTTATAAATGGTTAAAATCTTGTACCTTGTCTCTAAAATTATTTCTGTTCAGTGTGAGGGAGAAGACAAGTGGAGAACAAGAGCCAGGGATGGCACTTTCAAGTTACTAGATTGTGCAAGGTGATATAATTAAGAATGAATGAATTTTGTGCATCATCATTTTTTTAATCTCCTTTCCCTCACCTCTATCTTGTCTCTAAATGTTCTCATTCTTGCCACACTGAAAAGTGACTTTTTTTTTTCATCAAGCTGATATACTGTTCCCTTTGTCTTCCACTAACAGAGATGTAAGACTTCAGACTAATTAGTAAGACAAAGCTATCTTCCACTTTTGTTGCTGCACCTCAACTGAAGTGGTACTACTGCACTAGGCAAGAACAGAAAATATTCTGAATGAATATAAGACAACCACTGTACGTGACATTGTTTTCCCAGCGACAATTCCAGAAATGGCAGGGGGCAAGCTTCACTGGATGTAATGAGGCCCTAGGGGAGAAAGACTCCTCCAACCATACAGAAAAACTATGAACAAACAACATACTTAAGAACCAACCAAACAAAAAAAACAACAGCTAAGCTCTGTTTTTTGTTTGTTTTTTTTTTTTTTTTTGCTGAGAAAAATATGTATTTGTATTAACTACAGTTGTACTATGTATTTTTTAATATTCCATACTATTTTATATTCTACTGCTTTATAATTATGTATAAGCATAATGAGCATTGTTTTAAATTTACTCCATTTAAAAAATAAGCCTCTACAGATATTGATAGTGAAACAGCTCTTTCTTTGCTTCATTTCAGAAACTGGGATGCTTATGCATGAAGAGGAATCCAATTCCTCAGTGTTACAATTACACGTAGCATTGTAAGACCAACTGTACTTATGGTAATATATTCTTTTGCAAGTGCATGGAGCATAAAGTTACACAGAAGCAGTTACTGTCTCCCAGCTGTGCAGAATAATTCAAACAACACACACTCTATGGACTAGCTAGCACTCCTCCAGCCACTGCCCCCACTGCAGTCCTCTAGACAATACTACTTCTGAGATCAGGTGCGTTTTCCCCTGTACTCTGTTGGAACTACTGAAGGTGGAGAAGCTCTAGGAGCCTGTTTGTTGCTTGAGGATTAGCCTGAACCAAGAGTCTGACAAGACTTCACTCTGCTGGGGTGTTTGGATGGCCCTATGAGCTTATTTATTCCCTGAAACCAGAGATTTATTTTTTTGTGTATTTTTTTTTTTTTCAGATGCTTTCCTGCTGCTTTGACTACGTCTATAATTCCTGGATGTTTACTTGACCTCTGAAAGGTATGCTTAGGGGACAGCTGTTATCTCCTCTTGGTGACTGTCAACCATGAAATCATAAAATGGCATGGGATTTTAAAGACTATATGGTTTCAACCACTTTGTCACAGGAACTTTCCTCTAGATCAGGCTGCCCAGGGTCACATCCAACCTTCAATGCATCCAGTGACTGAGCATTCACAGCTTCTCTAGACAACCTGTTCTAAAGCCTTATTCATCCTCATAGTAGAGGATTTCTTCCTTATCTTACCTAAAATCTACCTTTTCATTTAAAACCATTACTCTTTTTATTATCAAGACATACCCCAGTAAAGTCTCTCCTCATCTCTTGTGGCCCTCCCTCTCAAGTATCAGAAGGCTGCAATAAGGTCTCCCCAGAGATTTAATCCCAGCTCAGTCAACCTTTCTTCCTAGAAGAGATGTTCCAGCCCCAGCCCTTTGATCATCCATAAGGATTTCAAATTTGATTTAACCACAGAGGGAAGCAAATATAGGAATAAGCAAGCATAAAACAGTTTTGTTTTTTTTTTTTTTTGTCTCATCTTCTTCAAGAGAACCAAGAAGCATACTTAAGTTTCTGATGGGGCTACGTAGATTACTCTGTTTATTTTAACATGTTCTCCTTTAAAAACTGCTACAAAAGAGGTCTCTTCCACCTGAACATCTTCACATTTCTCCTGTCATACAGAAACACAGCAGTGAATCTTCTTGCTAAGATACATCTGAAATATGCTCCACCACAGAATATGAATGGTTTGATGTAGAGCTAAAGGAAAGGGGTGACTTTGGATAGGAATCTGAGGAATAAGTTTAGTGCTTCTTCATCCTGCAAAATCTGTGCAAATCCTTAGATTGTTGGAAGTACCGAGAGCATGAGATATATTTGGTCTCAGCTTTGTATCAAAGTAAAAGTGAGAATGAAGAAAAGATTTTTCTGTAACATTCTTTTCCTAGGATTTGTTCTTTACATACCAAATCTCTTCTATGGCAGCCTGCTTTAAGCTGTATTCTAAATTAATTAGATTTTTTACTATTTTGAAATACTTCTTCTGGCAAAAGTAGACAGGATAATCTGTCCATTCCAAGTCATTCTCTACAGCTAGCAGAGTTGCAGAACTCTTTCTAACACTGAATCAAAAAACAGTTTACAGTGTGTGTCCTGATAGCCTTTTAATGGAAATATTTAGGGAAAAAAAAATCCTTCTGTAGCAGAGACTCTGATAGACACAAAAATTAAAAGAAACAATCCAGCCATCAGGATGGAACAAAACTGAAGCTTTACTGCCTGCTTCTGCAATGTGAATCAATACGAGAGCATTGCAATTTATGCATTTACTTTGTCCAATTCTGATTCTGAGAGTAGTTTTTGTTGGAAGTAGGAAAGACAGTAGGTCTGAAGTAATGGTGAATAGGAGAAGAAGTGTTCTCTTGCTTTACATTTGTGTGGTCTAGCTTCAACATACTAGCATTTAGCACTCGTCTCTCAAGTGTACAGTCTTACATATTATACCCACATCATCAAACTAATACAATAAAGAATTTATATAGCCTTCCTGTATATCATGCTAAAATCACTTCCTTCTCTTGTGCTTTCTTCCATTCACTTTTTCTGTTCACTTTTGTCTATTTGCTGTGTGGAGGTCAAAAATAGCATGCTGATAAGGGAAAAGCAAAGGCGGAGATGCTTATTCTGAAAAATGTGTTTTATGCACTTCAACTTTGTTTTGATTTCTTCCCCTGCCAGATCATTAAGAACCAAACAGCCTAACAGTTGATAGCTTTCAACCTGTATGAGTTTTGGTCCTTATGAACTGAATAAAAATTTTAATAAAAAACAAATACTGAAGTCATGATTACAAGACTCTCTTGAAAGGAACAGTCTTAGAGTTTATCATATCTGTGTTTCCAGAACACTTCAAAGGAAGCTCATTCTTTTCTCCTACAGGATTCTCTGCTGTGCATGGTGAGAAAGTTTCTGTTGGCATCACAGCTTTACAGAGCTAAAGGCTAAGAACAGCTTTCACATAGATGTTACTTCTGCTGGAACTGCCAGAGTTCAGAAATCGCATCTGGATGGGTTACAGAAGGGTTATTAAATAACAAATAAGAACAAAGAGCATGATTTTTAAAAGACAGAGGATGAACAGAATTTTATCACTTAAAAAAGAATCTAGGTTTAGCTGAGTGTTCACTCAGTTCACAAACCTTAGAACTGATTTTTTTAAATGTAAAATTTTAAGCAAATAACATTGGAAAAAGTGAAGTCACCCAATTAGATGCCCCAAGTGGAACAGCTGAAAGCCAAAAACAAATGAGTGACTGTAGTTTTATGCAACAAGCTCCACTGTTCTCCAAATTCTATGACAACATCACAACATCTACATGTCTAGGGAAAGAAACATTTTAACCTAAAACGCTATAACCACACACAACTTTTGTAATACAAAGCAAGCTTTTATTTTGAACTGATTTTAAGATCTATACCCTTTTATATTGAACTGATTTTAAGATCTATACCACATTTAATCAAAGTCACTCCTGCCTCTGATTAGCAATTTGAAACACAGACTGAAATTTTAAGATCATGGTAATGATGGCCCTCATTGTTCTGAAATCAGGTTACTGTTGATGTATTGAAACAGTTTGAGACCAGTTCATGTTGAAAAAAATGTACCAACCAAATCCAACCAACTTTTTAAAGAGCATAATCTTTTGTCATTTAGGATTTTGTTCTAACTAATCCATTGCTGCTTTCAGATGACTAACAGATGAAGGTGGAACCCAATATAAACAAGCTGTACTTGAGTTTGTTTTTCAGTATTTTGGTGCAGAGCAGCAAAGCTCTGGTGCAACAGAAAGGACAGCCGAGTGCCTTCAGCTGCTCCTTTCTTTATTTTGTGTCAAGTTATAGCAAATGTTTGGTGCTGTTTAGGAAAAGCCACAGCATATCACAATGGAATGACTGATCCAGACAAAGTAGACTCAGTCACAAAGCAACTCTCATACTTAGCATCAAGTAACACATTTATTTAGGGGCACAGTGTGATCTATCAAGTCTTCGTGATTTCACAGTACCTTTACCATTTAGGAAAGACAGTCTTTGTAAAATACCATGTATAATCATGACTCATTATTCTTCAATATTGTAAATTTTAGCACAGAGCAGACACTAACAAAATGGAAATTAACTACTATAAAATTTAAAAGTAATAACTGATGATAATGAAGCTTGCTGAACTTCAGCATATCACTTACAGACGTTAAGGCATTCTTCAAGCCAACTATTTGTGCAGATGGAGATGATGATGCCTCATGCTCTAGCATCTGCTTCAGCTTTTCCCTCTCTGTAGATATGCTGCTGAAAGCTGATTTCAAGGTGAAGTACACTAGAACCATTTTGTAAAAAAAAATGAGGTTAAAAGCAGCTACACATAACACAGCAGTTACGTCAAATTTCAATGAAACATCATTTATGGAGATAGAAACAAGAATCTAGTTTGAGAGATCCAGGATAGTATATTATTCAATATTATCAGATTTTATTTTTTTTAACAGGAGAAATGTTTATGGTAAATGCTAACACGATGACTATATTAGCCACAGTCAAAACTGCTTTGATTAATTTGTGACAGATGGCAACAAAGCTAACTAACCACGGCTGCTCTTCATTTGCTTTTGTTTCCCAATTAGCTTGAATCTTCAGATGGTCATGATTCTACTCCACATTCCTTTATGAATTCCAGTGGGGGAGGGGAGAGAAGGAGAAAAATAAATCACTCAAGAAGGCAGCTATAACACATACAGTGTCACAGCTATAGAGTTAGTATTTTCACCACAAGTTAACAGTGGTGATTCATTTTGGGTACAATGACATTTCAGCTTGTTAGATGATTTATTGACTCAACAGCTGAGATCCTGAACGCAATGATGCTCCCACTTCTTTCTGAGTGAATTTCTTTCTTTTCACTAGCCCAAAACAGGCAAATTAGATAATAGATCACACAAGGTTTTTTTGAGACATCTTTTACATAGCCATGAGGAATAAAAATTTAATCTGGTAATGTTTATGTAGTCCTTCAACATTCATCATTCTGCAGAACTAGCAGATTTTTGAGGGACTGTTCAAGTCTTACAATAAAATCACAAGAATAGGAAAGGCAAAAATTTATCAGGGAATTTACCAGTGAAATGGAGATTAAAAAAACAAACAAACAAACCCTGAGTGTAGATGCATGAGAAGAGTAAAGAACAAGGCCTGTTTTATATCTCCCAGATTTCATCTGTATAATTATTACCTTATTGAGTATTTCACGTAAGATAACTTAATCTTAAAAAGAAAATAATCCTTAAGTGTATTTCATCATCAGAAACCATTATCAAAACTAATTTTCACAGTTTAATCTATGTGAAGAAATCTAACAACTTCCTTGGGGGTAAAGAGGAAGATGTGTCCATTACAATCTATTTTACACTAGCCTTTCACATGTAGGAGACATGACCAGAACCCTCAGTGACCTTACATCTCATTTAATAGCTGGTATACTAACATAAATTTTCAAGAACGTTTATAGAATAAAGTACTAACGATACATTTCAGCTGTATCGAATGTCAAAGAATAAGTTCACTTTTTTTCCAGAAAGCTGGTGGTATAAAGTAGTTTTTGCATTCTTAATAAAATGTATTGTATTAAATAGCATGTAGTCCTTTGTCCCTTTAGTGCATAGTTCAATCTAACCAAAACTTGTGACACAGACATTTTAGTTAACATCATCTTGAACAGGAGAATTCAAGTGCTCCTGTAGATAGCAACTTTTCCAGCTGTGCTCCCACCCTCTTTTCTATTTTCAGAAAACATGCATCAGTTTTGATTACAATTTACTTTATAAAGTTTACTGCTGAGATAGATATATTCTTTCCATAACAGAATCAAGATACATCAGCACCAGAGGGCAAAAACAATGAAAGAATGCATACTGGTAACATCAAACAACTCATCTTACGCAAAAAGGAGCAACGCCTATCCTTCCAAAAGTCTTTCAGACATAAATGCACTTAATAAAAATGTTTCTGGTCTGAGGGTGACAGGGCTAAGTATTTCTATGAAGAATGACTTCAAGAGACAAAACATTTACAGTCAAGCTGCCCCTCCTGCGGCTTCACATGATTTTACTCTTATGTATTCACTAAAAATAGGTTACTACCATAGCAACCTTTCCATCACCAGCAAATGGTGAACTCTCAAATACTGTGAGCCAACGTTAGTATACAAACATACTTGTGCTCATCTACACTTGGGCAACAAACAGAATCTTGATCTAACATATTAAACAAAGGGAGGCCCTTCATAAAAAATAAAAATGGGACAAGTCATTTTGTTCAAAAGACTCAAGACATCAACATTCACAGTCCCACAAGGGAATTAAAGGGAGGGCGTTTTGTGCTTTTTCTAAATATTAAAAAGGACCTGTTTTCAGAAATCACATTAAATTGAGATGATATAAAATACGAAAAACAGACTTTATTCACCTTTATGTGCAATATGAAATAAGTCCTCCTGCATTTTAGTAAATTCTGATGATGTTTCAGAGCCATCAGAGTAGTTTTTCTCTTCTACAAAATCTATTGTAGATAAGTTAGGATTGGAAGCATGTAGTCTCATAGGGGCAGAAAATACTGAAGGCACCTGTAAGGATAACAGTAAATTTGTGATCATCTCTGTCTTGTTTCTTAGACAAACTGTAAAGAATTTTATTTTTAATTGTTCGTATCTGGACACCAAAGCTAACTGAACTACCATTAGCAAAAGTCTTGGAATAGATGAAAACACTGACAAAATTTTACCCAAGATTTCATAGTTGGAGATTTGACAAAACTCCAAGAAAGAAGTCCATTGAGAGTTGTAACATACGCAATAGTATTTTTTTTTCTTTGCTTATAAGCATCTAATAACAAGCACACTGGATGCAAATACAAAAAAAACTACCTGGAGAATTTGCAAAAATAGGTACTGCTAAAAAGAGGAAAAAATAGCAGATACACCTCCCATGCCACCAATTGGAGACAAACTAGAAAAAATGAGTGAAAACCAGGTTTATCTCCTGAACAAATTAGTATAGCTCCTATTGCAGATTTTAACAAGGACATGTTAGTGTTTTGTACATCACATACACTGCATACATTACATACACTGCATAAAATGAGTCAGAGTCAAACAGTACTTCAAAAGGATTCTTATTTCCTAAACTGGCTATGCCAAGAAATTATCAATAAATAAGAATTGAAGAAAAGATGGGCTACTGAAAGGACTGAAGTCACCTGTAATGTTCCCTTAGCCTCTTTCCCAACAACTCTAGATCGCCACCTCCTATGTGTTCTCTTTTCCTTCTTTGGGCTTTCAAAAGGTCCAACCTTTTAATAACAAGCAAGACAAAATATGGATGGTCATAGAAGTAGCAAAGTTAAGAGTAAATAATTTGATCATTTAGAATTAGGGATTGCTTTTTGGAATAGCAAGGGAAAAGGGTTTTTTTGTTTTGTAAACAACAAACCTGCATAGCATTTATAGCAGGTGCTGAATAGGTCCTGTGAAGGACATCCATGCTCTGTAACAGCTGGTTCATTTCCAGTAAATATGCATGACAAGTGGACAAATCTGTTTTGAACAGAAGAATATTTTCAGTTGCTGTGAAGTAACAAATATAATGAAAGTTTTTTGTTTATAGGCTAGCTTTATTTTCATTGTTGCTGGCTTAAGTTATTATTTGACAAAAAAAACAGAATATTAGACAACTGGGTAAAACAGCTTGCATCCTTCTGTCTTCATAATATTAAATACAGCCTGTATCATAATATTAAATAAAGCCTGTATAGTGATATATGGTGTTTTGTCATAGTTGGTTGTAGAAATACAGGATAAAATGAGTTACTGCCATATAGGACTAGTCACCCAAACTAGTGACCTGTGGAGATGGTAAAAATGCCGTAGACTTTGAGACTGAACAGTTCATGCAGAGTTAGAGATGAAACACCTCATAGTAGGTAAAAAAAAAAACATGCATGATGCAGACACTTTTACCAACATACAAGAGATCTTTATTATTTCAGGAAAGCAGGGGCAGAAGGTGATTTGGAACCCAGTTTAAGACACTTCAAGTTTTACTAACAAGTGTAACGGTCGTAAAAGAAAATACATTGGAATACATAGGTTCCTTTAAGAGATCCTTCAAACTGGTACCCTCTTCATTCACTAGCTCTCTTGAAAACAAGCAAGCAGACAGGAAATCAACAACTACCTCTTTCCACCTTCCTCTTGTTTCAGAAAAAACTGTAATGACTACTTATGCTATTGTAGTGTCATTGTCAAGAAGTAGTAAAGGAAATATCAGCTTATTTTCTTCTTCCTTCAAATATCATTACCTCTTGAGCATTTTTCCATGTCTTCAGAAGACTGCAGCCAAGATGGAATCCTGGACTCATTACTCGAAAAGGAAAATGACAAATTACCACCAGCTGACAGCGAGTTTTGTTTGGTCAAGCTTCCTGCCTGTTACAGAGAAAACCAAGAAAATAAACAAATAATGTTATAAACTCATAAGAACAGATTTTGACAAGCCATAATTGAGGTCCACAATCAGTGACAAGGACTGAAGGGATCAGCAGCACGGCAGTAAAAAAGCATATGAACTGGATTATGCATTATAGTCATCGAGTGCATTGTCAGGACATAACATACAAAAGCAGATACAAAAGAGATAATAAAATTTTGCTGAAAACTGAAGTTTGAAGAGAGGTAGAACTCTGCATCAATTAAATCAATTTAATACATTTAAAGTGCCACATGAGGCACAGAACCAAAACAGCACATTCTCTTCCTTTTATATAATTCCTGAAGAAGCCCACAGGTAACTGAGATGCAACATGCAGATAGTTATTCAGAGCTTAGAGTTGTTTTTCAATGAAGAAAGCATGATCCTAGATGCTTTCTAAAAATTTTACTCTAAGTCATATGACTTCAGTATGGATTTAGCTTGATAGACCTTAATACATGTATGACCTCCATCTTACTTTGGTAAAGACTATCACTTTGCAATGTCTCAGTAATCCTTTTCAAACTTTCAGGAGTGCTCACTATCAGATGCTACAAGAAATGCTGAAAGTGATGAGTAAGAGTTAATTGAGCAGCACAGTGAAATAGTTCCCAGTGGAAAGAAATTTCCACCCAATACTGGTTATATCAGTGCACAGTGGCTTATAAAGCTGCTTTCTTTCTAATGTAACAACAAACGTGTAACTATTTTTAAGACTTTAATAAATCTTTTGCCTTTTACTAATATATACATCAGGAAGTTGCCCAAAGCAATTAATACTTTGTCAATATTTTATTTAAAATTTCAGCTTATCTGCCATTACATGGCCACTTCACTGATAAGAAGAGCTAAGTCATTTGGCTCTTCTCTAAAGCACAGATTTTACAAAACGCGCCCATCTTTTACCAAGACTTAGGAGTACTTGTTTTAAAATTATTCATATGAAACATCATATCTCTCTCATTCTATTGCTGTTTTCATAGTTAGCCTTCTAAAGTTTATAATTCATGCTTCAGTTTGAGTTGCAAAATACTGTGTCGGTGATGTCATTCATCAATTTATATATCATGTAATAGCAGGAAGAATTAATAAACATAATAGTTTTTAAATTAACCTATGCAGCTCAGCTGTTTTATTCATACATAAAACAGTATGAGTTGCAGTCATCTACATACATAAACACAAATGATTCCAGTACCTTTCAAAGCTGAAGTGCACCGAACTTTAAGATAAGGAACGTGTTGATGTTGGGAGAAAAATCCCATGTTTATCTAATGCAAGATAACCAATTCTCTTCCAGAAAATATATACGTGAAGGGCATAATTAAGAGCAAAGAAACAAGACGACATTGCTAAGAAACAGTCAAGAGAGAGTTTGTGAAGCTCCAGTTAGCATAATTTTAATTGTAATCAGTATGGTTGAGCATTAGAATCCAAGAATTTCACATAAATATACATAGATACATACATTCATTCCCTAAGAGCTATTTAAAAAGTGTGAAAATTGACCAGGTGTCTCTAAAGGCAAACAGAATGCAATGCAGAGTTCACTAGTTATGTTTTTCCCAAAATATTTATCCACTGGATTGATATCAATGAACATTAGCCTAGGGCTGGTGTAAATTGGCAAACTTCCATTTAGCTTCAGCAGAGCTAAGGTGATTAACTGCAGCTTAAGAACTATCCCCTTCTATTTTTCACATGAAAATAAGCAGGGCTTCTTTGCAGTGCAAATCTGGATTAATAAATTAAAAGTGAATTAGAGTCTCTCACGCTAAAGAAGAAATAGTTAATATCCTGACAGCAAGCACAGATTTTACATATGCTGGTCACGCAGATCCTTTTTATATATTTTCTATTATTCTTTAAGAGCAAAGGCATAGAGATAAATGGACATTGTTATGTTCTATTTTTGCCCTCAACATCGTACTCCCCTTCTATCCAAGTTGTCTTCTGGGAGAAAAGAACTCAAGTGCCCCAGAAGGTTTTCCATTTCCTTGCAGACTGGCTGTCAGAGTCACAGAGGTGCTGGCTCCACAAAGCCACACACACTGCTCTTTGCTGGACACTGCTGTTACCAGAGGGCAAGTCTGCTCTTTCAGTTGCCATTGTGCACAGATCCCCTCCCTCTCAGCCAATAGCAATAAGCAATTTTGGCATGTTTGTGCTTGGTAAAAAAAAAAAAAAAAATAATTGTCATTCAGCTACAGCATTGTCCTGGCACAGTAGCAAATATTCTCTCATATGAGGACCTTTTAGACAGACCCTAAGCTCCACACAGCTACAGTCAAACTTCAGAATGACATTGTTCCAAATGATACTACAGCTATTCAACCCCCATTGTAATGCAGCACAGATTTAGTCTTACGCAGCTATTATACTTTTATCAAGCCAGAGACGCACACTTAGCTAAATAAGAGATGCTGTCTCATCTTTAACAGTCTTTCAGGGTCAGAAGGGGAAGTATAAACACTCCACATTTATTTCCTACATTTTTTTTCTCCTGTTAGTAGCAGAGGATGCACTGTGCTGTGCATCTTCGAAGGCAAAAAAGAAGTGTGAGAAAAAATACTGGATAAGTTGACAAAGCACTCCTAAACATCCACCTAAAATTTGACAGATGGAGACTCCTCAGTACACAATGATAAATGTGCTGCTGACTGCTCAGGAGGAGTTCCATCAAATCAATAAAAAGAAAATGCTCAAACTACAGGTAGTGTGAAATGAACCCGCTCAGGCTGTACAGCAACATAGCCAGGAAAAAGAATACCTTAGGCAGTAGGATAACAAAGAAGTGACTTGTGCATAAGATATATTTGTGGAGTTGACAGAAAACAGTTACAGTAAGTACAGCACAATATTGCTAAAAAAAATATTTTCTCAAAAGAGGTCTGGTTCTACACTACAGCAGAAGCATTTCTTTTGTGAAAGTGCTGGAGACAGACTGTGTTCAGGTGCTGAATAAAATCACTGCTTTGTGAGGCTACCTCACAAGATGTAAATAGTACTCTTAGGTTACAGCTGTTCAGTAATCCCTATCTACTAGTTAACCACAGTCAGATGTATTACTGTATAAGGGAGAGGTTTTATTAGCTAAAGCAAGAATGGAAATCTGAGAAGAGGAAATGTATATAGATATAACTAAGTGCTCTTCTGTGACTCATGTTAACATTCACCAGCACGTATCAGACAAATAATAGTATACAGTTAAAAATCATGAGGATTCCAACTTAATATCCAGTTTTAAAAGTCACTGTGAAAATATAATTTACTTCTTTAAAACACTGGGACAACATTAAAAAATTTACCAGTATCATAGAGAAAAGTACTTGCTGGAGTAAATTTATAGATAATAATATTTTGCTCTTTATAGACCACAAATTAAACCCATACAAATTTTCATTATGCTCTTTACTTCAAAACAAATCAGGCTAATTTAATCACTGATAAAAGCTCATTGTTTGTAAATCATCACTATTACCTTTCTACTTGGAGTCAAATCACACAGACCAGGGCCAGAATCCACAGTAGTAGATACAGGGAAGAAAAGATTATTGACGTCATGAGGAAACATGGAGATTTCATTCTGACGATACATCCTGTGATGACGAAGCTTTGCCACCCACTCATCAAACAGCTCCTGAGATTTCACCTATACAAAATTTCAGATGTTATAACACCCACATTCAAAATTGTTAGCAAAGAAACTAAGATATCTTGTACTCATCAGATAGCTAGCCTGGTTGACTTCTACTGGCAAAATACCAGGAAAGTTTTTCTAAAAGTTTTGCTCCTACTAGAAGATACTACGCATGAGCTTAAGCATGACAAAATTAGTCACCGGATAAAATAAAAACAAAAAAGAAACTTCAGTTATCAGAGCTACGATTGCAATGCAAAACCCACTGCTTAGCAATTTCTAGAGAGAAAAAAAAGCAAACAAAATTTGTCACTTCTTAACTGCAAGTTTTGAGGTTTCATCAAGGTTCAACTACCACCAAATGTTGGTACATGTGGGGTACTGAGTCCGGAACAGCAAAGCTTCTCATGTTGTGAAATGTAAAACTAGTCCATTGAGACTAAAAGTTAAGCTATAAGTGAAATTAATAGATCTCCTGCTGTTAAAAATAGACGTGATCTTTACCACAAAGACTTCACATTGTTATACTCCTACAGTACGGGGAGCAAATTTTGAACAATGTTAAAGACTTACCTTCAGATGATATATCTGCTCTTCAGTATCTAAGTCTATACATTTTGTTGATTTCTTTACAGACATGACAGAAAGTCCAACATCAATACAGCCATGAAGTTTCCCTCTCTCTATCTGCAGAAAACAGAAAAGATTGCAATAACCCCAGAATACTTCAAGATGGACATTACCTGCTTTGATCATCCTTCTTCTGCATTCACTCTGCTGATAAGAGCTGCTGAAACTCTATTTCTCTTTACTATCAATATGAAATTATTATTTCAGATAAAATAAAATACTGTTGTTACCTTATACTGGCTTTAAAGGATTTTAAATCACTTACATCGGCTTGGCATTTAGAATACTTCAAAATCCCTCTGTCCAAAAAAAAGTATCTCTGCAAAAAAGAAGAGAATTAAAAGTCACATGAACAGCCAAAAAAAAAAAAAAAAAAAAAAAAAAAAAAACCAAAAACCAAAGGAAACAAAACCAAAAAAATACCACTGAAACACACCCGCACATTTATTCAGAGAACATCTTTCCCTGTCCTTAGTTTTTTTGGGTTTTTTTTGTTTTTTTTTTTCCCAGTAACAACACATTCAGTATGTCACATTTACATGGCACCAGGCTTTCATACAGATGTTCCTTTATTACCTTGTGCCAGCCCTTCAAAGGCCATTTTCTTTTTTTCAGCAAGCAGCCTTCCTGTTTCTGTGGTTCCTGGGTACAATTCATTGCTCCCCGGAGTCCTTCTACAATTTCCCAGCTGTCCTGCTTAAACAGAAAATACAAATCTAGATCTTGTTTCTTCCAACTAACATAACTGCTAAGACAGATCCAAGATGAGTAAAAAGTCCAGTAAAATAAACATGTGATGATAAAATAGAAAAGGCTTATTAAATAAAGTCATCTACTATCAACATTTTTCTATTAGATAAGAAATTAAAAGACTGAAAAATTCTGAATAAAAGTTACACTGTGAAGAAGTACACACAGCATCAATGACCTGGATGAAAGGATAGAGAGCACCCTCAGCAAGTTTGCCAATGATGCAAAGGCAGAAGTGGCTGACACACCAGAAAGCTGTGCTGTCATTCAGCAAGGCCTGGATGGGTTGGAGAGTTAGATGGAGACTTATGAGGTTCAAAAAGGGCAAATATGGAATCCTACATTGAGGAGGAATAATTGCACGCATCAGTACAGGTTTAAAGGCTGATTTGCTAGAAAGGAGCTCCGTGGAGAAGAATCTGGGTGTTCTGATGGCATAGGTTGACCAAGAACCAGCAGCATGCTCCTGTGAGCAGTACAGTTGATACAACAAAAGGAAGAGAACCTCCAGAAGGATCTGAATAGGCTTGAAAAGTAGGTCCATGTGAACTTAACAGGTTTCACAAGGCCAAGAGAAAGGGTTGTGCTCAGGCCAGGGCTATCCCAGACACATACAGACCTGGAGAAGAATTCATTGAGAGGAATCCTGCAGAGAAAGACTTGGAGGTTCTGGAACAAAAAGCTGGACATGAGCCAGCAGTGTGCTCTTGTAGACAGGAAGACCAACTGTATTCTGTGCTGCATCAAAAGGGTTAGGGTTAGTGGAGAGAGGGAATTGATTGTTCCAATCTGCTCTGCCCTTGCAAGGTCCTGTCTAGAGTACTGTGTGCAGGCCTGGGGTCCCCAGCACAGGAAATAAGGGGAGCTGCTGCAGTGGGTTCAGAGGAAGATGATAAAAGAGCCAGGCTGGGTGGGGCCCTGGACAGTCTGATTTAGTGGGTGGCAACCCTACCCACAGGCAGGAGGGGGTTGGAAGTAGGTGATCTTTAAGGTTCCCTCCAACGTAAGTCATCCTATGATTTACCTGTACATACCTATACACACAGCCTGGTCACAATTTACCATAAAAAGATTTCTGCTGTCACGTGTAGAAACAGCCTATACTAAAAAAGATGTATTTGCATATTATGAAAAAGAAATAAAAGACTCTGAAGACTATAGCACATTTTTGTCTACACTAGATAGCTCAAGGATCTGTATTTTCTTATGAACTGCAGCCTTCTTAGAAAAATAAAAAAGAAACAAAAAGCTAAGAACCTATTTATCTGAAATATTATGAGGAACATGGTGAGGAGAGTATAAGAAAAATATTCCCCCAGTTTAATAGTGTACATCTCCAGTTAAAAGAGTCTCTTGCCATCAGCAAGTCTTGTATGAAATATTCTGCAACCACCCAGCAGAAAAGAGAGAGCATTTTTTACAATTCTTTTTTGTTGAAAAACAGCTAATGACCACATAACACAAATTTCAAGATTTCTGGTCAGAAACCTCATGAATGACTTATCACCAGCTATCATGGGATTTCACAGATCCATAATTAGTAAAAACTGTCAGAAAATTTCATGTGCTTGTATCATTGCTATATATATATATATATATATATATATATATATATATGTGTGTGTGTACATGAAAAAGAGGAAAGCTGTAATCTGTAGAATTTAACAATATGAAAGAGCACTGTGAAATCCTTAGGTGAAAACAGAATACTACACGAGTATTTGTAGTCATTTTCATTTAAGCTAAAATGAAGTATTCTCTTTTCCCCTTCCCAGATTTTACTGACTCAAAAACTTTAAAACAAAAATTAACAAAGGCATTAGATGTGCTCCCATCTCCAGGATCATTCACATTCAGCCAAAAAATAAAGAAACAAACAAAACAACAGAAGTTACATCAGGTTATGTATGCCTGTTACCAGAGTGAAAAGACAAAATGGCAAATCATCTTCAAAAAGACATACATTAAACAGCTTAATCAACACAACCTCTTATTCCAAGATGTTACTGGCAGCACTCCACTATTTTGCTATTATCTTCCTTGCACTGCATTTTATGGAACAAACTACAAAGCTGGTCAGTTTCTCTGACTTGTGTTCACTCTGCCAATCCTACAGAAAAGAATGCAAGCATCAGAAATGGGGTTGACCAGCTCTCACCATTCAACACTCTACAGATCACATAGTTATCACAGAACCACAGAATCACCGAGGTTGGAAAAGACATCCAAGATCAACTGTTCACCTACCATCAATATCTCCCACTAAATAATGTCCCCCAGTACAACATATAAACACCTCTGGGGTTGGTGACTGTACCACCTCACTGGGCACCTTGCTCCAGCATCTGACCACTCCTTCAGAGAAATAGTGTATTGCTAACAACCAATCCAAATCTCCCCAGCACAACTTGAGACCATTTCCTCTAGTCCTACCACTAGTTACACAGGAGAAGCAGCTGGCTCCCATCTCATCACAACCTCCCTTTTGGTAGCTGTAGAGAGCAAGAAGATCTCCCCAAGCCCCCTCTTCTCCAGACCTGCCACCTGAAGGTAAGTTAAAACTGCAGTCACGCTAAATGAAGTTATTATAGCATGCATTTTATGCTTCTTTAATTCCTCCAATCTAGAATATTTTGACAGCTACTTAAATATCATGATTTCATGTCTACTATATATAGAAATATATATTTCTATAGAAATATAAATTTCTATATAGAATTACTATTTTTCCTAGGAAAACAAGAAGTTATGCTCCATATTCTTTATTCATTTTTGTCTATTTGGGATTCACATCGGAGTCTGAATAATCATGGATTCTCCCCTGCTTAGGGACGAATTATTCTCATCAGGTCAGGGAAGAGAGAAGCTACTCAGACACAAGGAGTTAATGTGCTGAAGGCAGGCAGAAGGCTCCCTGGGCTGTTGCCAGCATATCAGCTCATCACGAACCACAGCAGTGCACACTCTGCTGCAAGACACCAGGGTGAGCCTTTTGTGGGGTGAAGCCATCAGAGAATGAAGCAGAGCCAGCTTGTGCCCTTGTAGTGACAGTTTGCTGCAGCTTGACAGCTATTGAAGTGCAAAGGCAGCTATAAGCTTCCACAATTAAGGTGTTTTTTTTTCTTTTTTGACAGAGCCTTTCAACCTCGAAAGCAAAAAAGAAATGATATTCCACCAACTCTTTTACCATAAATGGAAAGGCTTGGCCATCAAATGCTTTCTACAGTGAGTTTGGAATTCTTTTTCTAGTTGAAGATTATTTAATTAACACTTTTATAATTACTAGCATTAGGAGTCTATGATGCCTGAGCAGCCTCTTAAAATATCAAGTACAGAGTAATGCTACAATTTATATTAAGTCAGTAACTACTGAACTTACTGCTACTCCCTATCCACAGGTGGATAAAATCACCCCTCCTTGGGAAATATGTTCTGTAAATGAGCCAATAAAGAACTAATACTGACATGAGACTTTTCAAACTGGGGACTTGAAAAGAGGTAAATGTTAAAAAGTAATGAAACCTGATGGAACAAGTGAAAGATGTTTCTAATTAAGAACTAATAGGAACATTTTGAACATTAAGAATAACTTCATGTTCACGGCTGTTTTTTCCTTCTTGAAATTAGCCAGAAGAGTTTAAAAATTGTATTACATGATTACCAAACAAGTTATTTCAAAATATTATTCAAAATATATTACACTGCAGTATACAAACAATTTTTTCCATTGAAAACCAACCTGATAGCAGTCAAGACAAGCAAGCAGTATGACCTTTTCAGTATTCTTATTGTTCTGCCTAATGAATCACATTTCTTGAACTTTGGATCCAGTTCTCAAAGTCTTTGCTTAAGATTAAACACAGCATATTGTTAACAGAGCAGTCTACTTGTAGGAAACAAAAACAAATTTGAGCACAGTCAAAAAAGCAAGAATCCAGATTCACTTTTTTAATAGGGATAAATTTGGGAAAAAAAGAGACTGCTGAAATTAGATCCATTCTACATTGGGCGTATGAGGTAAAGACAAAGAAGGCAGCTGAGAAATAGCAGAGCTGTAGTACTCCCACCTGGAATACATGCTGTGTCAATAGTTTGGGTAAAACTTTTAAATATAGTGCATATTCCTGGCCTGTATTTCAAATAAGGTTTACTTTGGGCAGCTTCTGCAGTCCAGGTATAAGAGGTTTCCCCTGTTCCTGAACAAAATCCGCATTTCTCACTGTTTCTACTAGTCAGCAAGCTGGTCAAAAAGCGCCTTTACAATGAAAAAGTGTGAAAACAGAAAGAAAAGCAGAAGTAGGAGCACCCTTTGACTAGGACCAACAGCTGGCCAAATCTCAGGTGATGGCAAGGCTCCTACTCACATTTCTGTTAATCTGGGAACCTCACAATTCAATTGCAAACTTTACATTAAAAGTTCATAAAATGAACTGGATATAGGTTCAGAACTTTTAAAAGCACAGAACTATTTAATCAACTTTATTAACCAAGGAAATGCAATGAATATTTCAGAGAACAGCTTGGAAAACCACTGGATAACTACTAGACTCAACACCGCAATAACAGCAAGCATTTGGTTCTGTTGGCACCTTCTGGCTAGAACCTTTCCCATCTGAGCCTCTGACTCCCACAGCTTCCAAAACATTGCACTGTGACTTTTTTTTTTTTTTTTTTTTTAAGATCTGTTCAGATTCTAAACCCTACCAGGATTTTCTTCAGTATTTAATTCAAGATATTTGACACCACATTTAATGAGTAAAAAGCATCAGCTGCTGCAGAAGCAAAAAAAAAAAAAAAAAAAAAAACCACAAAAAAACAAACAACTGCTTACTCTAAAATGAAGAGAGATTAATCAAACTGGTTGGTTATCATCTGTTCTCATCTGTCTGAAATATCTGAGGAGCAAATTGGAAATACAGGATTTCCTGAAAGGTACTGGAAGCATT